TTGGGGGCTGCTTGGGGAGTACACCAGTAGATGAAAGATCTATTTTTATTGCCCCCCCTTGCTTTGCCTTTGAAATACAAGAATAAAGAAATCAATACATACATGTTTTTTGAAAATAAATTTTAAAAAACCACATACTTGGGGTGAACTAGCACACATTGCCCCCACAGTGAGAGCTGTAACCAGCAAGTCAGACGAGAATGAAGAGATGTTGGCAGGACATGGGAAGATTGTCCAATTGTGTGGCCACCCTGTGATGCGTGGGCAGTTCCTAAAGACATGGAGCAGTTACCCTGTGTGGTCCACAGGTGCGCTCTGAGCTGCCTCTCCAGTGGACATGAGCGCGTGTGTTCACACGGCCAGAGAGGAGAAGCGGCCAGGTCTCTGTCTGCAGGACAGTAGCCGCGCAGGCTGTGTGCTGTTCATGTGTGGGGTGTTCCCTGCAGTGAAAGGAAAGGGAGAGCGGTTCTGATGTACACTGAGGCATGGGTTAACTTGGAAACAGCTTGTGAAGTGCCAGTCATAAAATACCGTAAACTGTGTGATTCCTTTAAGATGTCTGGCACGGGCCTGTTTAGAGATGGAAGACAGCGGGTGGGTGGTGGTCTAGAGGTGGGGAGGGGGTGGAGCTCTAGTTCTGGTGGTCTAGAGGTGGGGAGGGGTGGGGTTAGAGTTCTGAGTCTGAGTGGATTTTATGGAGTAGCTTACTTTCCGTTTTTCGTTTGTGCTGCTGCCAGGTACAGTTTTTGTAAGATGCTCCCTTGCATTTTCCTCACCCCACCTAGCACGTGTTTGTCAGCACAGCAGCTTACTATCCTCAGCAAGTCCAGTCCCTGAAAGTCCTTCTCTGGACACCTGCCCCAGGGGCGAGTGCCTTTCCTTCCCCTTGGCGTGATGCTCTTGGAGTTTTGTCCACGCGTCCCTCCGTTCATTAGCACTTGACGACACTTAGTCTGGGTGCTGGGCACTTTGGAGCTGACTGACGTTCTGTTGAGGTTTCTGAGGAGAGGGGTGGCACGTTGTTTGTGGTTGTCGGAGCTGTGCGCTGCTGCTTGCATGGCTGTGCCCTTTGGACGTGCGTCTCCCCATGTCCGCGTGCCCGGGCTGCCTTCTCTGTGAGCACTTGGTGCTGCCAGTCTCCGACCAGCTGTCCTGGTGGTTGTGTGTGCACTGTGGTCATAGCTAACTTCCACCTGTTATTTGTCAAATCCTTTGTGGTGAAATGCTTGTTCTTGCCTGTCGTAAAAGCCTGGTAGTAACAGCTGTATGCTAGGAGTTTTGTTTTGGTCTAAAACACCCTGGATACAGTCCTACAGCACCTAGTGCTTTTAAAAAAATTTTTTTTTCCTCTCTGTGGGTTATCTTTGCAGTTGCCTAATAGCACCTTCTGAGGTGTAGTTGAATATTTCTGATTTTTCATGCTGTTTTATGGGTAGTATCTATTCAATTTTTGCCTAACTCAAAGTCACAGAAAAGAATTCACCCCCTTTTTTTTTTTTTTTTGAAATTTCATGGTTACAGTTTGACCATTTATCTAGCTAAATGATTTATTTTTATAAGTGGTAGTTTTACTGGTTTCAGTTAAAGGAAGGTCCGTTGTTCATAGGCCCCTCTCCCCCTTGCTGTATTTGGCTTCTGTGTTCAGTCAGTGGGCCAGGGATGCTGAAGACATGGAGTAGACATGTGCCACCACCTGTGACGTTCAAGTCCCGGCTGCTGCTGCACTTCCAGTCTGACTCTCTGTTAATGTGGCAGATGGCTGAAATCCTTGGCCCCTGTATCCACATGGAAGACCCCAGTGGGGACCCAGGCTTCTGGCTTTGACCTGGCCCAGTCCTGACCAGTGTGGCCACGGGGGAAGTGACCTAGCAGGTGGAGGATGAGTCACCCTGCAATGTGAAGGGTGTGTCTGCAAGGCTCTCTTTGTAGATTCTGTTCCAATTTCATGTCTGTACTGCACCATCTTGACCTGGTCTGTAAACCATGGAATAATGCTGTTGCATTTACTTTTACTTAAATGTCTAATTATTGACTGCTAGCATATGGAACTAGCATTGTGTCTGAGGGGGAGTATCAGCTTTGTCTGTGACAGTCTTGCTGAATCATGGTCATCCTTTATCCTGGGAGTTTTGTGCCTCTCCTCCTGAGGCGTGTTGGGTGAAGCCGAGGAGGGGAGGTGGTCTGGGGCAGTGCCCTCAAGCTGCAGGCTGAATCCTGGCGCCTGTTGCAGAGCTGCTCACTGCACTTCTCCCAGAGCTTCCTGCTGAAGGTCCCTGAGCCCGTGCCACCCGTGTGGCTTCCACCTCACGCAGCCTGCCTCGGCTGTCCCAGGTGTTTTGGGATAAAAGATAGCAGGGTGCTCCTCTCTGTGCCTGCCTGGCTGCCTTTGCCTCTGCCTTCAAGCAGATATAAAACTCAGACCAAAACCACAGCAACAAGACCACCGTTGAAACCGCAGTGGTGGGCGGGCCCTCTGACTTGTTCCTGCTCTGGGTGGAAGTGTGTCGGCTCCTGCAGGGCTGCCTGGGTGCCCTTCAGGCTGAGGCAGTTCTGTTCTGCCCCTAGCTCTTGCTGGAGTTTTAGCATAAACAGAAGTTAAATTTTGCAAACTTCTTTCTTTTCACCTAGTGATAATCATTGAAGTGCCAGCTTTGTTGTTGCAGTACTGACCTGACTCGGTCCTCCTCTCAGCACCCATGTTCCTGGCGTGGCACCCCTGCAGTCCTGCCGCCCGGCTTGGCTGTCGGGCCCCTGGTGGCCTGAGAGACTCTTGGCTGCCCTCAGAGCTGGTGCAAAGCTGGTTGGCTGCTGAAGCCTGGATGTGGGGTGCTTGTTGAGGGGAACCTTAAATGATGAATTTAGAGCTTTTAGCAGAAAATACCAGGCTTTTTAGGTTAGGTGTGTGTCCTTGAGTCGGAGTGGTCTGTGAAGCTTCATGGAGTGTTGTGCTTCCTGTCGCTGGCAAGGTTTGTTTCCCTGTGCTGTCTGAAGGGTTTGTCACGTGTCACCTGCCATGTCTCTTGGAGTTCCGTCCAGCTCAAGTCGTGTTGGAATCACTGCCTTCTCAGGGCTCTGCCTTTGGTTTTTGTCGGTGAGTTTCCTGTTTTCTGCCTCACGCTTCTTCCTGTCGTGCTTCGGTCTCACTTGCTCTTCCCTTTGTGGCGAGCCTGCAGCCTGGCTGACCCAGGGCTTTCTGTTCTAGTAGCTATTACTGCTGCGTGTCCTGCTCCAAGCACTGCCCTAGTTGCATCCCCCCAAAATGTTTGTTTGTGGTATTTTAATTTTTATTAAATTCCAAATAGTTTCTTTTTTTTTCCTAATAGTTCTTATTTGATTCATGGGTTATATTTTTAAAATCTTTGGGGTTTTTCCACAGATCTTTTGTTCTTGGCCTCAGTTACTCTTGTGGTCAGAGAGCATACTTTCTGTGATTTCAGTTCTCCTAAACTTGAGATCTGTTTTAGGCTGCAATTTGTAAATCTTAGGATGGGTTTTGTTGTTGCCTCAGAATGTGGCACCCCACGTGTGTACAAGAAAAGCATGCTGTCTCTTCTTGTATGTTTGCTGGCTTTCTGAGAGCAGAGTGCTACCTTGAGTGGTGCTGTAAGAATTGCATTATTTCACAGCTAAAGTGGAGTGTCACCATTTTTAGATGATTGGGCATTGGGCGGTGCCATGGTGTAGCAGGCAGAGCCTCAGTCTGCGGTGCCCCACACCACATGGGTGCCAGTTTGTGTCCCCGCTTCTCCACTTCTGACCCAGATCCCTGTGAATGGCCTGAGGAAGCAGCAGAGGACGGTTCAAGTGCTGGGGCCCTTGCACCATGTAGGAGAGCTTGAAGAAGTTCCTGGGTCCAGCTCATCTCTGACCATTGCATTGGGGAGCAAGCCAGCGGATGGATTCAGAATCTCTCTCACGCGCGTGATGTGTACTCCAGTGGCCCTCTCTGCAACCCGTTTCTTCTTCAGGGTGCTGTGCTAATGCAGTGTGAGAACAACACATCAGATGTCAGACTCTGAGCAGGGGGTTCCTATGATATGGGATTCTGAATTTTTTTTTTTTTGAATTTTGTTTTCCTTTATTTGAAAGGCAGAGTTAGGAGGAAGGGAAGAGATAGAGCAAGAGTGAGCAGTGAGCGAGTAGTGGCGTAGTTTACTCCGCACATGGCAGCAACATGCAGTCCCGCCCAGACCTCTCTGGGGTTCTCTGGTGGGCGGCCGGAGCCAGGACACGGGCCGCGCTTCTGTTGCTTTCCAAGGAGCGTTGGCAGCTGGATCTGAGGCTGAGGAGCTGAGGCTTGAACTGGCACTCCATACAGGATGTCAGAAGCACCGGTGAGGCTGTGACAAGCTGCATGGGGTCAGCACTGTGGCATAGCGGTAAAATAGCATCCCGTGTGGGTGCTAATTCAAGACCCATCTGCTCCACTTGGAATCCAACTCCCTGCCCAGTGCTCCTGGGAAAACAGATGAAGATGGCCCGAGCGCTGGCGCCCAGCTGCCACGTGGGAGACCCAGAGCTCCTGATCCCAGCTTGGGCTGTTGTCCTCGTTTGGGAAGCGAAGCAGCAGATGAAGGTTCTCTCTGTTCCTACTTTCCATCTCCCCATTCCTTGACCCGCTCCTCCTCTTCATTCCTGCCTGTCCCTCTCTCAATTCTACATTTCAAACAAAGAACTCTTTAACAGCCAATAAAAGCCTACAAACTAGAACATCAGATAGGTATTTCAGTATCTGCGCATGTGGTTTTGTTTCACCTTTGACATGCACCGTGAGGCTCTGTTGGAGCATCTTCTGCTGTCTTGTCTTTTGTTGTCCATCCTGTCAGAGCCCGGAGTAGGGTTGTACTATGAAGTGCTTTTTGTTCTCAGCATAATTTTATTTACTCTATAAGGCATTAATGAAGAAGATAGACAAGTTTGTACGCTAGTAACTTCAAGCAGTTGTAAAATTATTGCAAGGCACTTCACTGCCTGAACTCCCTGCGTTTCTTTTCTTCCAGATAAACCGAGGAAGCTGGTGCACCCTCGAGCCGTGTCCTGATGCAGCGGCTCTGTTGGCTTCTGAGCGAGGTGGAGGTAAGCTGAGTTCTCCCGTGTCTACAGATTCTGCTTTCTGCTCACGGCGCGTTTGATTTGGGCATCCGTCGGCCCTCTGCATGGGGAGCACTAACCCGAGGAAGGGGAGCCTGGCCTGCGATTTGGGGCATTGTTGTCACAGTGTCAGAGGAGCCTCTGCAAGTCATGGGGCTGGGGGCTCGCTGACTCGTGCAGTGTCTGTGCAGACGTGCAAGCGATGGGTTCCTAATCTGTGCCCTCAGTTGAGGCTTGAAGCCAAGCTCTCCGTCATGGCTGCACATTGGGGTTACCTGAGACCAGCTGCGTTCTGCCCTGGCATTCTGATTCCCGGGGTGGGCTGCATCCTGGCATCAACCGAGTTCTTGTTTGGACATCCTCCTGTACGGTGGGAGTGGAGAGCCGTAGCATGAAGGGAGTGTTGTCAGGACCCAGGCCTCTCTAGGCACATCAGGAGGATTAGCGATGGCCACTGGCTGCCATGGGCTGTGTCCCGCCTGTGAATGTGAGCCGAGTCCAGGTGCCGGTTCCTACAGCTGCCAGGGCAATACTGGAGATTGTCCTTCGGGTATTTTCCGTATGCTTAACTCAGCAAATGCTCGCCGTCCCCGTGTCCCTGGGCCTTTAGCATAGCCTTATGAAGGTGCTCAGTGCAGCGTGTTAAGGCCACATGGCTGTTGACACTCCCTGAGAGGCGTCTTACACTCGGCTTTCCGAGGGCCGTTAGAAACGGTCTTGCTGCTGTGTGTTTGGGTCTTGACGTTTCATAAGGCTGACCCTCTTCTCAGTTTAGCTGCCACCTCTGCCATCCAGGCTCCTGGCGAGCCTTGTACTTAAGAGTACCAGCGTTTGCGTGGTTTTGATTGTTGGGCAGCTTGAGCATCCCTTCCAGCCGCTCCAGCAGACAGGTCTGCCGAGAAGGAGTTAAATGAAATTGCCTCACAATTTTGAATATTCAAAAAAAGAAAGAATCCTGACCCATTCTTGTTTAATGTTCTTGAAATCACTGAACGTTTTTCCTGGAGTATAATCTCGAATGGGTTTTTTTTTTTAAAGATTTATTTATTTATTGGAAAGTGAGATATACAGAGAGGAGGAGAAACAGAGAGGAAGATCTTCCATCCGATGATTCACTCCCCAAGTGAGCGCAACGGCCGGTACTGTGCTGATCCGAAGCCGGGAACCAGGAACTTCTTCCAGGTCTCCCACATGGGTGCAGGGTCCCAAGACTTTGGGCTGTCCTCGACTGCTTTCCCAGGCCACAAGCAGGGAGCTGGATGGGAAGTGGAGCTGCCGGGATTAGAACCAGCGCCCATATGGGATCCGGGGCGTTCAAGGCGAGGACTTTAGCCACTAGGCCACGCCACCGGGTCCTAATCTTGAATGTTTTAGGCCCCTTCCACACTCTAGTCCCAAGCATAAACAATTTAGTCTTTTACACTGGTTTTCAAATTTGAGTTTTGTGGAATTCAGCAACTGGATCCTGCGTCCGAACTTGCAGCCCGCAGTTCCAGCTCCAGGCAGACTGTGAATCCTCCAGTATTTTCCACATTTGCTTTTCTTCCTTAAGAGAGAACAATGAATTAGACCAAGTGAGATGAGTGTCTCTCTAAATCACTGTTTTCTGCCTTAGTACTGGATAAACACAAGATGGAATTGTGTCTAACATGATTAAGCAAAGTCCAAGAGATGTTGCTAAAAGGTTTTTGCCAAAGAGGAATTTATTTTTTAACATATGTGTGCGTGTGTTAATTTATTTGAAAGCAGGGAGATGTAGGGCCAGTGCGGCAACCCACAGGCGAACCCTCCCCCTGCTGACAGTGGCATCCCATATGGGCGCCACTTCATGTCCTGGCCGCTTCAGTTCTGATCTAGCTCCCTGCTTGCAGCCTGGGAAAGCAGCAGAGGCTCATTTGTACTCATTTGAGGAGTGAACCAGAGTATGTATGGACGAGTTTCTTTCTCTCTCTCCCTTTTTCTCTCAGTAATCCTGCCTTTCAAATAAGAATAAATTAACCTTAAAGAAAAATAAAATCAAGGTGGGAGATGGAGCATGAGAGCTCTGGTTCGCGCATGCATGAGTTGCGTCTGACTGCCTCTGTATCTCCTTTGCTGGGAGGGTTTTCCCCTGCTCTGTGTGAAATGGGCGGAGTAGGCTAGCCTACTAGCCTGAGCACTTCCTCTAATAGTAAGGCCTCAGGCCCAGAGGTAGGCCAGGTGGATCTGAGCGCCTCTGGACCCAGCACCCTTTTCACTGGCTCTTACTGTGGAATGCTGGAAGAATGCCACAGCCAGACACCTGGGACCGCTTTGCCCCGGAGGATGGCTGCAGGCCATTTTCCCTCCTCCCCAGCCTGCAGGCATCGTTCTCTCACCCTGTGAATTTTCAGCGCCTCTTGGACTGTGGTCCCTTACAGTGCTGCAGTGAATGCTCCTGCTGAGCGAAACCCAGATCTGCTTTGAGTTTTTCCGTTAGAATGGCTTCAGCTGGTTTTGTTTCAGTCTGTAGTTTGGATGTGGTCGGTTGGACTGCCAGCTGGACAGCAAGCCGCTGGGCATGGGTGCTGTGACAGCCCTTTCTCTTTTTGGCCAGTCCCGCTGTTTTCCCCACAACCACAGAATGGAGTGTCTGATTTTCCTATGGGTGGATGGGGAAGGAGCAGAGAGATCAGGACTCTACCAGCACTGTCTGAGTTACCGCATCTTCCATGAAATGCAGAGAAAGCCTCCAGAACGCCCGTTGTTTCCAGGCTTGGCAAAAACAGAGCTGTTCCCATCGAGCTGACGCCCTGAAATACTGGAACCAAGACCGAAATGGGCCGAGATCGTGTTCAACGGAAATATTTTTAGATTAGTCCCTTGCTTTCTATTTTGTATTTTTGTAATTTTGTGTTGACACTGTCTAATAGGTTTGTCTCTGCCAGAAAAAACTAGCGATGCCAGTGCCCCCACCTCCCCCCACAGTTTCTCTTTGGATACTTCGCACTACATCCAGTTGTCCAACAGAAAAGCCGATGCTGACCAGTGAGCCGGGAGCTTGGTGGAGGCCGCTCCTCCCCGTCCTCCAGCAACGGGGCTGACTCATGGCAAATAATTTATTGCTTATCAGTTATTAACTGATAATAACTGCAGTCAGGGTAGAGCAGTTTCTTTCCACACTTCCTCCACACGCAGTTGAAAGAGTGGGAGTGTATACCTAGTCCTTGCCTTCTTTCAGTATGGAAATGAGGAACAAGTTGGGGAAATGCAAAATGAAAGTGCTTTGTTTTGTTGGTTTGTTTTTTTGTTTTTAGTTTTAAAGCAAGATTTATTAGAAAAGCTGAGAAGAGAGACTCTGTCCTAGTGATGGGAGGGGGCTCCAAGACCGCATGGTGGCAGAGAGAAAACCCAAGCCTCCTGCCTTGGGGGAGCGGGGGAGGACGGAAAACAGCAAAACAACAACAACAACAGGCCTCCTGCCACGTGGGGGGAAGGATGGAAACAAAACAAAACAACAACAACAGGCCTCCTGCCACAGGGGCGAAGGGAAAGAACGGGAAAAAACAAAACAAAACAAAACAACAACAAAAACAAAAAAGCCCCCTGACCTCCTGCCATAGTGGCAGGAAGTAAAAAGAAAGAAAAACCCAAATTAATGGTGGGGATCTTGTCTTTTAAAATGAGAGTACTTTATAAGTGAGCAAGAGCACAAAGCTAAGGGTGAGAGCATGACCGCACAGCTCTGCAGGAGTGGACCCCGGAGCTTGATGTGTGTTAGGGTGCTGGGTGCCCAATCTTCATGGAGTGAACCGTGGAGCTCAAGTGTGTTAGGGTGCTGGGTGCCCAGTCTCCATGGAGTGAACCCCGGAGCTTGATGTGTGTTAGAGTGCTGGGTGCCCAGTCTCCATGGAGTGGACCCCGGAGCTTGATGTGTGTTAGGGTGCTGGGTGCCCAGTCTTCATGGAGTGGACCCCGGAGCTCAAGTGTGGTACGGTGCTGGGTGCCCAGTCTCCATGGAGTGGACCCCGGAGCTTGATGTGTGTTAGGGTGCTGGGTGCCCAGTCTTCATGGAGTAGACCCTGGAGCTCAAGTGTGATAGGGTGCTGGGTGCCCAGTCTCCATGGAGTGGACCCCTGAGCTTGATGTGTGTTAGGGTGCTGGGTGCCCAGTCTCCATGGAGTGGACCCCGGAGCTCAAGTGTGGTAGGGTGCTGGGTGCCCAGTCTCTCTCCATGGAGTAGACCCCTGAGCTTGATGTGTGTTAGGGTGCTGGGTGCCCAGTCTCCAGGGGTCATCTAACTTCCCTTTTATCTACATCATCAGAATCAGAGGAGGAGCTGGAGGCACCCAGCCAGTCACAAGCATTTCCTGAGTGCAGAGGGGGGCATGATAGGTCCATCTTGGTCGTCATGCAGAATGTGGGAGGAGGGTGAAGTTGACCGGTTTCCTAGAACACGTCTGTTCCTGCCTTCAGTCTGAGAATCCAGGCCTGCTGGGAGTTAGCTGGGTGAATCTGCACTTTCCCTCGGTCTTGTTGTCCGTCTCTGCTCCAGCCCTTCTGATGATGTGGACGCACAGCCCGTTGGGCCAGAGCGCTGTGGTCAGGCATGGCAGCTTCACGTGGTAGGCGCCGCACTGCTCTCCACGGAAGAGGGACTCTACGGCTGACCCATGGCTCTGCTGTGGATGTGGCCTCGAGGCCCTCTGCACACTGGCCCACCCCCGCTGCTGGTCCTGTGGTGACCTGGTTTCCTGGCAGCAGATAGAGGCCTGGGAGGGCTAAGTTGGGTAGCTCATGGTGGTAGCACTACCTCCGTGTTAAACTCTGGCACATGTCTGGTAATGGAGACTTCAATTATCAGTGACTTTTTGTTTACTTTGCCATTGTCTCATAATGTCAGCTGTACTTGAATTTGCCCGCCTCCAGCCAGGGCTTCTGTGAAGTTGGTGGCCACCCGCCACGTCTCTGATCTGCCAGGTCACAACTCCTGCTGTCAGAGAATAGGCTAACGTCTTGCAGATTTCATGAGATGAAGTTCTGGGGCTCCCCCAGTGTTACCCCAGGTATTTGTGTCTGCTGGCACTCAGCCGAGCCCCATCCCACTGTCCTGAACTGCAGACTGGCTCTGCAGAGAGGTTTCCTTTGCTCACACATTGGTTCGCCTTGGAAGACCTTTAATAAGATAGGAACCTTATGTTCTTACTCAGTGGACCCCCCTTTGTGTTTTATTGATAAAGTCTCAAGTTTCCAGATAGAAATGTTCCTATTTTGTAACAGAACTTTTCATACTGTTACGCTTGCATGCTGACACCAGCAGGTTCACCTCTGTCGGAAGACTGTAACCTCCTGACCCGCTGTTTCTCAGACTCTGCCCCGCCACACAGCCGCATGCCTGTGTTGTTGAGGCAGCAGAAGTGGCTACAATTCCCATCACGTGGTCATTCCTAGAGGCGGACTTTAGATTTTGGTAGCCAAAAACAAACAAAAAAATCCCCTAATTACCTGGGGGTGGTTCCTCAATAGGTCCATTCCACTTACATACGTAAATATGGGCAAAATATGCCATGCCTGTATGATTCCTAATGTTTAATCAAGTGAAAGAAAAAGAAATATTGATGGGTGCATGGAGGGAGAAGGGGAAGGAGCGGAAGAAAGATATAAAGAGCTAGCTGTTGGGATGAAGAGAGAGTGGATTTTCCTTTTTAAGTATTGTTTGAATAATTCTCTTCCAGAGTGTGAGGACTTCCTGGATGTGGGGCTGGGCAGCGTGTGGGCATCCGGGAGCGACTCCGAGCTTGTGCCCCCCCGCAGGAACAGCGTGCACAGCGTCCTTGTGTCACAGGTACTGGCGGGGCGTCCCTGGGTGCTCCTGTCCCCTCCGGCCTTCCCTAGAGGTATGGACAGCGTCCTCATGCTGCAGGCACTGGTGGGGTCTGCCCTGCGGTGTGCCCTCGCCTTTGCTGCCTCGTTCCTCTGACGAGTGCTGGTTCAGCTCTGTGTCCCTCCCCCAAGGAGCTGGGAGCCAGCCAGCTCGGTGGGCTCCTCTCATCCCGAGAGGGTTATAAACCTTTCCTTTGGAGAGGAACTCAAACTGCCAAGACTTGGAAAAAGCAGTAGCCACATTTATCTTCTGCAAGGCCATGCTGCTTATTTGCGTCTTTTTGAAACTCACACAGAAGTCTAAATGAAGCAGGGCTCCTTTGGGATGAATTCAGTCAGGTGTCAGTGGGCCGACGTGCTGTCATGGTGTTCACATGGAACCGTTTCTGGTTAATGTGCTCAGGCCTGAAGCCTGTTGCAGAGTGGTGATAATCACCCCTATCATCTTCCTAATTGGAACTTTCTAGACCTCTGCTTGCAAGCCACATTTATCCCTAGTGAAAGCCTGTTGGTGCGTCTGCATGCAGCTGCAGGAGGGCTAAGAGAGGGTCAGTGGGACTGGCTGCTTGCTTTTTCTTGAGTTTCTGCCCGTAGCAAATTGCTTTGACCCCGAAGACTAGAGGGCTTTCCTGTGTGCAGCGCAGCTGGTATGTTCAGTGGACATGGTGCAGGACTGCTGCAGCTGCTTGAGCAAGGCTGAAGGCTCATCCCTGAGCTTACGGTGGCGTGGCAACAGGCTGCAAGCATCTGTGTTCGCTGGTTAAGTCAGTGCTGGGGGCTCACGGTACAGCAGTGCTGCTGGATTCTGGAAGTGTGTTCTAGAAGCTGCTGGAGCCTGCGTGCATGTGGCTGGCCGTTTGCCCACTGGGGTCCAGGTTGCAGCTCGGGTCTCCCCTCCATTGGTTGACCCTGTGCGGTTTGTAATCCTCTTGGGCACACTGCCTTCGTAGGCACTGTGCAGAGATCTGTGCTGTGACTTGGGGTTTCTGCACCTGTTCCCTATAGAGCTGGCTCTCTGGGGGGTCTGTGAAAACACCTCACATTGCGAAGGTCTCCTCTTCTCTAGAACTGTTGAAGAAAGCCAAAGCTAGTATTTTTAAATGAAATCGAATTTCAGTGATTATTATTGTGATGGTGAAGTTTTAAATGTAGTTTTCTGTTCCCACTAAAGGGGATGCTATTCTGAAGATATTGGGCCTCAAAAGCATACGGTTTGTTTGTTTGTTTTTGTTTTGGTGGGGGAAATCAAGAGATCGGAGATTTTCTCTAAATTCCAAGTTTAAAATAGAATCATTGATAGTTACTGAAATGGGATCACAGATAGTGGAATTCTGTTAGATATTTATGTATGTTTGAAAATTGAAATGGCAACAACTTCCTCAAAAATGAAGGTAGCACCTTCCCAAGAAACGTTGCTGCCTCCTGGCCCTGCAGAGCCTGTTGGCACCTGAGTGCCTATTACTGCGGGCATTGAGGGCGCCTGCACAGGTGTCTGGGAAGACTGGCCAGGCACAGCCGGCGAGCTGCAGGACACTCCTCAGAGAAGATGGGTCTCCATTTCCTGCTGGAGGGCCGAGGGTGAGGCAGAAAGGCGAGATGCTCTTTGACCTCTGCGGGGGGGCACGAGGACATTGGCCTTCCAGGCTCGAGCTCCGGAGACGCCTGGCAGTCAGGCTTTCTGCAACATTTTCACAGAACCTGGGCTCCCTTGTGAAAGGAGCAGGAGGAAGAGGCCCAAGGCTGGCGTGCGTTTCCAGGCAGCAGGCCCTGAACCAAGTCTGTGTACACGCTGGCAGACAGTAACTCCTAGGCCCTCAGCGACGGAGGAGGAGAACTGAGCTTGGTAACTGGGCCCGGCTCTTAGGAGAACTGAGCTTGGGAACCTCAGCCTTGAAAAATCTAATATTTGGTGGTTTGTCTAGTGATCTGGTGCTGGCCAGCAGGCTGTCAGTTACTTCCGAAGCCATCGATACCTCAGTGGTCATCCCCACGACGTGTGGGGCGAGTGTTAGAATGCCCTCAGCTTCTCCCCCAGGCTCTAACCTTCTTCTTGTCTAAAAAACCGTCTGGAGCCAAGGCATGACAACATCGTTTCCTGTGCACTGAGTGGTGCATGACGTCACTTCCTGTGGCCTTGCTGAGGTCTGCTGGGCAGCCAGGAGTGCTGGTCCTGACCTTTCCCAGGGCGCCTCCTCAGGGCTGAACTCTGAGGCTGTTCTCACCATGTTAGCTAGCTTTTTGTTTCTTTAGCCAAAATTCCGGAGAGCAGGTTCTGAAAAAGAAAGTGTTATTTGGTCTTAGAATTTGGAGCCTTTCAGCTCAGAAGCAGGCAGCCTTCCGGGTGACCCTGGCAGAGTAGCTGTGGAGGATGACACAAGGTTCCAGGAAGCACCCCGAAAAGCTGGGCCGGACTCAGCTTGAGGACCACCCCCCATGACAGGAACCGCCTTCCAAGGGCACCGCCAGCCACTCACCCCTCCAGACACTGTGGTTAGAGGAAGTGAGTTTGGGGAGCCACACTGTCTTCTATTTGTAACACTTATGACAATTTCTGGTTCCTGAGGCCTTTAAAGATTAACAGCTTAAAATTTAGATTTTGTTTTGAAAATGAGGTTTGGTTCTGAGATCCTTTTGGCAGGTATGATTATAAAATACAGATGATCTAGGCCATTCTTCTCTGCAAAAGAATATTTGACATGTACAGAAACTGTTGCTATAAGGGCCAGCAGCGTGGCCTGCCTGGGAAAGCTGCCTGCTGTGAGGCCAGGATCCCATATGGGTGCCTCTTCATGTCCCATCCAGCTTCCTGCTAATGGCCTGAGAAACCAGCAGAAGATGGCCCAAGGTCTTGAGTCTCTGTACCCATCTGGAAAACCCAGAAAAGGCTCTTGGCTCATGGCTTTGGACCTGCCCAGCTCTGGCCACTGCAGCTGCTTGGAGAGTGAGCCAACAGCAGACAGATGACATCCTGCACTCCACCAGCCCTGCAGTAATGCCCTGCCCGCCCACGTAAAGCTGGGATGGAGAGAACACCTGGCTGGCCTCGGTGGCAGTACCTACTGTGAGTGTCATAGCTGGGGGTGAGTCACAACACCTGCCAGAACCCAAAGAACAGGATCGGGAGGCACCTCATGTGGGTGACTTGTGGGCTCATCTCTTGGACTGGAGGGCCTGCAGGTTTAGATGAGAGCTGGAGTAGTGACAGGCTGACAGAACTCAGCTGACACTCATGGAAATAGGGTTAGGAGGAGGCGTGGCAGGGCCAGGCTGCAGCACACACCAGCACGGGCACAGGCCAGGCCCGTGGGGAGACCATGCCAGGCAGGGCTGCTGCACCCACTAGCATCCATGGGATACTGGCCTGGGAGCAGGCCTGGTAGGAGAACTTAGGGAACTCTCCTGCTAGACTCAGTTCCCACTGTGGAGCATTAGGAGTTGGAGCTGGGGGCAGGCCAGGCCAGACAAAGCTGTAGCACTTCTCAGTATTTGTAAGGGCCAGGTCTAGGGGCAGGCCAGGCTGAACTAGGCTTCAACACCCACCGGAGAGAGCTGATAACTTGAGTGGGCCATACCAGGTTTGTTTGAAGCACCTGCTAGTATGCATGAGACGTGGGTTGGGAACAGACCTTGAAGGGAAGCTCTGGGGACTCTCTTGCTGGGCTTTGCTCCCGTTGGTGAGTGAGAGATTTGGGACTGCGAATGGACCAGGCTGGGCAAGGCTGTAGCACCTGTTAGTGTGGGTATGGGCTGAGTCTTGGAGGTGTACCAGTGTAGGTTAGGTTCCAGCAACCACTGGCACTCGAAAAAACCAGAATGGATGCAGGACAGGCTGGGCTAGGCTTCAGCACCCCCAGGTCACATGAGAACCATGTTGGGGGTGGGCCAGGTTGAGCTAGGATGCTGTGCTCACTGGCAAGAGCTGGAAGGGGATGGGCTGGGCTGAGCCAGACTGGCATCTGTTGCTGATTGTCAGAACTGGGGATGAGACATTTTGGACTGGGCCCACCCACATGTGTAAGACTTGGCTGGGAGCAGACCTGGTAGGGAATTTTGGGGACTCCCTTGCTGGCCGCTACTTCCACTGGTAAGCATGAAAGCTGGGACTAGGGGTAGGCCAGGTTGGGCTAAGCTGCCAGTACCCCCTGGCATCGAGAAAGAGCCAGGACGGGTATGGGCCAGCTGGGCTAGACCACGGCACCAATGGCAAGTCATGTCAGGCTGGACTGCAATATCCCCTAGTAGGTGCAAGTCCCATGGCTGGGAGCATGCCATACAGGGGAACTGTGCACATCCCCTGCTAGATTGTACCTACTGGGGAGTGTGAGAACCAGGGATGGGGGCAGGCCCAGCTGAGCTAGGCTGCAGCCCCCACAGGTGTGCACAAGAACCAGACGGAATGCAGGCCGGACTGGGCTAAGCTGAAGCAAAGGCTGGTATGTGTGAGAACCAGGGCTGAATGGGCTGGGGATGGGGTGGATCTGTTGGGGGTTGTTGGTTGTCACCCTGATTAGGCCATGGCATCAGCTGGGTCTGCAGTGATCAGGCTGGGCCGGCACAGAACTGACTGGACTGCTTGCATCCACCGTTACATGTCAGCTGTTGGGAGTGACAGGCTGAAACTGAAGCTGACCTGGCTTGTGTCAGGTCTGAGGTCACCCCAGGTCAGGTTTCTCGGGGATTCCCCAGCTAGACCACTGGACTCAGCCCAGCCTCTGATCATAGGACTTATAGTGTGACACTCGGTTGATTGCCTGTGTCGGGACTGGGCCGCTCAGTTGTTGTTGGCTCTGTAATGGACAGCTTGTCTGGATGCACTTGGGGGACATGATGGCCAGCTCATGTGGACCAACAGGGAATGGCAACAGAACAGGTTGCCTCATCGTAGGATGGCAACAGAACAGGTTGGACAATTCTCCCGGCCAAATTTTGCAGCATGTTCCTGAGTGTGTGGATGCACTGAGGTGGACTCTGTCCACTAATGGACCCTGGAAGATTTTCTCTAGCCTGGAGCAACAAAAGCATCAACTTTTCAGACTATCAAACCGCTCAGGTCACACCCTCCAAGCACGCTTCCCCACATCAGGGTCTCTGAAGTGTCATCCGACAACCATCCCCCTTCTCCGGGTGCTCATTTAGTGTGACAGAAAGGAGCAGCTGTCCCCTCCTCTACCCCTGTGGATACAGGGAGGAAAAACAGAAAGCCAAAACCCACCTAACTTCCCGTCCCACCCTAGTCGGGGCTCCAGGATCTCAGCTGGGTAGACAGTGTTGAAAAAAGAATAGCAAATTTTAAAGGAAATTACCTTTAAAACCGCATTAAGATTAGACACACTTTAGGGGTCGGCGTTGTGTGACTGCTGAGCTGCGTGGAAGCTTGGCTGCTCCCTGCCTGTGGTCTGGAAAAGCAGTCGAGGACAGCCCAAAGCCTCGGGACCCTGCACCCGCGTGGGGGACCTCAGAAAGTCCATGGCTCCTGGCTTCAGATCAGCTTAACTCTGGCAATTGCAACTACTTGAGAAATGAGCCAGTAAATGGAAGATCTTTCTTTTTTTCTAATTTTGTTTTTGATGATGTTTTACATAGTTGATTAGGGTGGGAAGGGTCCAGGACCAGGGGAAAATGGGTGAGACCTTTGTGTCCATGTTTTCTTTTCCTTCTTGTATCTGGGTGAAAGGGAGAGAAGAGGCAAGAAACCGCACCCAGCCTCCCCGCTGCCTCAGCACCTGGGGATGGGGACAGCCGCCCGATGTCATCCCAGGGTCCCCATGTGGAGCATGCCTCGGGATCTGCTCCAGTGGTTTTGATAGCTCTGAAATGCTGTCGATCCTGCAGATGCAAGGATCGGGTTCCTGGCTCTTGGGTTGGCCTGGCCCAGCCTCAACTGGTGCAGGAATCTGAAGACTCAGTCAGTGGACGGCTGTCTGCCTTTATGCGTTTCAAGTAAAATGAAACAGGTTTAAAAACGAAGTGTGCATTAGCAGGTCACCAGGTGTTTTCTCATTCTGATAGCATCTTGCAACAGGTGGATGTTTGGTGAGTGTGTGTGTCATGTCCCAGGGCAGCAAGCCAAGTGTGTTTTGCAGGCAGTGCCCTGCCGGGACTGGAGACCAGAGTCGAGAGGTGCCTTTTTGTCAGGAAGCAGTTCTGAGCTGCAGAGAGCGCGGTAGGTGAGAGAGACACGTGACCGTCCCAGCTGGGGCTGCGTCGGTGACTTGCCTGCCTGGCGTGTTTTCGAGTAGTCTTGCCGCAAGTTTTCTCTGTCGCTGCTTATTCTGCTCGTCAGTGGGGTTGTTGTGAGAGAAAGTGAGGTAGCTAAGGGTTCATGTCTGAAGGCTGCTGGAGGAAGTTAGCACCAATACGTGGTGGCGTTTATCTTCCTGTAGTGTGGGAGATGGGAGAGTCTGGGATTCACAGCTGGGCTCTGTGCTCCATGCCTGCCTTGGAGTCCTGGGGGAGTAGGAGTGCCTTGGCAGGGGCTCCATGCCTGCCTTGGAGTCCTGGGGGAGTAGGAGTGCCTTGGCAGGGGCTCCATGCCTGCCTTGGAGTCCTGGGGGAGTAGGAGTGCCTTGGCAGGGGCTCCATGCCTGCCTTGGAGCCCTGGGGGAGTAGGAGTGCCTTGGCAGGGGCGTTCCATTCCCCCATCGCTGCCTCTGCCTTCCTGGGACTGTCTTCCCAGGTGTCGCCCCTATTCTCCTAAAGAGACCACCTGCAGTGGATGTCAGAGCAAGGCCTCTCCCTCTTGGCCCATGCACACTCCGGCGTACACGGTCAGAGGGGACCCAGCAACAGGAGCGCTGGCGTCGAGGTCTTGCTCTTCCCAGGCGACTGAATGACATGGCCATGCAGTTCAAGTGGAGGTCAACCCCAAGTTAATGCCCAATTGTGTGGAATGGACTGTCTGCGCCTCACTTCCTAATCTCCCTTCCCCTCCAGCCTCTGTTTACACATTGTCTCATAAGCAGTTAATCTAGGAACCAGATTCCATGGAGTGGGGAAAAATAGCCAGGGAGATTCAGCTCCAGAGGGGCAACCAGCAGAAGCGTCAGTTAACCGTTTGAAATGGCTGCTCCAAAACTGAGAGTGTTAGCTCTCATGGATTAGCTTGATTTTCTATAAAGTATCATCATTTTTTCACTTTTTAAAGAGGTTTGTTATTTCAAAAGAATTAGAGAAAGGAGGTAAGGGGAGAGGAAGAGTGGGGAAGCAGGAGGTCGCCGCCGTCTCTTCATCACAGTGGCTGGGACTGAGCCGGGCTGAAGCCAGGAGCTTCGTCCAGTTCCCATGTGAATGCAGGGACACAAGTGATTGGGCCATCTTCCACGGCTTTTCTCAGGCTACTGGAAGGGAGCTAGACAGGAAGTAGAGCAGCTGGGACACACACCGGTGCCCATATGGGCAGAGACAGTGTGTCCCATTGCTGTACCACAACACCAGTGTTGGATTTCATCACCCTTGACCTTGAGTCAGCTGCCTAATCAGGGCATTACAAAAACACTGTGAAAAAATTACAGAAGCACCTTTCTTTCCCCATTCCTGGTCCTGTGAGGGAGCATGGGGAAGGCACTAAGACAGTGCCCGCGTTGCAAGGGGCTGTGCCCCCTCCCTGCCTCGGCCCTCCATCTGAGACTCTGGTGTCTGAGCAGGAGTGGAGCACACGAAGCTACTCTGACCAGGGACAACCAGGGGACAGAGGAGTGGCACTTTGTTGAGGATTCAAGACTGACAGTTGTATGTGACGGACCTCACGGCCCTTAGCCCGTCCTCAGTGCCATGAGGGATAACTTCCTGCTAGCTTAGCCTGGGAGCCATCCTGCGGTCGTGTGAAGCTGTTCTGCGTGTCTGCAGGGCCCTGCAGAGCAGTTGCACAGTGTTGAACATGGATTTCCCCACCTTGCGGCCGGCCGTCTGCTTTGTTCTCAGCGAAGGTCATGGAGATACTGGCCCTGACACAGTGCTGCTTTGCAGTTCTTTTATTGTAGCAGCACAGAGGCTTGTAATTCAGCTCAGGGCTGGACCTCCCAAGTCGCCTGTCTGTCTTCTGTGTGTGAAAACCCAGTATGGTGGGAGTAGTTCTAGTGGTGGTGTTGTTGGAAGAGGGTGGGAGGAGGGGACCTTGACTCCTCCATCCCTGAAGGTCAGGTGCACGCACATCCAGCTGCAATTTGTTTTCTAAGAACATCCTTGTTGGTGTGGCTGTGTGCCCTACCACTTAAGCCACTGACCAGGACATGCATGTTGAGTGTCCAAGCTGAGTGCTGCCTGCCACCCTGGCTTCCTGTCAGTGCAGAGGCTGTGACAGCACAAGGAAACCCGGGCTCCTGGGTCCGGCATGAAACAGCCCATCCACCACAGGTGTGTGGGGAGTGAAGCAGCAGAATGGCAGCAGAATGAAGTTCTGTCCTTTTCTGCCTCTTGAATAAATTCCTTTGTGAAAATCAATGTTTGAAGCCAGTTCCGTTGCTGCTGTTTGGGGCTCTACTGGGAAGCCATTTGCGTGGCCTTAAGTAACTGGGCTTACCTGCTTGGTCCTTCTTGTTAGCACCAACCATGTTTCTGTCTGTGGCAGCCTGCAGGAAAACAGTCAGCCAGCGATGTCCTGGGACCCAGTGCTTCAGCCGAGGACACCGCTTCCCAGGATCGGCATTCTTGTCCGGGCGGTGATGTGTCTGCCCCCTCGACTGCAGAACTGAACAGGCCCAGAGAAGAGCTGGGTGCTGCTGGCCTCAACCCGCTTGGACTAGGAGCAGAGGGCTGCGCAAGGGACAAGGAGCCTAGCGGTCGTGGTGAGGTGGAAGAGGAAGAGGAGCTGGACAGCATCACCGACGTGCCTGCCGGCCACTCGCTGCTGAGGGGCTCTGTGCGTCCACTCTCCCCCTTCCGGAGGCATAGCTGGGGCCCCGGGAAGAACACAACCAGTGACGCAGAGATGAACCAGCGGAGGTGAGCCGGGAGGCCCAGGGCTCAGGGACGTGAGCTGGAAGACTCAGGGCTTGGGGAGGTGAAATGAGGGGCCCAGGGCTTGGGGAGGTGAGCTGAGAGGCCCAGGGCACAGGGAGGTGAGCCGGGAGGCCCAGGGTTCAGGGATGTGAGATGAGGGGCCCAGGGCTCAGGGAGGTGAGCCAGGAGGCCCAGGGTTTGGGGAGGTGAGCCAGGAGGCCCAGGGCTTGGGGACGTGAGCTGGGAGGTCCAGGGCTTGGGGAGGTAAGATGAGGGGCCCAGGGCTTGGGGAGGTAAGCTGGGAGGCCCAGGGCTTGGGGAGGTGATCCGGGGCCCCAAGGCTTGGGGAGGTGAGATGAGGGGCCCAGGGCTTGGGGAGGTGAGCTGGGAGACCCAGAGCTCGGGGAGGTGAGATGAGGGACCCAGGGCTCGGTGTCAGGAAGATGCCTGTCCCCATTCCAGCTCTGTGACTTCTTTGGATGGACCCTTGGACTAATCGCTCCACTTTGATTTTCTCATCCATAAAATGAAGTGTTTTTCTTTTTTGCTTATTTGTAATGGTTAAATGCTTCTAATAGACACTCCTTAGTGACAATGTTTGCCAGCCTTGTTCATGAAATCGGTGCTCAGAAAACATTGCAAAGAATAGGTTTCTGTTCATTTTGAATTAAATAATTAAGTTGTAGAGTCTTAACAAGTCTTCATTTTTTAAAAGACTTCCCAAGAATTGTAGCCATCTGTTGGTACAGCAGAATGCTTTAAGCAGACATGGTCTTCCTTTAATGCTTAAGGGAGCGTAAAACACATTACACATTGTTAAATTGTTATAAACAGTCTCAAGTATCCAGAGTATTACTACTCTGTGTGACCCAGTCCTCCTCCCTCTAGGAAACTTGGACCCTGGCCACCACTGTGCACAGGGGCAGGTGGCTTTCTCCTTGAGTGCATTCCAGAGCTGCTGCTCAGGGCAGGATGGCATCTGCGGGAGGGGCCGGCCCAGCTCAGAGGAGCACTTGGTTCTGCTCCCCAGGTAGAGCTGCAGAGAGGAGGTGGAGTTCTGAGCCCACACGGCTGGTGGGGCTCCAGCACACAGGCCCTCTGCCCTCTTTTCCCTGGGTTGGAAGTGGAGCAGCTGGGACTCGAAGCAGTGGGGTGCTGGCACTGCAGGGAGCAACTTCCTGTGCTGTGCCGTGACATCAGACCTCTTTGCTCGCATCCTAAAAACATCCTGGCTGTCCTCTGTGTCAGCTAGTCCCAAGTATTCGCTCACTCTCCCGCTCTTGTTCAGCTGTCCCACACTGGGTGTCCACTGTGTATCCTGGAGAGGCAGAGGTCATGAGGCCCCAAGGCACCTTCCCTTTACAGGCAGTTATCCTTGACCCTGTGCCTTCTGGCTTTGTGGCCCAGGACACTGTGGCTACATGATGACACGAGCAGGAGTGCAGTGTGGTTGGCCCGCTGCTCTGTGCCATGTCCGCCAGTGTCCTGAATATCTAAACACTTGGCTTCCCAGTTTGATTCATACTGCAGTTTTTGTCTTTGTGTTAAAACATTCACAACAGAAAATCAGCGGTCGTGGGGAATGACCTTTGTAGCTAGAATCTTGTGAGGCAAGGGTGACCTGCTGCCCGGGTGCCCTTCCTTGTCTTAGGTGAGCAGGGTGTCAGGCAGGAGGGTCCTGGGTTGCAGGGTCCAGGGTGACCTGCTGCCCGGGTGCCCTTCCTTGTCTTAGGTGAGCAGGGTGTCAGGCAGGCGGGTCCTGGGTTGCAGGGTCCAGGGTGACCTGCTGCCCGGGTGCCCTTCCTTGTCTTAGGTGAGCAGGGTGTCAGGCAGGAGGGTCCTGGGTTGCAGGGTCCCTTTTCTCTATGAGCGCCTTTCGGACCCTTTGTGCAGATGGCTGTCAGAGGTGCATTTTACTCCTGTGTGCATGATGGCCAGGGTTGTGTGATACTCTGCAGAGGGAAGTGACAGCAGAACTTTGAGGCTCTGGGTCATTTCACTGTCTCGTGACATAGGTTTTCATGAGTATGACTTAAACCTCATCATATATAATATTGCCTGGGTTTTCAAGTTGTAAGAAAATCCTTTTCTAGTTTTGAATAATATTCTTTTTTCTGATCTTTGTGCTTTTATAATGTAATAAACTCACTGATGTGTCTCCTGGTTGGCCTCTTGGGGCGAAGGGGCATTGAGGCTGTCCCCACGGACGGTGCTGGACACTTGGACCTGGATGTTTTTCCACTGTGTGTGACCTAAGCACTGACCTGTTGCACTGTTCATTTTCAGTTCAATGCGAGCTCTTGGGGATGTTGTCAGGAGACCTCCCATCCATAGGAGAAGGTACAGACCTCGCTGACCTGGTGGACTAACCCTCTGCTCGGAGCGCAAACTAACAGGCCTTTCATTGCTCACACCACTACACAGCCTTTTCTGATTTTTCTTTTCTTTTCTTTTCTTGCATCTGATTTGAGCAAATGAAATTGAGGTACTTAGCACTGATGTCCACACTGTGTGAACTGGTTCCGCTGATGGTTTTTTTCGGCAAGCATTTTGCCGGCTGCCCCCCCTCGTGTTCAGATGCCTCTGATAGGATCTCACCCATCTGGGGAGGTGGAACTGTCCATGCTGTACTGCTCTAATGTCTCAGGGAGCTACTTTGTTCCCATTCTGGAAAGCACAGACACCTGTGTGCTCAGGCACGGGCCCTGAACTGCTTTCAACACTTTGTTTCATGGTGTGATGAAAGCCTTGGTGATGGGCCACTTGGCAGCTTCCCTTTCTTTGGTGTAAAAACAAGAGTCATGAGTCAAACTTCCAACCTCTGGATTCTCTATTAAGGTGAAGTTTTGAAGCTAAAATTATATGATTAGTAATCTTGGAGTTGTTAGTCAACTTTTCTAAATGTTAAGTTTCATTTATGTTTATTATTCATAAATCATTAATGACTTTATTTGGAAAAAATGTTTAAAAATGCAGAAATTAGCTTCTCATGTTAGGGCTGGATGGCCCTTGTCATAGGGACTGTGGTGAAAACGTGTTGTTCACTGTTGACTGAGCTTGTCTGTTGGGAGGCAAGCAAGTAGTGACCTGTCCAGCTTGAACTTTTCCAAGGAGATGCTTTGTTTACTGCTGGAGTGTAGACCAAAAATGTGTGTGTGTGAGAAAGCCAGTGCTTAAAATCAGATAGTCTCAGGAATTTTGATCATTGTGAATGTCCTATTGTTATAAATGCCATTTCTGGTAGCAGGTGTATAAACCTTTGCAGGTCTTTCACATGCCTTTGCTAAAAGCATTCGTGTGCTACAGACAGAGGTTAGACAAGTTGCCGGACAGAGTCAAGGCAGCATTGAGAAGTAACCGTTAGCACTTGTAGTTATGGTTGCACTCACAGTGTTGCTATTTTTTGTAGGAAGAATATAAAGTATAATTTTCAGTTTTGTAGAGGGAGACATGTTTCTCTTTAATGTAAGACTTCCTGAATTTCAAAAACAGACGCTCACAGCCAGTGAACCATTAGATGTTCTCTCCACTCTGGAGTAACTGAGAAAGCCAGCATGCTCTGTGAAGGGCTCAGCCTTCTGGAAGATGTTTGCTGATACACGGAGGGCACACACTGGGTGGGCTGCAGCGGGACTGCCAAGTCCACCCCCCATGCCCTGTGCTTCACCCCCCATGCCCTGTGTTTCATCCTGGTCCTGGTCCTGGGCCGAGAGCAGGGCGTGCTGCTGAGCTCTGCACCAGGAGCATCTGTTACCATGTTCTGTTTTTAGTATGCAGTTAGATATTTGGGCATAATGTGCTTGCTTATTAGCATATTGGTGATTTAAGAAATAAGTTAATAATTGGAAAGAAGGGGCTGTGACGTTTTGTGTGTGAGCTCTGTTGTTGCTCACACATCACACGAGAGTGTTGCTGGCCAGTCCCGTCCCAGTTGCTCATTTATTCCCACTAGCTGCTTCCACACATAGGAGCTTTGTATGATTCTTTCAATTGATTTAATACTGCTAAAATCAGTTTTAAGTGGCAGCTTCAGGCTTTCCTTGTACCGGACAGCCCTGCAGAGCAATTGTCCTCCTTTGTCCCATTGGCCCACCCTCCTGTGTCTTGGAGCCACTCCCTCCCTGTGCACAGGGCTGCGGAGGAGCACAAGGGCTTGCCTTGGATTGAGTTCTGTTCACCAACCCCCTGCTGAAACACAAGCATTTGAAGGCCCACATGGTAACAGTAACATTTTTAAAAAGTTACTGGCTTTTGGTTAGTCAGTAGCATTGTCGTGTCATGGAGCACTTGAGTCTTTGAATAAATTATCCAACCCCAGATTTTCCATTCTTGTTGCTTTAGAACTCGTAGCAGTGGGTCAGGCCAGTGATCAAATGGCCTTGGTTTGTTTTGTGGGAAAAATGGGTAGACACCAAACATGTAAAAGATGTATTTCCAACTCAACATGAAGAAAGATTCTCTGCATTATTTAAAAGTAAGGGATGGAGGGAGGGGGCTCACACGGCGGGACAGGGCTCACACGGCAGGTCTCTACAGGGCTAAGGGCTCGGGAGCCCCAGGGCAGAATTAGAGAGTGTGACTAGGGTGTGCTGGGTGTGCTGGGGGCTGCCCTCAGTGGGTGAAGCTCCCTGGGATCTGTAGAGGGAAGGGCAGGATGCGTTTTGGGGTTCCAGAGGGAGCCATTCCCCAAAGCGGTAGTTAGACAGTAACGAAATAATTTTATGTTTCATGTCTTACTTTAGCCTTTTTCTCAATTCTAAATGTTACATTCCTAAATGTTGCGATGATTAAGTCTTTCTCTAACTGTGCTTTTTTTTTTTAAACCTAATAACCCCATCCTTGTTTCCCTCTTTCTTCCTCTTCCCGTTTTTCCCCGGATGTCATCCCCAGTATGAGCTGGTGCCCCTCTGGTGCACAGCACTCGACAGGCCTGAGTGCTGACTGTAATTACAGAAGGTATGGTATCCTGACCTGGCAGCCACCTGCCAGCACTGTTGGCTGTCGCGTCGGGACCGGGGCTTGGAGCTGGCTTCTCTGTGCCTGCTGTGTGTTGGGGCTGGTCTGTCTGAGCCCCTTGTTGCCTCCGCTGCAGGAACTGCTGATGAGGAGGGGGTAGGAGTGGCCCTGTGTGAGGCCAACGCCCTAAGCGCCTGGTTTGTCTCGGTGACCTGCCTTTGTGGGGTAGTGTGCCATGTCGGCTCTCTGCGGAGTCCCAGGCCCAGGAATTGCCATCCCGGGGTTAGAGCAGCCAGAAAGGGCCCATGGTTCTACTTTGCTCTCAGAACACCCGACTGTTGGGATTCAAAATTCACACTCCTCTTTCAGGATCCCTTTTGCAAATTCCATGGCTAACACATTCTAAAGGCTGAGTTTGGGGGTGAGGTAGATCTGATTTCCTTGGGCTTTTGCAATAAATCTCCCCTTACCTGTGCAGTTGGGAATAAATGTTGCAAAGATGTTTGCCTGTAGTCAGCTGTGATTCTGTTGTCTCATTTGTTTTGTTTACCTACTGGAGGAAATAGGGGCCTGTGGCTTCCGTTCAGGAGTAATTTGTGGAGATTATTTAAACAAAACAAAAGAGCAGCATCCCGGGTGAGGGAGGTAGCAGCCCACAGCGCTGTTTCCCTGAGCTCCTGGTCCCCCAGGTAGGATGCCAGGAACCGTGGAGGTGGTCCACTGCAGCTGTGTCTTGAGGTCTGATTATCTTAAGCAAATCCCATTGCACTTGTAACTGCTGTGGACCCAAGGAACGAGCCCTCCCCCCCCCCCCCCCAGTGGCTTCCTGCTTACTGACTGTGCCCTGGCACTCTGCAAACAACTAATGCCTTATCTGTGGAGTTTTGGATACATTCTAAACCCTGCTTGCTCTTCTGCCCTTTCCTAATATCATGATAAAAAAAACAAAACCACTTGGACTTATGGAAGCTTTCACCATTTGCTCTGAGTGCTGCAGCCAGCCCCTTTCGCCAGCAGTGTCTGGTCAGGTGTGTTCACCTGGAAACATGGGTTTTCTGGGGCTGGACACTCCACCTGTGCGGCTGTGCGGTCGGGTAGAAGGTGGCGGAGTGTGGAGTTGTAACGGGTCACTCCACTGACAGAAGGCATGCTACCCAGTTTGCTTTGCTCACATTTTCTCTGTGATGTGTTGTTGTTTGGCATTGCGCTGTTAGATCTTGGCACAGTTAAGTAGTATCAGAAGATGGGTAGGATAAGCAGGGCATGTTCCTGTGATTTGTTGAAAGAACCCTGGGGAATGGAGCTTTGCTGGTTCATGGTTGAAGCAAGGCGTCACCATGAGCAAGCACTGGCAGCGTTCTTTCTCAGCTCCCTCGGTCCAAGCAGGAAGAGCACACGGAGGCAGCTCGCTCAGGGACCGTCTCACCTGCTGACCTAGAGTGAGGCTATGGCTTGTGGGGCCCTGTGCCTGCCACCCCGATCCGTAGAGCGAGGCTGTGGCTTGTGGGGCCCTGTGCCTGCCACCCCGATCCGTAGAGCGAGGCTGTGGCTTGTGGGGCCCTGTGCCTGCCACCCCGATCCGCGGCACTGGCATGTACTGATTCGCCTCCCCTGTGCTCAGTTTCAGTCTGGAAGGCTTGGCAGGCGGAGCTGTCGCGGGCAGCCAGCCGTCCTCATCTCTGGAAGGAAGTCCTGCACGCAGCGAGCTGAGGCAGCCTCTGGGCCGAGAGCAGCGGGGAGGTTCACTGCTCTCGCTTTCGGAGGAGGAGCTCGGGGCTCTGCAGCAGGAGCATGGGATGTTCGATCAGCAGGTAAGACCAAGACACGCATGTCTTCCAAAAAGGGCCTTAATTACGAACGTGGAAGGCATGACTCACTAAGTGTAGGGTCCATGATGTCTTACCCATTGTAGAAAACACTCAGTCTGCCGGTTAAAATTCCTTCCACACAGGTGTGAGTGTTCCACATAAGCTAACTTTCTAGAATTGAGAAAATAGAACATGGGAGTTTTTGTTACATAAAGCCTTATGTATCACTTGCCAGAGGTAAAGCAAGGACAGTGTGTTCCTGTCCTTGTTACACTTGCCAAGGTTTCTGGAGAGTCTGCTTGCTGTCCCGGCCTAGTGAGAACTCCTTTAGGTCTACGCCATCTTGCTCGGCCCCATCAGCTCGTTTCCACGTTGGCTCTCCTGACAACGCCTCTTTAGAAGTCCGGGTCTTATCAGTCAAGACATTTCCTTGGTTCTCTTGCTCGATCACTGGCTTATGAGCTGAGAATTGGAACTGCCCGCTGCTGTCATATCCCGCTTGTACCTTGTCCTGTGTTCTTGTGTTGGGTTCCATCTGAATTCCCTCAAGGAGACATTTCTAGTTGACCAAAGTGTGGAGCACGTGTCTGGGGCGTGACGGGGGTTTGAATGAATTCTAGTTCTGGAATGTTTACTGGTCCGTAGCGATGGCCGAAGACAAACTTGACGCCAAAGGGCTCCCTGATGGTGTCACTCACGTTCGGGAATCGCACTGAAGGCCTGGAAGGCTTTGGCTGCCAGGATTTTGCCTCCGTTTCTGCAAAGGTTGGAAGCAGTCAGGAGGAGGAGCATATTGAAGCAGCTGATTCAGAGGTGTGTGTCCCAACAGTGACCAGGAGAGGCCGGAACAATAGGACCTGGTAGTCTTTGTTAGCTGCTCTGTGCACCTTTGGTGCGAGCAAAGAAGCCAGCACGAAATCTGAGAAGAAACTGCATTTCTAGTTTAGGGCATCATTTGTAGGACCCGATAAGACAGTAGAAGCATGTGTTTGTGAATGCACTGTTCTCTTAGAGGGTAACTACTCTCTCTTCAGCTTAAGCTCTCCAGCCCCTCTGCTGGACTTAGCCCAGGCCTGGTCCACTGGGCGCAGAGTCCCTTGTCCACCTAGACTTAGCCCAGGCCTGGTCCACTGGGCGCAGAGTCCCTTGTACACCTAGACTTAGCCCAGGCCTGGTCCATGGGGCTCAGAGTCCCTCATCTGCCCTGAGTTGGTCCATTTGGTTCAGAGTTCCTCATCAGCTCTGAGTTAGCCCAGGCCTGGTCCATTGGGTTCAGAGTTCCTCATCAGCCCTGAGTTAGCCCAGGCCTGGTCCATGGGGCTCAGAGTCCCTCATCTGCCCTGAGTTAGCTCAGGCCTGGTCCATGGGGTTCAGAGTCCCTCATCAGTCCTGAGTTAGCCCAGGCCTGGTCCATGGGGCTCAGAGTCCCTCATCAGCCCTGAGTTAGCCCAGGCCTGGTCCATGGGGCTCAGAGTCCCTCATCTGCCCTGAGTTAGTCCAGGTCTGGTCCATGGGGCACAGAGTCTCTCATCTGCCCTGAGTTAGCCCAGGCCTGGTCCATGGGGCTCAGAGTCCCTCGTCCTCCACCTCCCTGTTTGCGGGCGTTGGATGAGCATGCAGAGCACTTGCCATTTTGTTAGTGCTGTATATGGAGTGTCTTTCCTGAGACTGACACTTCCAGGAATTTGGCCGTGAGTGATGTTATCGCCTCTCATGTTCGTCTGAAACGCACTTCTGTTTAGCCTCTTGATGAGGTCAGCATTGTGGTGCCTGGTTCTGCTCAGCCTCCGGGTCTCCTTCCAGGCCCCCAGCCCCTCTGCAGCCTGAGAGCAGCTCCTTGGAACCGCTAGTGTTTCTCTGGCAACAACTTCCTGTTGAAGGCCGTGCCTCTCGCTGAGGTCATTTCTCAGACCTCACAGCTGTATCTGAAAAACAGCTCAGACGCCATGGTTACTCATGACCAAGTCTAAATAACTCAAGCCTGTGACCCAGCTGAATCAAGTTCTTACAAGTAATGAGTTCCTTTGCTTCCCTTTCACCATGTGTGAGTCATGGTTCTGTTCCAGTGCGAAGGGAAAGGGCGAATGGTAATTAGAATTGATTTGATTGGTCTCCCTCACAACCAGAGGGGAGGTGCCCATCCTTGCTGGGCCGTGTGCTCCGGGTGCCGCCTGCTGAGGCCGCCACGCGCAGTGTCCAGTGGCCGTGAGCCCTTGCTGGGCCGTGTGCTCCGGGTGCCGCCTGCTGAGGCCGCCACGCGCAGTGTCCAGTGGCCGTGAGCCCTTGCTGGGCCGTGTGCTCCGGGTGCCACCTCCTGAGGCCGCCACGCGCAGTGTCCAGTGGCCGTGAGCCCTTGCTGGGCCGTGTGCTCTGGGTGCCGCCTCCTGAGGCCGCCACGCGCAGTGTCCTGTGGCTGTGAGCCCTTGCCTGGGCCGGAGGAGGAAGGGACAGAGTTTACCTGTTTGCTGTGGTCCTGAAGCCCTTTACACTGGCACCTCAGTTGCCAGCGTGGCCTGCTGGACTTGCCCTCACATCCCTAGGGGAGGCTAAGGGGTGCTTTCATTCTCAAAAAAACAAGTGCTATTTATAGCTTCATCTAGGCACAAGTTATTTTTGCCTGATTATGCATTCGGCAGATGTCCATTAAACCCCCACCAGGTTGGAGGCGTGTCCAGGGGCTGTGGGCCTGCGGGAGGACCTCTGTCCGAGGTCCACGCTCTGCTTCTCCACCATCGTGATCTGCTCACCACCCGTCCGTGTCCTGTGCCTCAGGGGACCGTAGTGGGTGCCCCCAGAGGGTCGACGGCCAGCTCAGAGCCCCTCTTCACTTTGTTCTTCACAGATGTGTCACAGATCCAGGCAGCAGGGGTTTAACTACTGTACGACAGCCATCGCCTCTCCGCTCACGAAATCCGTCTCATTGATGACCATCAGCCACTCAGGCCTGGACAGTGAGTATTCTGGGCATGTGCTGTCTGCCTCGCCTGAAGCCCTCCCCGTGTGGCCTGCCTCTCCTTTGCAAGAAGGCCCAGTGCCCCATGGGAACAGCGCTAGGCTCTGGGCCTGCCTCAGGCTGCCCGTGACCCTTGGCCTGTTCAGTGCCTGCTCCATTTGTGTACCACCCTGCACATTACCTCCTAAGTTTCTTAGTTCAAAGTGATTTTAGTTTTGAAAAATAGTTGCCATTGAGCCTTGTTGGCAAAAAGCTAGTTGGAGAAGTGAAACCAAGCATCCATCAGGTTCTTCACTTGATGTCTCATGCATTGGCAAGCCTTTGCCCGTGTTTCCTTGCCCTGGTGTGGACGTCAGGAACACATTCTGCCTCATCTAAGTCCTTCAACATGTCTTTCCCAAGAATACCTTTGTATGGCCCTAGAGCAAGGGCCTAAACCAGGAAGCCAGTGTTGATCCAGTGTGGTGTTTAACATGTCCAGTTCTGCAGACCAGTGTCAGAGAATGCCCCGGTTAGACAGTCTTGTCTCCTGGCTCTAGAAGTGTTGCTCATCTGGGCTGGGTCTTCCATGAGCTGCCGCCCTGGGAAATGCCACACAGCAAAGGCCCATTGGTCTAGCAAGGGTCAAAGGTTCGTGTCCGAAGCAGCTGGGGGCCAGGCCACGTGCCTGGGAAGGTCATGTGGTGACGTGACAGCGTGTAACTGGGCACTGAGAATTAGATGCTCTGAAACATGTTTGCCACAGATGAGCAGGTTGTTGTTTGAGAAGAAGGATGTGTTCTTTGCTCAAACACTGTCTTCTGAAGCTTCTGGGATCCCAGCCTGGTGTGCCCTGACCTGTGTTTCTTTTCAACCCCCAGATGTTCCTTAGTGTGACAGAGCTGCCCTGCACCCCTGCCACGATCTGCCTCGCCACACTCGCCGCTCCCCTGCGCATGGCGCTTCAGTCAGTGGGTGATGCTGTTTAATCGGCCCTCCTTTGCATTTTAAATAGGGCTGTACCTCAGGAGGACTTTCCACATGAAGTTACAGGAAGCCCTGAGACAGGAAAGCACTCTCTGATCTCCTTCGTTGCGCTTCCCATAGATTTGGCCTTGGCTTCAAGGTTTTGCTGGTACTGGATAGAAATGATGGGTTGTTTCTAAAGGATTTTGTGAACCAAAGCCACTTGCTGCCCTGCACCTTCCATCTGCAGCCAGTGGACACATGGTCCCAGGAGTCTGCCTTAGCATCCAAGTGTCCCGGCACCAGGAGGGTGTGCCCCACAGGCCTCTCCTGGGGCATAAAGCAACTGGTTACCTCTGCTCCAAAGAGCAAGGTAATGTCAGCTGTTTCTTGGTGCTTCACAAACACCATAAATAGTACACCTGACTCCAAAAACTAGTCTGTGGTTCTGGCACATCCAGCTCTTCCTTCTTTTGCTGAGAAGTGTGCCACTCAGCCCAGTGGGGTCTGACCTCAGGACCAGCCTAGACCTGTGGGCAGCACGTCCTGCTGCGTGCTGTCTTGGCACACCAGCCATAAGTCAGTGCACGCTAGGATTTGCAGACAAACCCAGCCCACCATCCCTAACCCCTCTGCCCCATGCACTTGATCCAGTTTCTCAACTGTGTTTCTTATTATTTGGACACATGGCAAGTCCTGTTGGACATTAAATGCTGACTGTTGAAGGGAAGACTAGAGCTGCTCTCTGTCTGTGTGCTGTGCCTGCCCCCAGGGTAGCTGTGTTTCTCACTTTGCCCCAGACTCCAAGGCACGGGATTCTCTGTGTGAGTCATCTTTGGCTGGTGTCTTCCTAGCTTAAAATGTCATCATTCAAATATTGGTACGCTTGGATTTCCCAACTGGTGTTTTGTTGTAACCATTCTAGCTATAGGACTTTGTTCTTGCTGTAAATTCTGCCTCAAGGCTTCAGCCATGAAGGAGGGTGACGGGGTGACCTGCTGGGAATGCTTCGTACCATGTCCTGAGCCAGTGTGGTCATCACAGTGGAGGACTGTTGTTCATGGCCAGCAGAATCCTGTGAGCACAGGTGAAGCGCTGTCACAGGAACAGGCATGTTGTTCCTGGGGGTCTTGGAAGAAGCCATGCCTTCTGTAGGTGCTGCCCTAGGAACACAGAGCTGCCTGCCTTTGCCCTCCTCACCACGCCAGCTTCCACCTGTGACCTGTCATCCTCCCTCTAACGGGCTTACAGCCACTGTGACCATCTTTCACAACTGTTAATCTGGGGTACATCCATCCATGGAACTGTGTGTCAGTAGTGTCTTGTTGGGCCATTTGCTAGATTCGAAAAGCAGACAAGTGCCGTTGGTTCTGAGCTGAGTATTTAAAGATCTGTTCGTTCCGGGGAGGTACTGGATTGGGAAGTGGCCAGGCAGCAGCCAACGTAGGGTGGGTGACATGTTTCAGCCCCCATGTGTCACCCACTTGTTTCTGAGGGAATCCGAGGAGCTGAGGCCTCACCTGGAAGTCCCCCCCAGGCAGAAGCAGCTCTAGAAAATGTGATCACAGCATTTCTGTGTTTTGCTTTGGAGAATTTGGTGTGAGATCTTGATCTCCCAAACAGTTGGGAAACAGAAATCTGTGGTTTCCTGATGGGAGCTGAGAATCAGCTTAGTGTTTGTAGACTGTAGTTATCCTGCGTTTGAAACTCTTTGTTGTACCCTTCTGGGAAGTGCTCCACGCAGCAGAGGGTGCTGGTTTGCCCTCAAGTCCCTTAGCACAGTGGTGATCCCTCTCAGATGTTTTCATCTCCCTGTGTTTCGTTTTCTCCTTGATCTTGCTCGTTGGTGTTCTCAGTGACACCTGCCCTGGAGCCGTTCCCGCCTTCACTCAGGCGTGTCTTGACCAGTGGACAGCATGTCCATTCTCAGTCCAGGTTCTCGTCTCCCACAGAAATGGTAAGCAGACATGAGTGCTGTGTGCAGCTCGTAACTGCCCTGGGTTGAGGTGAGCATGTGTTCGCCCGTGAGTGCAGACCACCCGAACAGAGAAGTCCACAGAGTGATCCAGAGAGTTGCCCTGAAACTAGAAAGAAGGAGCAGTGATTGGGATGGGCCGTCCAAGAATGGAGGGTGTGAGAGCACAAGGGCTGTGTCTGAGCACCAGAGGGACAGGTGCAGGACCTCTGAGTGGTCCATGGCACACAGCAGTGCTCCCTGCCTCCCACTGTTACCTCACACATAGCCAGGCCCTGGCTGAAGTGTGCATCATGGAAGCAGGCACTGAGACAGCTAGCAGCATATAGCACGTGGTCGGGGGAGCAGTGGTAGCTGTGACTTCCAGCCCCGCAGACCTAACTGGCTGCTGGCCTATTTTGTGTCATCCTCTCCCTACCAACCCCCAGAATGGTCCTAACCATTTATCATAAAGGTCCAATTTTCTGTGTTTGCCTCCTCCTGGCTAGCAGGTCTGCTCCCTGCCTGTGCAAAGTTTTGAAACTCCAACCTGTCTCATGTCCTGATGGCTTCATTTCAGGTGCCAGAGGATCCCCTCCGTCACTTGCAGGGGTTGTAGCCCATGGTCGTTGTCCTTCTGAGGACTTGCTGGCTTGTGCAGCAGTTCATGCGCCAGGTTGACCCACTGCTAGATTCTGTAGAATCCATCTGCACGAGGCAGCCAGGGGGCCGGGACACACATCTGTGTAATACCTCGTTCCACAAACCTGCTGCTGTTAGAGTCGATGTGGCAGATTACACTCCTCATTGTGGACTTTCCTGCCTGTCCACCAGTCCACTGGCCACGGCCGAGTGCCCACAGACTCCAGTACCTGCTCACAAAGCTGACCTGCAGTGTAGGCTGTGTTGCTGCAAGGAGTCGACGGATTTGTGAAAACCATCCTGAAGTGGAGCACAGTCTTATGTTAGGATGAAGGAAGAACTGGAAAACTCACTAAGGAATTTTCTTCCAATTTCCGATTCCTGAGTAAATCAGGATGAGAGATGAGTGAGCCATGATTTCTCTCAAGGGCAGGAATTGATACGACAGAGGCGAAGAGTGGACATCTTGTTTTGGGCTTTAGGAGCCGTTGGAGATGCTCAGTGGTCCTCCCAGGAGTAGGCACACTGGTGTGTACATGCGTCTGTTAGAGCTGATGGGGCAGGTTGGCAGGCCCTGGGACTGAGCTGCCCTAGGAGCGCTTCCACGAAGCGTTTCGAGTGGACTAAGCTTCCCAGCAGGTGCCATTCTCAGCCTGAAGGGCAGGGAAGAGGGTGGCACGTGGCCAGGAGTGTGAATTATTTTGGCCACGCCAGAATTTGAGGCTGTGATTCACATTTTCAGCCTCACCTGCTGACGAGGGTCTGCAGTAAACAGAGCTGACGCAGCCCCTGGAGCAATTAGACCCCTCAGAGGCCGGTCTCCTGTCGCTCTGGAGTGAGTGTGGAAGGCCAAAATGGAGAATTATTTCCTTCAATAGGGCACAGAACATGGGTGCCTTTTCTGTTCATCCTGTGAGAATATAAACAAGGCAGGTGTGTAAGTGTGTCTGTCAGCCTTTACTTGGAACTGCCTCTTCCCTTTTACACAAAGCTGAGCAAAAGAGGCGGCCTGGTGTTTCCACCACAGTTGTTTTGCGAACAGGAGCCCGGAATGAGTGACTGCCTTACGTGACAGTATGCAGTCCTTTCTCTCCAGAGTCTAGACGCCACTGGCCCAGGGCTGTTCTTCCCAGATGGGCAGAGTCCTGTGTCTCCTCAGTAATTTGATGAGAAGCTACGGGAAGCCTGACCTTAAAGCCTGGTGCCCCTTGGCGTCTTGAAGCTGCTGTGTCTGAAGCTCAGTGCAGGGAGCGTCTGTTGTGCCCTTTGCAGGCTGACATGGCAGAGCAGTTTCCAGAACCTCCCATGTAGCAGCTCTTTGTGCTGCATTGCCTGCTAATGCATTCATTTCCTTTGCTAATATTGCAGGCCCTTTAATTTCTAGCATCCCCTGAAGTAAGTGCTGGCCACTTTCAGAGGCTCCAGCACAGCCTGAAGGAGAATTAATATTTTTTTCCATGTTCATTGGTAATGTTCTTTGCAGTTGGGAAGCCTCTTTCCAAACTGCTGCTCACACACCTGACACATGGAAAGTGCCTTTGGAATCGGTAAATATTAACTCCTTGGCCGTTCACTAATTGTAAGGCTCTAGTCAAAACAATTAGCCAAGTCTTTTGAGTTGAAGTGTTAGCTGGCTGAACTTTTATCATGTGTGTGAGATCCGCTGTGACCTACACACTTCCTTCATAAAGCAGCTGCCATCAGTAAGCCACTCGACACCTCGGGTGTCAGGTGTGTCAGAGCCTCCACACAGGAGGGAGTTCGTCCGGACTCTCCTGGCAGTGGAGTAGGTGGACTGAGTAGAGTACCTGCACACAGGAGGGAGTTCGTCCACTCTCCTGGCAGTGGAGTGGCTGGACTGAGTAGAGTACCTGCTCTCTGACCTCCACACAGGAGGGAGTTTGTCCGGACTCTCCTGGCAGTGGAGTAGCTGGACTGAGTAGAGTACCTGCTCTCTGACCTCCACCCAGAAGGGATCGTCCGGACTCTCCTGGCAGTGGAGTAGCTGGACTGAGTAGAGTACCTCCACCCAGAAGGGAGTTTGTCCGGACTCTCCTGGCAGTGGAGTGGCTGGACTGATTAGAGTACCTCCACCCAGAAGGGAGTTTGTCCGGACTCTCCTGGCAGTGGAGTGGCTGGACTGAGTAGAGTACCTGCTCTCTGACCTCCACCCAGAAGGGATCGTCCGGACTCTCCTGGCAGTGGAGTGGCTGGACTGAGTAGAGTACCTCCACCCAGAAGGGATCGTCCGGACTCTCCTGGCAGTGGAGTGGCTGGACTGAGTAGAGTACCTCCACCCAGAAGGGATCGTCCGGACTCTCCTGGCAGTGGAGTGGCTGGACTGAGTAGAGTACCTCCACCCAGAAGGGATCGTCCGGACTCTCCTGGCAGTGGAGTGGCTGGACTGAGTAGAGTACCTCCACCCAGAAGGGAGTTCGTCCGGACTCTCCTGGCAGTGGAGTGGCTGGACTGAGTAGAGTACCTCCACCCAGAAGGGAGTTCGTCCGGACTCTCCTGGCAGTGGAGTGGCTGGACTGAGGACTCCCACAGCTGGCTGAGTCCTGGGAGGAGCCTGAGACGCTGCAGTGTCCTTTCAGCTCTACGGCTCATTGCACCTGGCGTGGAGCTTGAACTTGGTGTTGTCCTCTACCAAGAGCACAGCAACAGCAGCGGCCCTTAAGCGTGCAGGCCAGACTGCAGCCCCAGAGTTGGGCTCTTGAGAAAAATGGGCCACTGGTCCTGACACCGGGCTGTCTCCTGGCTCTCTGCTGCAATAGTGAAGGCTTGTCCAAACTGGGGGTTCCTATCACTGGAATGTATGTTACCAGCTCTGTAATGCTTTGAAATACTGCCTCCTGCTTGTGTGTCCGGAAGCGTAGGTCTGTGGCAGGACATTTGTTAGCCCAGCCCCGGGATCCGTGCTCTATAAAGCCCTGCCGTTCCCTGGCGTACGCTCGGCTGCTGCAGCGTCTGTGGCGGCCCTCCCATGAAAGAGCATTCTTTGTGGGATCAGGATGCGCCCTAAGGAGTTGGACCTCTTAGAAGAGGGGGCGTTGTTGGGGGTGTCTCCTGTCCCGGTTCTCCTGCAGAGGTGCAGGCCTGGGTGGTTGTTGGATCTGAGCCTTGAGGTGCCTACCGAGCAGAGCATCGTTTCCCACCTGTAAGAGCTCCCTCTGAGTTGCACACTGAGTAGACCAAGCTCACGGGCAGAGAGCAGACCCTTCCAAGGAAAGGAGTTGGCATTCAGGCAGTGCCAAAACTGTAGGCAACAAGAACATCTGTGAGGCAAGCTAAAGGCTGAAGGTTGTCGGCTCTCCTGATACTGCATTTTGACAGAGGGGTCCTGCATGAAAGCTAGCCCATAGTGACTCCTACTGTCAGCTTGAGGAATTGACACCCGGCTGTCAGTGGTCTCCTGAGGCACGTGGGCTGTGGGAGCCCAGTGAGATCGCGGACCGCATCTGGACATTCAGATGAGCTCAGGAACCCAGTGGGAGTTCTCTGCTGCCTCCTGTGAGTGCATCTGGCACGGGGCACGGCTCAAGTGCTCGCCGCTGGAAGACACCCTGTGTACCGCTCTACTTACTTTCTACATCGGAAAGAATTTCCTGGACAGTGTAGCCAGACGGCCATGCCCTCAGGATGGTTGTGAGGTCACGGGGCGGTGCTTACAGCAGGTCCTGCCAGGGAGTCTGCTGTCCGCTCTGCTTCCCGCACTGGAGGCCCTGTCCTCCGTGGTATTTATACCATCTAGCACATGGGAATGTGGAACCATATCCTTCCAACCGAGTTCATAGGGCTGAATAGAGAAAAAAAATTGCGAGTGAAGAGTGTCCACAGAATCTAAGAACACAGATGTCCACAAGGCTCTCCCAGAGCCAGTAGTGCTTGTGGATGTGACATGAGGCTGGCATGGTGACACGCCAGCCCATAGACATCCTTCATGGGCTCCAGCCGGCGTCCATCTGCCCCACCTCCAATCCAGCGACATGATCTGGGAACGCGTTCTCCCCTGCAGGTTGAGTGAGTTATGGAGTGTTCTCCCACAGTGCCCCTTGAGCGGGCTCAGCCAGCATGTCTGGTAGCTGGTCGCTGGGAGGCACCGATGCCCAGCGTGTAAGGATGTGATCATGTGTGTGACTAAGCTTGGGGGCTATAACTCTGCTATTAGAGAGTTCACCCTCTGGGGGGCATTGTACCTCATGCCTGGACTCTAAGACCAGCTGTCAGAGTTCTCCATAAACCCTGAAACCTCAGGGGGCATGCACTTCTGGGCCTGGAGCCACCAGCCCCCTCCCCTGTCACTTAAGTGCCCTGCCTGGGGTCTGCGCTGCAGCGTAGTACCAGGTTCGGCATCTTCCAAAGGTGGCCGCTGCAGGGAGCGGGCCTTGGTGGTAAATTTATTACTAATAGTTTACAGTCCGCAGATAGGAATACCCAGTGGACTTGATTGGCACTGGGAGAATAAACCTACCCTCATCCTTGAGTGGGGTTGCCCTGCACAAGAAACACGCCGTGTGAGTGGGCCAAGCAGCAGCCAGTGCCCTGGGAAGCAGCAGGAACCCGGGAGTGGGGCCTGTGCAGGTGCAGGCTGAGGACCAACATGCTGGAGGGCAAGGCTCCGTCCTGGGGCTGCGGAGTGGGGGCCCCAGTGGAGAATCAGGGGTGTCCCACCTTGTACCTCACACATACCCGGGTCCCAGATGCTTTGATTGACAAGTGGGTGTGTGCCCGACCAGACCTGACTAGTTGCCTGCCTATCTCATGGATCTAAGTCTGTTTTGAGAGCCCAACTGTGGCGATGTGATATAATTTGTACCAGATCTGAAGAGATAAAGTAGGCATGCGACCCCCTGGAGAGGCAGGCATCGGTGCTAAGAATATTTTATACTTGTTTACTTTAAAAAAATGTTTTTTTATTTGGAAGCTCTAGTGACGGAAGGAGAGATGGGTGCAGGTGGGCAGCACAGTGGATGTGGCTCACTGCCCAGGTGGCTGCACTCACTGTGGGGGCTGGGCTAGGTGGAGAGCAGCAGAAAGCAGGTGGCTCTGACTTCCCACCTGGCCGCAGGGACCCCCACGGCCCTGGGCTGCTTTCCGCGGCCTTTGCAGGTGACAGGCAGAGAGCCAGCATGTCAAGACTCCGCGGTCTCTTTCACGTTCCGTCCCCAGTGTCCCTTGCGTACAGTGGAATGGGAACAGGCTGAAACATGCACATTTTCTTAGCATAGTTCTGTTTGCAGAACATGGCATTGTGCCAGCACAAAAATTTAGGCAAATTTAGGCTGACCTCTGGGGTGAAGAGGGTGGGTGGAGAGCCCCGTGGGCATTCACAGCACACATGCTCCTCCGAGCTGATGAGCTTAAGGCCGAATCCTGTGGGGCACCTCGGGCTTTCTGTGTCAGGGTTATGCTTATGCAAATAAAGGTTGGTTTTGATGATCTGTGGTTTTGTGACCCCGAAGGGGATGGTTTCATCGTCAGGAATCATTTACTTCACCAGGGAGGGGGCTTGGCACAGCCAGGACGGTGGTGTCTTTCTGGAAGAGTCCCTGAAGCCATGTGTGCAAGCTAGCGAGTTGTAGTCTGTACCATTTGAGTGGAGCTCACTCAGCGTGTCCCTGGGGTATAGTGGCTTTAGCGTGCACTCCATTTGACGCATTGAGATTCCTGAAAGCCTGACAGAGGAGTATTTATTTACTAATTTGTCTGCCCAATAAATATTTTCAGAACCTGCTCTTTGCTATGTGCCTTGACCTGGAAAAACATACATAGGTTGCAGACCAGAGGGAGACCTGACAGGACATGTTGAGTAAAGCAGTAGAAATGGTCGTTGAAGTTCTGTGAATGTCTCTGACTCCCAGGAGATGAGCCGAGTCTCCCCGGAGAAGTCGTAGGAAGGGCAGGCTGGCAGGAAACTAGAGTGGGCCCACGATGGGGATACTGTGGAACTGGGCTTTACCACGCTTGTGGCTTCACTAAAAGTGACCGAATTAATCACTGAAACTTGAGGCTGTCCTCACTGCAAACGTGTTGGGGGCTGGGAGGAGGTTAGAGGCTGTGCAGGACTCCACTGACACCAGGCCAGGGCGGCAGCTTACTGAATGGAGAGTCAGGACAAGGCCTGGCCATGCGTACTGTGCGGGGAGGAACAGGCTGCGGAGAGGCCCCGATTGGACGGCTGTGGACCCATGCCCAGCAGGCGGTGGTCTGGAGCACAAGACCAGGTCCGGCCTGACAGTAAAATGTGCGGCACACACATAGGGTCAGTGGGGGCCGGCGTGCAGGGACGTGGGGTGCATCCCAGGAGCACACCCCACATGTTTGCAGAAACTGCAGCTGCGGGCGGTGTCCACTGGAGACAGTTCATGTCTTGTTTCATAACAAATACGCACTGGCTGGATGAATTCTTCGGCGCAGTCTTTGAACTGTGCGTGTTCATAAATGAAGGTGAAAGCATTAAGGCTGCTGACGCTGCGTGTTTCTCCCCGGAGGGAAGAGGTGTGTGAGCTCTGACTCCTTGTGTCGCCCGCTGGCAGTTCAGCAGCACGTGCAGCTGGCGAGGCACGTCTCTTTCTCCATCGGCATCTCTCCACTCCTGAGGTCTAAAAGGCTGGATTCCAGTGAGGAGGAGGAGCTGCATAGTAAGTAAGCAACTTCCGAGTCCACTGCGGTGCGGCCCCTGGCTCGGGAGGTGCTGCGGCCTGGGCACCCACCGTCCTCGCCCCTGTGCATGCCAGCCTTGAGTTGTGCTTCTGCGCTTGGCTCTGCACGCCTCTACGGTCAGTGGCCGCCCACTTCCGGCTACCTCGAGGCCTAGGCAGTGTGTCCCATCCCGCGTTGTCCCCCTGCAATACTGAACAGTTCTACCAAACTTTCCTCTTGGCCATGCCTATTTTATTTTCCTGTGTCATGGGAAAGATTAATAGATGCCAAACCGAGGCATTAGAAAGCTTACGTTGTGTTTTTTAAAGATTTATTTTATTTTTGTTTGAAAGGCATACTACAGAAACAAGGAGAGAGGGAGAGACATCTTCCATCTGCTGGTTCATTTCCCAAGTGGCTGCAGCGGAGCAAGCAGCTGCTTCGGGCTCTTCTGCGTGAGTGCCCACGGCCAAGGACTTGAGCCACCCTCTGCTGCTTAACTGGGCCATTTCTCCTTCCACAGACAGAACCTGGATCAGAAACAGAACAGCCAGGACACGAGCTGAGATGCAGCCTTAGCCTGCTGCGCCCTGGCACTGGCCCAGCACAGGTTATCCTCAGCACTTCTCTCCCAGTGCAGGCATTGGGCCTGGCGATGACGTGTCTGTGTGCAGCTTCCTGCCGACGAGGGCCCGGAGAGGAGGGAGCAGTAGAGGTGCAAGGACATGGAGACTTCGTCCACCCCATGTGTTTTGGGCATGGGAGGCATGAAGCTTAGATGGAACTTTTCTCTTTCTCTCTCTTTATCAGTAACTAAATAGAGAGATGTGTCCTTTGCGCTAATGCCCTGCGAACAAGGATTTGGGGGTTAATACATTTTTTTTTCTCCTTTGAACTCTGTTTTAAACTTTCAGCTTTTTGGTAAACTGTTTCAGATAAATACATACTTACTTTGTAATACCTAACTTAGAAAGAGTGCTCCCTTAGCCAGGAGGACATGGGGTGTGCAGAGCGTGCGACACGCGTGAGACCTGTGCTCAGGGTAGGTGTGCGGGCTGCGGTTAAGTGGGAAGAGCGGCAAATGTCACCGTCAGGAGAGTCGCTGTCCTTGCTTGTGTGCTGTTTGCGTCATAGTCTGTGTTTCTGTTTCAATGGGAAAACCTTTTCTTAAGAAAATGATTTGTTTATTTGAAAGCCAAAGAGATAGCGAGGGAGAGAGCTTTTCCATCTGTTGGTACAAGCCCTAGATTACTGCAGGGGTCAATCAGGAATGGGCCAGGCCACGCCCAGGAGCCAGGTGTGTCACCCAGGTTTCCCACAGAACTTGAGATGGCCCAAACACTTAGAAAATCTTTCCAGTGCTTTTCCCAGGCTGTTAGCGGGAGTTGGAACTGGGGTAACCAGGGTATGAGCTTGTGCCCGTGTGGGATGCTGCTGGCACAAGCAGCACTTTTGCCTGCCATGTTACAATGCTGGCCCCAGGAAAACCTTTTCCTAATATTGAATAATAAACTGCTTTTATGTCATGCATCTGGTTTTATGAGTGAAGCATATGAAAATTCTTATGCTTGGAGCAGACATTGTGGTACCGCATTTTAAACCACATTTTAATGTCATCACCCAGTGTGAGTGCTGGTTTGAGTCACTGCTGCTCCCTTTTCGATCCAACTCCCTACTAATGGACTTGGGAAAGCCGTGACAAATGACTCAAGCCCTTTGCCCCGCCGCTCTGTGGTAGGTCCAGACCCCAGTTCTTGACTTGAGCCTTGCCCTGGCTCTGCCTGGGTCTGCTTGGGAGGAGCCAGCAGGTGGAAGATCTCCGTCTGTCTCTGCCTTTCAAGTAAATAGATAAATCTTAACAGCCATAAAATATTCCGACGAGTGAGCCCCTAGTTGTTTAGCACTTCCTGACTGTTGATGTGTCGCTTGGGCCACTGGGTTCACCTGGAGGGGAAGTCCCTTACGTGCGGTCACACAGAGTTCAGTTGACTTAGTTTTAAATGGAAGTATTTACCAGGGTTCAGTATATTGTTTCCTCTTAATACTTACCTGAAAAATAGATATTAATGCTATGCCCATTTTGAAGGGAGGAGAGTTGTCAAAATCCATGGGAACTTGGGGTGTTCAGGGAACTCAAGGACGTTTCACCCCAGTGTCTGTGATGCGTCGAGAAGTAGCTGGCCGGATATTCACAGGAACTACCACAGGGTCACCTGGAGCTACATTTAATGCTCACGGGCACTGCCACCTCATACCACCAGGCTGGCATGGTGGAACCCTGAAGGAGAAGCTTGAAGAAACTCCTCATTGAGATATTGGATGTTTTTTTTAAATGTGTTCCTTAAACTCGTAAGTCTCAGTGAGGATTCTCTGCACTGAAAAAGCGAAGAAACGGCAGGAGGGGTGCAGCATGTAGCCACATGATTGCAGAGGACCTGGAGCGCCTTGCTGTGCTGACCTGTGTTTTCTGGAAGCCTCGGTGTGGAGACTGTGCCTACAGCAGCTGGTGGAGCCAGGTTGCATGGGGACAACTTGATGTGACCTTGTCCATCTGTTGATCCCAAGTCAACTGCCTGCGCGTGGGGCCCACAGGAATGCGTGTGACCTCGAGCGTAGTGATTTTGTAGTGGAAGTAACAGTACTGGTTTCATATTCCTAGATGCTCTGAAAACCTGGCGACAGTTTAGGAATTTCACGGGGAGGAATTGCGGATTAATTGCTGTTTTTGGAGCCACATCTAATGGGTCAAAGGCTCTAAATGAAATCTCAGTAGTGAGAAAGCGGAAGTTCTCATAGGAGTCACAGAATCTCCCAGTTCCCAACAATATTTTGCTTTTTAATTTTTGGTCATTCCCCAGAAACCTGCTGTTTGGTTACTCTTGGTGATCTTTTGTGTTGGTTTGGGTTTTTCTGCTTTATACATTTTTTATTCATATTTCTGTAGTGGTAAATTGCTAGTCAACTGCTAAATGCATATTAGTATTTGACAGCTTGAGAGAGTTTACTACTGTGTTTGTCATTAAGGCTGTGTTTCCATTTAAAGCCACCAACATAAATGAATCTAAGTTTTTAAAGAATACACTAAGGTTGGGCAGTGTTGTGGTGCAGTGAAGGAAGCTACTGCCTGCAGTGTTGGCATGCCACATGGTTGCCTGTTCAAGTCCTGGATTAACCAGTATATGCATGGTTTCTCCCTCTGGGTTCCCTCCTCTCCCTCTCTTCCTGCTTCCCTCTCTCCCTCCCTCTGTCTCCCCTCCCTCTCTCCCCTTCCCTCTCCCTCTTTCACTTTCTCCCTCTCTTCCTCTCTCTCCCCCTCTCTTTCCCCTTCTTTCTCCCTCCCTTTCCCTCCCTCTCTCTCTCCCTCCCTCTTTCTCCTTCTTTCTCCCTCCCTTTCCCTCCCTCTCTCTCTCCCTTCCTCTCTCTCTCTCTCCCTCTCTCTCCCTCCCTCTCTCTCTCTCCCCCTCCCTCTCTCTCTCCCTTCCTCTCTCTCTCTCTCCCTCTTTCTCCCTCCCTCTCTCTCTCTCTCCCTCTCTCTCCCTCCCTCTCTTTCTCTCCCTCCCCCTCTCTCTCTCCCTCCCCCTCTCTCTCTTTTTCTCTCCCCCTTTCTCCCTTTCCATCTCTTTCTCCTTTTCTCCCTCCACTTTTTTCCCTCTTCTATTTCATTTTGGATTTCACAGTACAATTCCATGGGCTCTGGGCTTTCACCTAACCCCTCCCCAAATTCCCTCCCTCAACTGGTTTCCTCCATATTATTATAATAGTATAGTACTTGCTCAGCAGTCGTAGGTCCATCCTTCTGTTATTTAAATGTGTCCCGATACAGGCAATGACAGACAATCCTGCATCCTATTGTCAAGATACATTTAACAGTTTTATTGGGAGTCCATTTTTAGTCAGGAAGTAGAAATGCATACTGCATTGTATCTTTACAACTGGATATGATAGTCTTTATACATTTGCTTAAATGAGAAGCTATGGAACAAAATCAATAGTAGGAGTAAAGAAAAAGGATTTACAACACCGTGGAGTTAAGTAACGTGCTACTGAATAGCAAATGTACTAATGAAGAGTTGAAAAAGAAAACGCAGAATGCTACTGTGTGATCTGTGAGTCAGTGAAGGACTTAGTAAGAGAAAAGCAACTGTTTTGAAGAAATGAAATTCAAAATAATATCAAAACCCATGGGTTGCAGCAAAAGCGGTATTGAAAGGGCTGTTGATCTTACAATTTGCGTTAAGGTTGCCTTATATCAGAGAGGACATATGGCTGTTCAATATAGTATTGGAAGTCTTTGCCAGACTATTAGGCAAGAAAAAGAAATTAAAGGAATTCAAATTGGAAATGAGGAATTGAAATTATCTCTATTTACAGATGACAACGATTCTCTACTTAGGAGAACCCAAAGACTCAGTCAAGAGACTGTTGGAACTCATAAGAGACTTTGGCAGAGTAGCAGGATACAAAATTAGTGAACGCAAATTGATGGCACTAGTGTACACAAATAATTCCAAGGCTGACAAAGATTGTAAATACAGCCCCCTTTAAAATAGAGGAGAGGAATCTTAAATACGTAGGAATTAAGCTAACTAAATATGTGGAAGACCTCTATGATGAAAACTATAAAACATTAAAAAAGAAAGAAAGAAAGAAATAGAAGACATTAAAAGATGGAGAACCTTACCATGTTCCTGGATCGGCAGGGTCAACATAATCAAAATGACCATATTATAAAAAGTAATATACAGATTCAGTGCAATCCCAATCAAAATCCCAACGGCATTCTTAGAAAAGAAGGTACAAAAGTTCATCTGGAAACACAAGAGACCACAAATTGCTCAAACTATCCTGAAGAATAAAAATCAAGCTGGAGGAATCACAATTCCAGACTTAAAGACGTACTACAGAGCAGTGGTCATCAAAACAGTCTGGTACAGGTACAGAAACAGAGAAGAAGATCAACACAACAGAATAGAAACACCAGAAGGAGCCCACGCATGTATAGTCAACTAATCTTCAACAAGAGAACTGGAAACAATGCAGGGAAAAGCCTGGGCCCTTCCACAAATGCTCCTGGGACAACTGGATAGCAGCCTGCAGAGGGGAGAGACAAGGCCTCCCTCCTGTCACCTCATATAAAAATCATCTCTAAACGGATCAAAGACCTAAATCTGCACCCAGAAGCCATCAAACTATTAAAGGCAAACATTGGAAGTTCTCTGCAAGATATAGGAATGAGGAAAGAGTTCTTGAAAAAGATGCCAAAAGCACAGGCAGGCAACGCCAACATAAACAAATGGACTACATAAGAAGCCTCTGTATGGCAAAGGAAACAACAAAGCGAAGAAGAAACCAAGAGTAGGACAAAATCATTACACACTACTCATCCAATAGAGTAATCCAGAATGCAGGGAAACCCAGAAACCCAGGGACAGTAAAGACAAACAAAAACTGAAGAGGAGGGCAAAGGAAATGAACAGATGTTTTTCAGAATAATTCAAATGGTTACCAAACATATGAAAAGATGCTCAGGCTCCCTAGCTGTTAGGGAATATAAATGAAAACAACATTGAGCTTCTGCCTAACTTCAAGGAGGTTGGCCTACATTCAGAACTCTACTCACAACACCTGCTGGTGTGGAGGTGGAGGGAAGGTACCTTTCTTCGCTGCTGGTGGCAGTGTAGGCTTGAACAACCACTGTGGAAATCAGCACGAAGAGTGCTTCGAGAACTCCAAATAAACCTGTCATATGACCCAGCTATGCTCCTCCTAGGAACATATCCAAAGAAAATGAAAACTGCATGTGAGAAAGGCATCCGTAATCCTATCTTTACAGCAGCACAATCTATAATAGCAAAGACATGGAAACAACCCAGATGCCCATCCAAAAAGGAGTGGTTAAAGAAAGTGTGGTACATCTCCTCCATGGAATAGTGCTTGGCTGTTAAAAAAGAGTGAAATTATTCAATTTGCAGCCAAATAGTCCCAACCATTAAAGTGTTTCCTCTGAAATAAGTCAATCCCCAAAGGACGAATTTTCCTCCCTTCTTATAACTCTTATAGTAAATACAGTCTTTTAAAAATAAGTACACTAGGGTTGAAACGCTGCTAGTTCCGACACCTGAGACATGCAGAGGTGGGAGCTCGGCTGAGGCACCCTGCCCCTGATTTGCGGCTTTTTGCCTCGCAGCTGCTGTCAGCGTTTAGTGGTGAGGTACGTGCTGAGGAGCAGCAGGCTTCGGAAGACTTGGGATTTGTTTTTGTGTTTGCTGGGAGTTATACCCACCTGCTGGTTATTTAAACGTATTTTTCTGCAGCTTGGAACCTTTGGGGAGTGAGTGGGTCAGGTGCTGAGGGGCTGAGCGTGCACTGTGGTGCCGGCTGTCACAGGGCACGCTGCTGTGTGAGCGGTGCTGTTTACTTTCCTGCATGTCCACGCACACGTGCTTTGTGAAATCGGTGGGTTGTGACTTAACTCCTGGGTGACTCAGACCTCACTGACGTGTTCCCTGGTGTTTGTGCTTCGTGACGTGCTATCTGACTTGCCTTGGGGTCTCTAGCAGCCTGCGTCCGCAGTTACAAAGATGCATCTGTGCGTGTTTTCTCATCTTCACCTGGAAGACGCGCTGTCCCTGCCTCTCACTTCCCAGACTAGGAGCTGAAACCCTGCATTGTGACCCATAACTGGTGATGGCGCCAACATGTAAAGCCAGCTCTAATGCTTTCTTCTTCGGTAGACTGTTTCTGGGAATTCTCAAGAGAGTGCAAGTGACTCACTAGCCAGATGCCTAGCATAGCGGCCTGAGAGCAGGACCAGCAGTGGCCAGTGGGAGCTTGCCTGCCTGAGAGCAGGATCAGCAGTGACCAGTGGGAGCTTGCCTGCCTGAGAGCAGGACCAGCAGTGGCCAGTGGAAGCTTGCCTGCCTGAGAGCAGGACCAGCAGTGGCCAGTGGAAGCTTGCCTGCCTGAGAGCAGGACCAGCAGTGGCCGACGGGAGCTTGCCTGCCTGAGAGCAGGACCAGCAGTGGCCGACGGGAGCTTGCCTGCCTGTGTTCTTAGGGTCAGGCCTGGATGGCGCAGACATTGAGCAGCACCTGCACGTACGTGTGCATGTGTAAGCACTTGCAAGAAAATGGATCCGGAGGTTTTCAGCTACTTGAATCCAAGATTAAGTTTATTTTTTTATAAGGAATTCATTCCCTTCTTACTGATCTAAAGGGTTCAGGTTAATCTTTAGAAGGCGGCGGCAGCGTGCATGGCCTTGGCGACTCTGTGTCCGATGCGGCCGTGTCGTTGGGTGTAGAAGGCATCTGACTGTGCCAGGATGAGGCCCCGATGTTGACACATCCTATGCCTCTTGTCTTCCAGGCTCACACTCCTTCCCCCACCCCAGCGCTCGTGTGACTGAGAGGTAAGTACGCACACCTGGGCACTCCTTTTTCCCAGAATGGAAGGATGGAAGCCGCGTGGCTCGGGGCCCCTGAGGAAGTGCGCTGAGCTGGGCTCCGCGGGGCCCTGAGTTCTTGAGGGTAAGTCTGCAGGAATGACTAGACCGAATCATTGCCTTGGGCATTCTCAGTCATTCCTGCTGCTGCAGCAGGATTTTACAGAACTTGGTGCATTTGGGGATAATCCAGACTTATAACTCTTGCAAGCCATGTATTAATCATTGAAGAGTAGAACAGTCCTAGGCGGGTGAGCAGAGAAACCCTCCATAACTTAGCAAATGAACTCTCCCACATCCTACCTGGTGAGGTCTAGGAAATGCCACGTCGGGGCCTGACCGGAAAGGTCCAGGCTGAGCTAGGACAGGCCAGCTGACTTCTTCCTGTCTGTCCAAAGCTTTCTATATTAGTCTGTCTTTCTGAGCTAATGTGGAGGCTCCTGAGTGACCCCTGATAGCCAGTGCAAGAGAGAATGGGGGGAGGCAAAGTTAGAACTAAGTAAGGACCAGAGAAAGCTCCTCTCCTGGGTCCAGAAGGAAATTTATAACTCTTTTATCTCTGAGGACCACCCGGGGCTCCTGGCTGTTCCAGTGTGACCCTCTGAGGAGGGTTCTGGGCTGCTCCAATCCTGTGTGGGAGATCCAGTAGGAAGTGCCTGACCTCAGAGTTCTCAGCCTATGAGAGCACTCCCCTGTGATCCCGTGGAAGTCTCCCCTGTTTTCATGATGAAGGTTCATGTGGGGCACACATATACATGTTACTCTGAGTTTGTACATGCTTTGCTTCTGCTGATTTCAAATTTCTGGGTTTAACAATTTCTGTGGTAATGTGTAAATATTAGGCTGCTTCAAAAAGTTCATAGCATACACATTTGAAAGGTGTTGATTTGGGTGCAGAATTGTTTAAATTTGGGCATAGTTTTTTTCCGTAATGCACGTAGCACACAGCTACCTGAAGGTCCCTGTATCTGTGGATTGCAGAATTTTTGCCCCCCCCCCCAAAAAAAATCTATCTTGTGTCTCTGAAAGAGCTTGTGAAGTGCTCTGTGTCTGCATTGTACGGTGCTGCCTTGGTCCTCGCTACTCAGAGTGAGGCTGTTCTGTGCCAGTGTGTGCAGTGCAGTGCCCTCCTCATGCCGGTGAGCAGGGCTCCCCACGGCAGGAACTCGCTGCTGCCTTTTGCTGCTTGTGGGGTCCAGGACCCCAACTGCAGTGTCTCGCAGCTTCTGGGAGCTGGGCTGTGATGCGCTCTTTCCAAGTCTGCCTTTTCACACAACAGCACCAACTGGGAGTCCAGGCCATCCCCATGCTGCTGCCTTTCGGCCACATCCCCCAAACCCAGTCCTGGAAGGGGATTTCCTGTCCATATAGCAGCCTGCTCTGGCTCACACCCAGACCTCTGCAGGCAGAGGGGCTCCGTGAGTGTTCCAAGTATCAAAGCTGACTCAGCATGGATGCTGTTGCACTGCGTGGAACCAGGCAGCCTGGATCTTTACAGCTCTCTGTGCATATGCTCTGCCTCCAGTTGGCCTGCTGCATGCCCTGTGTATGCTCTCCTCAGACAGCAGGGCTGCAGGACCACCCCCAGCCCCCTGTTTGGTGTCCAAGTCCTGGAAGGCATGGGAGACCTCTAGTGGTGAGGAACTAGGTGCTTGGTCAGCGGGGAGCCTTCCTGGGTTGGTGGCTGGTGACAGGGACTGCATCCGTCCTTGCTGAGTGGGATTTTCTTTTCCTGTTTGTTAGACTGAGTACTGTTTTAGATTAAGAAGTCTCAGGTGAAATAATTAATGAGTAACTGACAGGATCTTTTTAGCATGTGATCCATAATTGCAGCATGAAGGAAGATTGATAGAAGAGAACTCAGCAGGGTCTTGGCAGTGGGCTGCAGGGGATGTGGCCCTCGCTGTCCTCAGATATTGCATGAAATCCAAGCCAGTTTCCAGTCTCCATCCACTTCTGGCCATTCAACTTCTCCAATCCCTAAAAACAGGTTTCTCTTCTTATTTTGTTTAGCATAATAGAAGAAAGCTACCCTCCCAAGAAAGATGTTGAATGGAAGAGTGGAACGAAGGTCAGTCGTACGTTCAGCTACATCAAGAATAAAATGTCCAGCAGCGGTAAGAAGAGCAAAGTAAGTATCCCTGAGAGCTCTGCCCTGTGACGGTCAGCCTTCCTTGGACCACCCCGTCACAGCCTGTGCGCCCCCAGAGCTTAGTAAGGGGGACCCCAATAGAAATAAGCTCATGGGAACGGGTCAAAGAACCCTGACCTTGGGTGAAAAGCCACACTAAGTAGACACAAGAGGTGCCACCCTTGGTGAGCTTGTCCTGTGTGTGCTGAGAACTTTCCTTGAGCCCTTAGCTTCCAGCACCCTCATCACACACACACAGGTAGTCCATGCACCCAGGGAGAGCTCCCCACGTGTGGAGAGGATGTTGACATAGGGTCCCCTGCTTGCACCCGCAGCACTTACAGCAGTGACAGGTATGTGATGTCGCAGCACAGATCAATGCTTGGCATAAACTCCAGGTGGTGCTGGGGATGCCACATCCTGTGTGGGGAAGTCTGGTAGGAACCCTGACCCGGGCCCTGCTGAGGCAGCTTCCTCTGCTGTTTGTGGTGGGTGACAGCCTGTGAGGGTGGGTCACGTGTCAGAGTCCCTGTCCCCTGAGTAGAAGCCCGGTGAACACAGCCTCACTCAGCCCTGTTGTCGTGTCACTTGGAGAATGAATCAATGCATGGAAAATCTCTCCGTCTCTCTGCCTCTTTGAAGCAAAACGAAAAATAAATAGGCAGAATGTTTTTGCTTTCAGATGTCATAGAAGGGGGGCACTGGGTGTTTCTTGTAGCGGTTGGGAAACCCACATCCCGCCTGGCTCCACTCCCTGCTGATGCGCTCCTTTGGAGCCAGCTGGCCGTGGCACGCATGGATCACTGCCACCCACAGACGTGTGCATCACGTTCCTGACTCCTGGCTACGCACTGGCCGAGTCCCTGCCCGCTAGGAATTGACGGCAGAAAACACGAGGAAGGCAGATGACCCCTCAGAAAAGAAGAAGAAATTTGAAGATCAAGTTAGTTTTAATTGCTAGATCTGTTTCTAGTTAGGAACAGAATGTAGCCTCCAGTGGTTGATGTTGACGGCGGCAGTTTTACGTGCTCATTTTAGCTCTTCCAGATATAAGGAAAATAATCTGTTGAAAGAACCACAGAGAGAGGTAATTCTGTTTTGACTAATGTATTCTTACTTTTCTAAAGAAGTCTATTTTAATGGGAAAAAAATGAAGTTAGTTTTCTTATACTGATTCTCAATTTTAAACCAAAGTGGATTACATCTCAAATCAGAAGCAAAAGCCTTCTGCCTCCAACTTTGCCTATATTTCGTTCCCTGCTGACACACCCTTCAATAAAATACAGTAAATAAGGACAAATTTGAAACCCTTAAATGGAGGCTCTTGCAAGGAATCACTGTTTGTACATTTGTGTACACATGTGAACACATGCTCATGTATTTACAAACAGGGTTCAAGATGAGGGAATAAGGCCAGCACAACAGCTCAGTGACTAAATACAAGTGCTGGGATTGCACATGGGTGCCAGTTCGAGTCCTGGCTGCTCCACTTCCCATTCAGCTCCTTGCTTGTGGCCTGGGAAATTACTAGAGGATAGTCCAAAGCCTTGGGACTCTGTAACCGCATGGGAAACCTGGAAGAGGCCCCTGGCTCCTGGCTTCAGATCAACTCAGCTTTGGCCATTGCGGCCACTTGGGGAGTGAACCAGTGGATGGAGGATCTTTCTCTGTGTATCTCCCTTTTTTATGTCTTTCCAATAAAAATAAATCTTAAAAAATAAAAAGAAGGAACTAAACACAAATGCAGGGACTGCTCCGTTCTCCCCAGTTCTATAGACTTCAAAGAACAACAGTGTACTTGCTCATCCTCTGCCAGCCAGGACAGAGCAAAGTGGCAACCAGGGAGACGCACAGTCCAGCGAGCCCTGCCTGGCCCAGGCACGGTGAAATATTAGTACATATTTGGCCTTGGTTTGTAATTGTTTTCCAAAAAATTAAGGTCAAGGAGTTTAGAATGCTCACTGGTAGTCCACATATTGGCAGCGAAGCTTCGAATGCGGCTTTCCCTGTCTCTCTTGTCCTTGTGGGGTCAGTGGAGGAAATCCCCCCGGCAGATTGCTACAAGCAAAGTATTGCCGAGAGCCTCCTGCCTGTATGCTCCCAAGTACCTAAGAGCTCGTCATCTTGACTTTGAAACATTTATGATTGATTTTGAATGAGTTCAGGATGTGTTTGGTTTTTGTTTTGTTTTAAACTATCAGTAAATAATGGAGTCCCTTTGTGTCCTTCCCCCAGTGGCACAATGCGTGGCTCGTGAGTAATCTTGGTGCTGAGGTGACACCCACACCAAGAGCCCCTCCTTCAGGAAGGTCTGGTCTTGACTTCTGTATCTTCAAGCAAAGCTTGGAGAAGTGAGCCTTAGGTCGCAGGGCTGGCCCAGGGCAAGGAGGGCTCCTGGCATGTAGTGCCCAACTTTCCTGCTTGCTCTCAAGTCTGTTTCTGAATGCTTTATGCTTTTCTCTTCATCCTCCTTTAAGCATTTGTAATTTCACGGACTGCTGTTTGCCAGGAGAAGGAGATAGATAGCAGAAGTGGCCTGTGTCGGGTCTCTCATCACTGCAGCAGCAGCTGACCTGCCAGCTGACTTCTCCCCGCCCCGTTCCTCCAGGTTCGTCCTCCTTCCTTCACACGTGGCTTGGAGGTTTGGTCTCCGAGAGCTCTGCAGCCTAGAGGCGGTGTGCTTCCCACGAGCAGGTCCTCGGAGTGCCCCAGCAGCCAACTAGCTAAAGAAGTTACCGTTTTTTGTTTTTTTTTTCAAGATGTGTTTATTCATTAGAGAGACTGGGTTAGATGTAGGACAGAGCTCTGCTGTCCATTAGCTTACTCCGCCCTGGCCACAGCAGGCCGGGAGCCAGGCGCTTCCCAGTCCCCCAGCATGCACGTGCGTTGCAGCGTATTAACCTGTCTGTCACCGTAGTTAACTTTTAAATCGGATCGTTACCAAACCTGTAAGACAAACTGGCTTTTTTCTGTTTAAGGTAAGAATGAAAATGTGAGAGTTTAAACTTTATTTTAAACATTTACAAAGAAAAAAAATGTTCCATCTGCTAGTTGACTCCCCAGATTGTTGCAACATCTGGACCTGGGCCAGGCTGAAGCAAGGAGCCAGGTACTTCATCCAGGTTTCCCACATGGATCCAGGGGCCCAGGGGCTGGGACCATCTTCCACTGCTCTTCCAGGCACCTTCGTGGGGAGCTGGACTGGATGTGGAGCAGCCAGCACCCAGATGAGGTGCTGGTGCACAGACAGTGGGTTAACCTGTCTACACCCCAGCACTGGCCCAGAGATAAGGTGGTTTTGTGTTGTGGTCAGTGTCCTCCCCTGGTGTGCCATGCACCTGCATCGGACAGCAGCACAGAGACAGGAGCGCTGCTTGGCGGGGTGACCCCGACGAGTCTGTATGGAATCATAGAATTTCTCTGTACTGGTAAAAATTGAAGGTGTTGCTAAAGATGTTAAGACTGAATTTTCTGTGAGACTGATGTCTTGCTGTGACAGACCATGTAATCCATTTTACAAATAATGTAACCTGTGTCCTTTTCAAGGAAAAATTTAAGCATTTGCTGCATGTTAATGTGGCAGTTGTGATTCTGAGTTGTGTTACCATTGGTTTGGAAATGTCAGCTTCCTTAAAGTATCATAGATAGGTTTATGTGAAAATAGCATATAGTGACCAGCCCAGTTGCATTGCACGTAGCTTGGTAAACGGTGGCCGGAGGTGGACAGTCTTGACGGTGTTCACCTGCCTGACGAGGCTTGCATCTCCAGGAGTGTTTGGCCTGCTCTCCCCTCCCCCTCCTTTTTAAAGACATTGTTTAAGGGATTTTGATCACGATCATTAGTGGGATTCTTTGACTTTTTTTAAGGGGTTGGGGAGGGACCCTCAACAGGACATGTAACAGGAAGGGTTGCTGTTCCGCTGTGAGCTTTCTTGCTAGGGAGTGTTTAGGGCCTCACGTACGCAGTGACTGAACTCATGCAGCAAGTGGAGCATCCCTTCAGACCTGGCTCCCTACGTGCTGCCAAGCTGCTGCCTTGGAAGCACTAGGCTGGTTGGAAGTGTTTGAGATGCACTTGGCTGGCAGTGGGAGCTCCCTGCTTCCACGTGCCCTGGCAGACCACTGCCCAGCTGCTGCCCTGTACTGCCCGCTTTCTCTCACTGAGCCCGTCAGGCTCCCAAGGTACCCCGCAGAGGAGTTGGGGGCTGGTGGGAGCTCAAGTCCCTGTCAGCACATTTCCTCTCCATTCTCCCTCTGGGCAAGGATCTGCATTGTGGCAGTTTAATCACGCCATGTTGCCACAGTTGTCTAGAATGTTCTGGTTGCTAAATTGCAATTATTAAAGGAGGCAGGTCCAGAACACGGCGCTGCACGATTCTGCTTTCATAGCATCCAGTTGGAGCGTGGAAGAGGTGACTTCCAGACCAGCCAGTCACCACGGGAGCACCAGCAACGGCAGTGAGGCTGTGTTATCTGACTCTGTCCTTCCCGGCAGATCGGAGTCCAGCCTGCTGCCACAGTCCCCCTGCTGCAGCATGAGCTGTGCCTGCTTGCACTGGTGGTGCAGTTCACTTCCTGTGTCCCTCAGCCCCACTAGTGTTCTCGTAGTTAAGACTGTCGTGAGGAGACAGGCCGCCTCCGCCCGCCCTCCTTCCGTTTCTCAACTGGTCTCCGGCTTCCTCTTGGGGTGTCTTCTGCAGAGGGCAGCGACAACTGCTGAGCTGTGCCTGGTGGGCATGAGCCCTCCTCTTGGGAGAGTGTTTCCTGGCATGGGGGCCAAACCATGTCGGGAAAATGGGGTCGATTTCCTGAGGTGCCCCTGATAACAGTGAGATTCTTAGGACCCAAACCTGGGGAGGTAAGAGCCTGGCTTCCTTTTAAGCACTAAACTCTAACAAACACTGGAGGAGACAGCACGGTTTGTTTTGCTTTTATCCTTGAAGAACTACTTTGGATTTTTGCAAAAGATGAAAAATGACTTATGATCTATTGAGATTCGGAGAGCATTATGAGACTTGAGAGAGCGTGGCAGCACTGCAAGTGTTGGGGAGCGGGGCTTTGGCGTTCTCCGGTTTGATGGTTGTTATGTGGAAAAGCCCTCGGCCAGTGCAGCTGAGTGCCAGCACTCATCTTTAAGACTGCAGGGTTTGGGTTTGTTTTTTTCTCGTTTTGGGGATAGAGTGTATGTTCCTCCGTTTTTATTAGACATCTGCAGACTTCAGCAGTTACTAATTTTTGCTTAGTGCAGCTTCCTGTTTTGTAAGTGAAGAAGTTTGTTTTTCTTCCTTCCGCTGCCCGCATTTCTTACACTTTAAACACGGTGGTTGAACTCTTAGGTTTTTGTCATGCACATTATGCTAATAGAGGGCTTCCTGTGAACCATAAATGTTTTCATTCTAGACTACCAAGTGGGCTTGAAACAGAAAGAGACCTGGGCTCTGGTTCTGTCCCTGCTGGTGATCCCCAGGGCTGGGTCTCCCAGGCTTGGCCATCACCTGCTGTGTGTCTCAAGTGTATTGTTAGACACTGCATCTCTTAGATGGAAAACGGAGTGCAGAGTGTGGGTCATTTGTGAGGAACACATGCAGTTGCCTGTCGCAGTGCTTGGCATGAAGGAACTGTCCAGAACTTCCCTGGCAGTTGTGAAGTGGGTGCTTGTGCCCAGCCCACACACTTGTGCCACAGGAGCAGGGAGCATTGTGACGTGGTGCTGGTGGTGGTGGTGGTGGTTGGGGAGCGCAGCCATCTGCCCGGAAGCCACACTGCTCCTTTGTTGAGCGGCAGTGAAGTCCACTGTGCGTGTTCAGCTGGCAGGTGCTGTGCCCAGCAATGCCTCTGCAGAGCCCAGAGTCCACTCGCCAGCCCTGCCTCCCAGGGACATTGGGTGCCAAGGATGGCCCTGGCTGCTTTAGATATATTCTTTTCAAGCCCCAGCAGTCATCACTGTTCCTCCAGCTCTCCAAGGGTTACGTTTCTTCCCATCCCTGCTTGTGACTGTGGGAGCTTTGTCAAGTTCTCTTAGGGTGGGGCAGGTCTAAGTCATTTTTCATGTTCCTGCCCTCCTTGTGGCCTCTGCCCCTCAGAGCTGCTGCTTCCCCCGCTGGGCCTCTTCTGCCTGACTGCGTCGTCCTCCCAGCGTGAGCACTGGTGTAGGTTTGTAGGTCTTGGTATGCTGACCAGCAAAGACTGGAGCTGTGGGGGGTGGAGAAGCTTTGCAGTGTGGCAGAGCAAAGGAGGAAGGTTCAGTGTGGGTGTGTAGAGCAGCTTGAGCCCTCCTTCCTCTGCACACATGCCCGCTGCCTGAAGCTGGCCCTGAGCTCTGCCCCTGTGTGCACGCCTTGGGGCCCTGCAGGCGGTGCCGGAAGCCTCTCTTGAGCTGATTGTTGGATGTGGCATCTCTTGGTGGCAGTAGCCCTAAGGGGCTCTGGCAGACTGCCCAGTATTCCTCGGGCTTTGTACGACAGTCCTCTGGTTCACCACTTGATTTCGTTTTGCCCGGTTCCTCATCTAGCCTAGACCATTCCCTGACTGCTGCTGCCCACCTGCTGTCTGGGGGCGTGGTTATGGAAGAGACTTTCCTGTGTTCTCTGAACTGTTGATGTTTTTCTTTGACAGGAAAAGGAAAAAGAGAAAGAGAAAAATAAAGAGAAGGAGAAAGACAGTAAGGAGAAGGAGAAAGATAAGAAACCTATCAACGGACACTCGTTTAGTCCCATCCCCGTCGTGGGCCCCATCAGCTGCAGCCAGTGTGCGAAGCCGTTCATCAACAAAGAAGCCTTCACCTGTGCCAGTAAGAATCGCGGCCACGTGTGGGGCAGGGCCGCACTCGCGGGTGGCCCTGGCTTCCTGTCAGCTCCATCCCCTGTCTGTTGCCGTTGCTGGGACAGTAATCCCAATCATGTCCTCACAGGAAAGAGAGTCCCGGATGTATGAGGCAGCCGTGTTGTCTTCCCTGTCCTCTGATTCTGAGACTTCCTGCTCCCCGAGTCTGTCAGCACCAGGCCCAGCCTCTGCCCAGCAGCCTGCTGCAGGCTCACAGACACTCCTCTCTGCTAGGCCTCTGCCCTGGGTCTGCCCTGGCCATTGGCCACCTGGCCTTGGGTGGCCACAGACAAGTGCCCTCAGAGCCCCCCACTAGGAAGCGCCTGTGCTGACAAGCCTGGGTTTGCGTAAGTGCTTTCAGACAAACGTCGCACATTGTCTTTCCTGGACTGGACACTACTCAAGCCCTGGTCCTGCCACTGGACTCCACAGGGCGTGTGGCCAGGTGCCTCTAAAACAGTAGTGTCTTAAGACCGTTACGTGTTGCATAGTATCTGTCTTTTTCATTTTTTCACAAAATCTCAAATGTAAAAATCATTCATGGTCCTATGAGTTACCCCAGTTGGCCACCAAGTCATCACTTTTGATTCTCTGCTCTTAGTCCGTGTTTCTGGAAATCTGGTTGTTACACACAGAGTGATGTGTGTGTTTATACAGAGAGGGTTCTTGCAGTCAGAGGTGGCTGGGGGAGATACACGCAGCCCAGCCCACTGAATGAAGACTAAGGTAACAGTATCTGATAATTCAAATGCCGAGGGGCAGCCTGGGGTCTTGACCTTGGGATGTGTGACTGCTGGGGAAGGCGGCAGGCATGTCTAACCAGGGAGCTGTCCCTGGCTGGGGACTCCACAGCTGATGCTGGGGCGTGTGACTGCTGGGGAAGGTGGCAGGCGTATCTGACCAGGGAGCTGTCCCTGGCTGGAGACTCCACAGCTGATGCTGGGGTGTGTGACTGCTGGGGAAGGTGGCAGGCATGTCTGACCAGGGAGCTGTCCCTGGCTGAGGACTCCACAGCTGATGCTGGGGCGTGTGACTGCTGGGGAAGGTGGCAGGCATGTCTGACCAGGGAGCTGTCCCTGGCTGGGGACTCCACAGCTGATGCTGGGGCGTGTGACTGCTGGGGAAGGTGGCAGGCGTGTCGTGACAATGCTGACTGTGCCAGGCTGATGGTGGCTTTGCAGTGGCTCTTTCCTCTTGCTGCAAGTGACTGGCCTGGAGGAGGCTTGATGGAGTCTTCAGAGGTTGGGCTTGCTGACACTCATGTTTAGGGGTCTTTCTGGGTGTTCTCTTTCTTTTCAACAGCTACACTATCGAGGCTGTTGCTGATTTATTCTCTGATGACGGCTTCAGAGTCCTTTTGTGGTAGGAGGTTCCTCTTGATTAAGCAGATAGACCAGTTGGACCAGCTGCAACCTAAGAGGAAGACTTGAAGCGTGTGTGTGGTGGGTTAGGTGTTGTTTTGGGTTTCTTGCTAGTTTTCTGGCTTTGGACTCTATCTCTTCCCTAGATAGTGAAGCATCTGGACTTGAAGGAGGGGTTTGCTATGTGAGAGCAGGGCCGAACAGTGCACTGCTCTCTGTTGGGTGTGACATTGTGTCACAGGGAGAACTGCACACGACAACACACTGTTTTTCATTTCTTGGCGGGGTTGAACTGATAGGAGCAAGTTGCTCTTTTCACTCAGCTCCTGACAGAGTTGCTGTGCAGAAGGCACATGTGTGGCTGTTAGTGCCAAGGAGTAAGCTGAGCTGTGCCAGTAAAACTCACCCAACAAGAGCAGTGTGCTGTTTGCATCCTGCACTCACATGGCAAACCCCTGGCACATGCAAAGCCCAGCATGAGTGACATGCTTGTGGTAGGCCTGGCGTAAGCAGCCCTGCAGGAATGACCTTCGCACTGTTCTGACTGCCCCCTCATCTCTCCATTAAGCCTGTTTCTTTAAGCTAATCCCTTTAATGGTTTGCTTAATTTTTTGCTGAAAGAGGAGGAGAAGCACTGCCTGGTATAGAACAGTTCATCCCAGACTTACAGCAAGTGTAACAGGACTTGTTAAAACCGTGTGCTGTTCAGTTGTCAGGTTTTCCCTACTGCATGAGAAGGTCATGTGGGTTGTGCCTTTGTGCTGTCGTATTTCCTTTGAAGGCTGTGCCCTTCCTTGCCCTTTTATGCATTTGTTGGTTTAAAACTTGGATTTTAAATCCTATCTAGTTTAAGTAGAAAGGAGGGGCAGCACTGAAGCAGGAAGGAGGAGGATTGGGGTTCAAGAGAGTGCATTTGGGGAGACAGCAGCCAGCAGGGGGTCACAAAAGAGGAAAGAGGAGGCAGAGAGTGTGAGGGCTGGATGGGGGAGAGGTGGGGCGTGAGGAGAGAGGCTGGGCAGTAGACACGTTGGGTGTTACCAAGAAAGTGGAGGCGTTCTACCCAATTCCAGGTTTTGCCTTTTGCTGCGGGTCCTGCAGCCTCTGCCCTCCTGCCTGCGGCTGGAGAAATGCACTTCCTGTTTCATCTGCTGCATGGGACCCTGAGCCCTCTGCAGCAGAGCTTAAGCCAGAACACAGGTGCAGGGCATGCTCCTGTGTCAGGCCCCTTTGGTTCCTCCCCTGGCTCCATGTCTTGGCACAAAGAGTGCTGATTGCACGTTCCTTGTCCGGCACAGGGAGCTGTGACCCTTAGCAGAGGCCAGGGTATCAGAAATCACCATGACGGCTTACAGTCCTGTTTCTGTTTTTATGCCAGTGTCATTCTGCTTTTTTTGTAGTAGCTCTGAAACCTGGCAGAGTGATGCCTCATACTTTGTCTTTATTGCTGTTCAAGATTGCATTTGGATTGTAGGTGGTTGTTTCTCATTCTGTGTCAAGAATGCCTCTGGTATTGATGGAGTTCGCTGTGGTGAATTTGTTACACATTGCTGTGACTGCGATGGATGTGTTGATAGCATAATTCTTTCAATCTGTAGACTTGGGAAACTTCTGCTTTTTTATGTACAGATGTCATTTTTTTTTTAAAAGAGCTTTTATTTATTTGAAAGGTGGAGTTACAGAGAGAGGGAGAGACAAGAGAGCAATCTTTTTTCTTAAAAAAAAAAGGATTTATTTATTTTTTACTGCAGAGTCACATATACAGAGAGGAGGAGAGACAGAGAGGAAGATCTTCCATCCAGTGATTCACTCTCTAAGTGACCACAATGGCTGGAGCTGTGCCGATTAGCAACCAGAAGTTTCTTCCGGGTCCCCCATGCAGGTGCAGGGTCCCAAGGCTTTGCGTCATCCTCAACTGCTTTCCCAGGCCACAGCAGGGAGCTGGATGGGAAGTGGAGCTGCCAGGATTAGAACTGGTGCCCATGTGGGATCCCAGCAAATTCAAGGCGAGGACTTTAGCTGTTAGGCCACCGCACCAGGCCCAGGAGTGATCTTCTATGCCTCCAAATCAAGGCATAGACAAGGCAGAAGCCAGAAGCCTAGAGCTCCTTGCTGGGCTTCTCCATACGTGGCAGAGACGCAGGCACTTGGACTGTAGGGAGCCAGGCTGGTGCTGGAGCAGCAGCTCAAACGGGATCCTGGCATCATGCGGCAGCTTGGCCCATGGCACCACAGTGCCAGTCTCATAGTTTTCTCAGTGTTTTCAGGGCTCAGCTCCTTTGGCGTCTTGGTTGACCTCGTCCCGAGGCACTCGGTACGTATTTTGGTTTGGGGAGTTGTTGCGAATGTTCTTGGTGGTGCATTTTCAGCCAGGCGAGTGTTGCTGATGAACCTGGTTTTTGCGAGTTGGTTTTCTAGCCTGCAGCTTTCTGGATTCTCTAGTCAGTCTGTAATAGTCCCTTGGGGTCGGGTCCTTTGGTTCCCCAAGGAGAGAACCGTGGCGTCTGCAAACAGGAGGGATTGCCTTCCTGCCTTCCAAGCTGCACAGCCTCTGTTCCTTTCTCCTGCCCACTGGCTCTGGCTGCAGCTCCCAGGACTGTGCTGAGCAACGGTGGGCAGAGTGGGCACCTTGGGAGGTGCAGACGTGGGTGGGACGGCGTCCAGCCCTTCCCGTTCAGGGTCAGGGCTTGTCACGCACGGCATTTGCTGGGTTGAGCTGGGCTGCTTATTTCCCTAGTTTGCCCAAGGTTTTCCTCATGAAAGAATGCGTTGTATCAGGTGTTTTTTTTTTAAAAAGATTTATTTATTTTTATTGCAAAGTCAGATATACAGAAAGGAGGACAGGAAGATCTTCCATCCAATGATTCACTCTCCAAGTGACTGCAATGGCCAGAGATGAACCAGTCTGAAGCCAGGAGTCAGGAACTTCCTCCAGGTCTCCCACATGGGTGTAGGGTCAAGGCTTTGGGCTGTCTTTGACTGCTTTCCCAGGCCACAAGCAGGGAGCTGGATGGGAAGTAGAACTGCCACGATTAGAACCGGTGCCCATATGGGATCCCTGTGTGTTCAAGGTGAGGACTTTAGCCGTTAGGCCAGTGCACCGGTCCCTGGTGGTTTTTGTGCACCAATTGAGATACTCATGGATTTTTATCCTTCGTTCTGTTGGTATGATTTATCGTGTTCATTGGTTTGCTAGCTTCTGGGAAGGTGTAAGGAAATGCTTGCACTGCTGTGCTTACTGTCAACCAGCTTACCACAACAAAGATATGGAATCAAACTGATCCTCATCTGCTGTTGGCTGGATAAAGGAAGTGGAATGTCACACAATAGAATATTACTCAACATGCAACAGGAATGGGATTTTTATATTTGCGACAAAGTGCATGGAATAAGCCAAACATAGAAAGACAAAATATATGGACTATATAATTTGTGTAAATTTCATATTCTTGTTATATATGTGTATATGTGATTGTATATATATGTGTGTGTCTGAATTATGCCCGCTGCATAATTGCATAACCTTTCTTGAGTCCCGTGTTATATTCATTTCATTACTTTCAAGAATGTATGCATGTGTAGGTATATAATATTTATTTCTAAAGCAAAAAAGTTTGAATGCATGGAAAAAGAGTGTGTTCCTTGTGGACTCCCATCTGTGCCTGGCCTTTGAGGACGTCCCCGCCTCTGGTGACCGGGCTGTGAGAGTGTGTGGAGCTCTGCTGACCATGCGTGGAGCGTCTGCCTCAGCTGGGAAGGCCAGGGGTCAGTCAGGTCACAGGTAGAAGGGCAGTGAGCAGGTGCAGTGGCCAGGCTCCAGTTTGGCACGTCCCACCACCCATTGAGTCGGGAGATTGTGTAAGTCCTTCGTTGAGGCTTAGATGTCCCTATCGATGATGGCTTTTCTGTGATGTTCCAGTATAGCAGCGGTTACTCCCCCTGTCTCTCTGCAGGTGGTACTCCCCCCCACCCCAGCTTCTGAAGGGATGGTGCTCCCTTGGCTGCCCCTTGTTTCCAGCAGTGGAGACTCAGTGTCCAGATCTGGCTGCTGCTCGTGTGACCAAGCTGGACATTGCTCTTTTTCAGGCTGTGGTGCTTTTGTTCACAAGGGCTGCAGAGAAAGTCTGGCCTCCTGTGCCAAGGTCAAGATGAAGGTAAGATGCAGTCGGACCTCGGTCTGCACCAGGAGCCCCAGCTCCACGTTCTGGCAGTCTTCCCTGCTCTTCCTTGTCAGGTCATGCTGTATTTCTCACCGACTGCCTGTAGCATCTTGTTGTTCTTAAAGTGATCTTCTTAATGGTGTCTACAGGACACTGCCTGTTCCCACACGTGGCTTCCTCTCTCAGGACCAGGAGGGAGGGCAGCCGGTCGAAGCCATTTCTTTGATCTGCTGGCGGTTGGGGCTGCTCTGATGAGGTGGCTCTGACTACCCAATAAAGAATGAAAGGCTTTGTCCTGTGTGGTGCCTGCTCTGAGCACACAGGGAATGGGCGCACCTGTCAGGCTGAGTGCTGCATCTCTGGGAGCGGGTTCCCTTCCTGTCAGGAGGCGGCTCTGCAGCTCACGGGTACACGGCTCAGAGGACTGCCTGCCCCCCCAGGGCACATGGGTACACGGCTCAGAGGACTGCCTGCCCCCCCAGGGCACATGGGTACACGGCTCAGAGGACTGCCTGCCCACCCCCAGGGGCACATGGGTACACGGCTCAGAGGACTGCCTGCCCACCCTCCCAGGGGCGCACTGCTCTGCTCATGGCAGGCTTCCGTCTGGAGTGCCCTGTTCCCCTGGCACCCAGGCATTTCCCCATTGACACGGGGGATCCAGGACTCTGGTCTGAGCAGCCCTGGACTTGGGGCAGGGGTCAAGTCTCTACCCTCAAGGCTGACTCAGCAGAGGTTTTGTTAGTCTCACACAGTATGTTTTTTTAAATTTGGTTTAATGTCATTTGTTTTCATGTTGAAGTTTTTGTTTATCATGGAGATAGCTCCGATCCACTGGTTTGTTCCCCCAGATACCTACATCTTGGCGTGGCCGACCTGAAGTCGCCCTGGGTCTCCCACATGAGGGCAAAGACTCAGCTAACACCCAGCGGCATGTTCATGGCAGGTGGATCTGAGAGCCCAGTGGGGCCTGGGAGCCACATACTGTGATTCGGGCACAGGCGGCCCAGCCACTGAGCCGGACACATGCCCTGTGCGTCATTCTCAAAGGTCACCTGGTTAAGTCATTTTAGATTTCTTCTTTCTCCTGGAAGGTCTCTCAGCCCAGGCCCAGTGTCTGCTGCCCAGTTCTTGCACTGCTCCTTTCTGACTTTTTCCACAGAACTGTCACAGTCTCTAGGATAGTTGACTTTAGTAACCTGTAACTCCCTCCCTCTGGGACATAAGCTCCAGGTGGCCCGCAGCCTGTAGCAGTAAGTGGTGGCATGTTAGAGTGTGGCCTCCTGGGACAGGGGCCAGGTGCGAGGGAGGGCGACGATGGCCCCCAGCTGGAGTGAGAGGCCGCGCTGAATCTCAGGCAGAAAGGGGACGCAGGTGGTCTCTGCTCACTCCTAGTGCTACTGCAGGGCAGTGAGGATGCAGCCAGGAAGAGGGGTTCCTCCTGGAATCCCAAGTGGCCCATCTCTGTGGTGTGACTGCAGTGTAGCTGTGTCCATGTGTACCATCTCAAGGTGCTTTTTTGCATGCTACCGCAAAAACTGCAACGCATAGAGTTTTGTTAGCTTGTAAGTGCTAGTTGCTGGAGAAACAGAAGTTACTGGAAACAGGCAGTTACTGGAGGGACAGTGCTGTGCCAGTGGCCTCCCCAGGAGGAGCCAAGTGAAGCCGGAGCCCTGCTGCAGGAGAGGCAGCCCGGAGCGCACTCAGCAGCGGCCTGGGACTCGGGCCATGCCTTCCAGGGGAGCTTCCTGAAAGCGGACTTGGCGCCCATCGCCAGTGCAGTCCTCAGGGGTGTCTCCTTGTTCTTCAGCAACCCAGGGGGAGTCTCCAGGCGCACGACACGTCCTCGCTACCCACAGTCATCATGAGAGCCAAACGTAAGTATTTGTAGAGTCCTGACGAGGCTCCTCCCTGGCTGTGTGGCTCTGGGCGTACGAAGCCAGCTGGCGTGTTGCTTCCTTACTTCGTCACGGCTGCGATGCCTGGCATGTGGTCGGAGCTGCCAGCCAGTGGCATGGCCCTGCAGAGCCAGCTGCCGGGGCACCACAGCCTGTGTCTGGGCAGGTGCCATACTCTACTCTGCTTCGCTTGTAGTGCGAAACTGAAACGGTTGCTTTTAAATGGCTCGCGCTCCCCCGTTGTGTAGCTCAGGAAGACCTTGTTTGCTAAGCTACTGTGTAACTTGAGAGTGGCTCAGTGTTCAGGGGCCATGGCTGCTGTCCAGGATTGAGTCCTTCAGTCACCCTTTCTCCCCAGACTGAACCCTGACCCTCCTCCTGAGGCTGCACTTGACGGCACATGCTGGCCCCCCTGCATCCTCGTTTCCTGTCTGCTTCTTGCTTCCCTCCTACTAGTCTGCCTTTGTGCTGGGGCTTGCCCGCAGCTTTGTCCTGGGCCTCTCAAGACTTCTGTGTGCTGGCGCAAGCTGCATGGTGGTGTCCCTCTGAGCCTGTGGCACGTTTTCCTTCTCTGCTCCCCCGTAGATGGGCTGTTTACATATCCCCCAGCTTCTACCATAAGCAGCTCAGGAATCAGCAGATGTCTTCCTGGCTGGCTCTTCCGGGAGACTGCCGACAGACACTGTCTTTCCAAGAGCAGTTCTGGATCTGATAGGAGGGCCCATCGCTGGTCCTGCGCTGGAGTCAGACCCCAGCTGGCACTGCACTGCCTGCACCATGATGGATGCCCGCAGGGGCACTGCTGCCCACTCCAACCTGGGGACACTGCGCCTTGTGACTCCTGAGTGCTGTCTGCCCGCAGCTCCAGAGTGGCTGTACTGCCTGCACCTCTTCTCAGGGCACTGAAGGCATTGTGGGATGACGAGAAGGGAAAGTTGCCAGCCTGGTGCACATTTGGACCTGTCATCTGGCCACTCTACACACCTGTTAGGAGTCTGGTCTTCCAGGGCTCTGCTGTGATGTTAGCCCATATGTCAGACGCCTGCTTTCTGTCCCATGAAACAGTGTCTGCCTTACAAGAAGTCTCTGATATGTAGGTTCCTTCTGGGAATGGCCTCTGACCCACACAAATGTCCTGAGTCTCATTTTATCCCACATCAGCCATAATGTGTTTTAGAGGAAGCAGTGTGGATTTCACATCATGTGCACTTGGGTCCCAGCATCCCTGCTGGATGGTCCTGTAGCCTAGAATGTTCCTGCGTCTCTTGCGCAGTGAGGTGTCATGGCGTCTGAGTGCTTGTGGCTGTGCAGTGAGAACTCCTGTCAGGCCCTTCCTGGCAGGTGCTCCCTGGAGGAGCTGTGCTTGTAGCCATGCTCTCAGCAAGGCCTCTGAGCTCTGAGATGCTCAAATAAGGAAAAGTTCCTTCTAGGCTGCCTTTTCCATACAAGGTGCTGTTGGTGCCTTGGGCTTTGCCTGGTGCCTGGGGGCTTTGCTTGGTGGGGGCTCTGTCTGGTGGGCGCCCTGCCTGCCAGCCTATCCCTCTGCTGCCTCCTACATCCTGTTGACTCAGCCTGCAAAGCTGTTCTGCCTTCCCGCTAGTGGTTCTCGTTTCCATGTCCCTCTCCCTCTGCCCTGCTCGCATCTGTACCGTGCTATAAGAACAGGCGTTCTGTCTCAGCTGACCGCGTGTGCTCTCTGTTCTCCCCTCAGACACACGTGGGGCATGCGCATTCCCCTGCTGTGGGGCCTGGCCACGCGTCATAGTTCTGGTGTCTGATGCCGATCTTCCTGAAGCACTGAACCTGTAACAGCCTCTCCTCCCCCAGTCTTACTTCCTGCAGCCTGTGAGCAAGATCACCCGAGGGGCCTGTGAGGCAAGCCCTCCAGTCCCAGCACACAGAGGGCTGCAGAGTGCTGGCAGGGCCAGGAGGGAGATCACCCAAGGGGCCTGTCAGGCAGGCCCCCAGTCCCAGCACACAGAGTGCTGCAGAGTGCTGGCAGGGCCAGGAGCGAGATCACCCAAGGGGCCTGTGAGGCAGGCCCCCAGTCCCATCACACGGAGGGTTACAGAGTGCTGGCAGGGCCAGGAGCGAGATCACCCAAGGGGCCTGTGAGGCAGGCCCCCAGTCCCAGCACACAGAGGGCTGCAGAGTGCTATCTGACGGGCCTTTGCGAGCTCTGCTGTTGGCCACTCCCGAACAGGGTGGCCCCAGTTCCTCTGAGGTTCCTGTTGGCACCTGCTCCCAACCTTGACTGCATGATTCCCATCTCGCCTCCCCGGCTGCCCCTCTTGTTAGTCTCCTGCTTGCCTTCCCAGATACATGGTGCCAGCTTGTCCTGTGCGTGAAGGACAGCTGTCGTGCCGAAGCGGAGTCGCTCAGCCCAGGGGGTGTCCTCCTTTCTAGTTTGTCCATGCTGGTTTTGCTTGTTACCGACAATGTGACATGGAGTAATTCAGGACCTGCATCTGATATCAGACCCATACTAGCGTAGCCTGCAGAACAGCAGTGCCAGCCTGTTGCAGAGGTTTTCTCCCAGTTTCCCCTCAGAGAAAATCTGTGTGACAGCACCTGCCAAGTGGACACAGGTATGTGGTGTTCCAGTTGGATGCTGTCTTCCCCTGCAGCCTCGCAGCCCAAGGAACGCCCTCGATCCGCAGTGCTCGCCGAGGAGGCCACTGCTGCCCCGGCATTCACCAGCAGACGCTCCCAGCAGGGCGTCTCACTCTCCAAGAGCGTCTCCATACAGAACATCACAGGGTAGGTGGCTGGCGAGTCCTCGCCCGGATCGGGAATCGTGTGTGGAGTACTGTCTGTCATCAAGACGACCCCAGCAGGCTGAGCTGCATCATCCAGCCCTCCTTGTGAAAATCTTTCTAGATCAAAACAAGGAGAATAGAAAAAAACGATTTAAGCCTAAATTTGTCCTTTTGACTACTTCGATGTCAGGCTTTCCTGTCACTCAGAGGACCTGGGCTTGTTTCATGTCTCTTAACTGCTTGTGTCTAAAGTCACAGGTCAGTTTCTTAGAAGGCAATCCTGAGGCAGCCACTACGGTTGGGCTGCCAGGTCCCTCCGGGGCCTTACTGTTGACTTATACATCAGATATCAGCACAGCGCTGGCTGTGATGTCGCTGGCTATTTGGGGTCACATGCCTACCCCCCATCAAATGAATAACTCATTGCAAACGTGGGATTCAGTGCATCTCTTGCATGTCTCTGAACCTTGGCCGGGAGTTCCAGCAAAAGGACACAGTCTCCTTTTGTCTCTGTCCCCTAGCCTCTGTGTCCTCTAACCTCTGTGTGCTCTAACCTCTGTGTCCCCTAACCTCTGTGTCCTCCAACCTCTGTGTCCCCTAACCGCTGTGTCCCCTAACCTCTGTGTCCCCTAACCTCTGTCCCCTAACCTCTGTGTCCCCTAACCGCTGTGTCCTCTAACCTCTGTGTCCCCTAACCTCTGTGTCCCCTAACCTCTGTGTCCTCCAACCTCTGTGTCCCCTAACCGCTGTGTCCCCTAACCTCTGTGTCCCCTAACCTCTGTGTCCCCTAACCTCTGTGTCCTCCAACCTCTGTGTCCCCTAACCGCTGTGTCCTCTAACCTCTGTGTCCCCTAACCTCTGTGTCCCCTAACCTCTGTGTCCTCTAACCTCTGTGTCCTCTAACCTCTGTGTCCCCTAACCTCTGTGTCCCCTAACCTCTGTGTCCTCTAACCTCTGTGTCCTCCAACCTCTGTGTCCCCTAACCGCTGTGTCCCCTAACCTCTGTGTCCTCCAACCTCTGTGTCCCCTAACCGCTGTGTCCCCTAACCTCTGTGTCCTCCAACCTCTGTGTCCTCTAACCTCTGTGTCCCCTAACCTCTGTGTCCTCCAACCTCTGTGTCCCCTAGCCTCTGTGTCCCCTAACCTCTGTGTCCTCTAACCTCTGTGTCCTCTAACCTCTGTGTCCTCTAACCTCTGTGTCCTCCAACCTCTGTGTCCTCTAACCGCTGTGTCCTCCAACCTCTGTGTCCTCCAACCTCTGTGTCCCCAGCCTCTGTGTCCCCTAACCTCTGTGTCCCCTAACCTCTGTGTCCTCCAACCTCTGTGTCCTCCAACCTCTGTGTCCTCTAACCTCTGTGTCCCCTAACCTCTGTGTCCTCCAACCTCTGTGTCCCCTAGCCTCTGTGTCCCCTAACCTCTGTGTCCTCTAACCGCTGTGTCCTCTAACCTCTGTGTCCTCTAACCTCTGTGTCCTCCAACCTCTGTGTCCTCTAACCGCTGTGTCCTCCAACCTCTGTGTCCTCCAACCTCTGTGTCCCCAGCCTCTGTGTCCCCTAACCTCTGTGTCCCCTAACCTCTGTGTCCTCTAACCTCTGTGTCCCCTAACCTCTGTGTCCCCTAACCTCTGTGTCCCCTAACCTCTGTGTCCCCTAACCTCTGTGTCCTCTAACCTCTGTGTCCCCTAACCTCTGTGTCCTCTAACCTCTGTGTCCCCTAACCTCTGTGTCCTCTAACCTCTGTGTCCCCTAACCTCTGTGTCCCCTAACCTCTGTGTCCCCTAACCTCTGTGTCCTCCAACCTCTGTGTCCTCCAACCTCTGTGTCCTCTAACCTCTGTGTCCCCTAACCTCTGTGTCCTCCAACCTCTGTGTCCTCCAACCTCTGTGTCCCCTAACCTCTGTGTCCTCTAACCTCTGTGTCCCCTAACCTCTGTGTCCCCTAACCTCTGTGTCCTCCAACCTCTGTGTCCCCTAACCTCTGTGTCCTCTAACCTCTGTGTCCCCTAACCTCTGTGTCCTCTAACCTCTGTGTCCTCTAACCTCTGTGTCCCCTAACCTCTGTGTCCCCAGCCTCTGTGTCCTCTAACCTCTGTGTCCTCTAACCTCTGTGTCCTCTAACCTCTGTGTCCCCTAGCCTCTGTGTTCCCAGCCTCTGTGTCCCCTAACCTCTGTGTCCCCTAGCCTCTGTGTCCTCTAACCTCTGTGTCCCCTAGCCTCTGTGTTCCCAGCCTCTGTGTCTGGCTAATGTCTCCCTCGGGTATATTTTCTTTGTATTTCCACTCTCTCCCAAAGCCCTCCTTTCAAAGTTGTACCATTATCAGAATTTATGTGTGTTATGGCATTGACGAGTTGGCCTTTGATAAAATGTAAAGTTGTAACTGGTTGGCCTTGTGTCTCATGACACTGATCTGATCGAGTGCTGCTGTGCTAGCAGTTGGGTTCAACTGAGAATGTCCAAACAGTTGCCCTTGTTTTCAGTTTGTGGTCTGCAGTGGAGAAAGTGCAGTAGTTAGGCAGCAAGTTTTAAATAAATGTCTTTTGGAATGGGCAGTGTTCTGAAGCCCAAAACTCTCCCTGCTGCTTGTCATTTTTTAAAATGCTCAGATGGTTTGGGTTTGCAGTGATCTTCAAGTTCCCATGTTGGTTGCCGCTTTGTGCTTGGCAGAAGGTGTCATAGGTGGCCAGTACCTCCGTGGTGTCCAGGTGCTCTGAGAACAAATGGCTTGCTGGATACATTTGGCTGTATTTACCGCTTCTTATCTCTAGAGTTGGTAATGATGAGACCATGTCCAACACGTGGAAATTCCTGTCACACTCAACGGACTCACTCAATAAAATCTGCAAGGTCAACGAGTCAACAGAATCGCTTACTGATGAGGGTAAGAGGAAGAGGGACCCACAGCACATTGCATGCTGAGCTGGCCGTCCTTGCCCCATTGTCAGCTGTGCACTGAAGGGTGCCGGCCTTTCTTCTGGCCACCCGTGTCTTCTGCCCCTGTGGCTGCCATGCCTTCCCCCTCCTGGACTCCTTGCACACATTTAGAACCAACATTCCTGGTGTGTCGTCCACCAGCTCTCTGCAACTTGGAGAGACCCTTCCGGTCCCAACTCCATATAGGAATCGGGTCTTTATATGCGATGCTTATCACTCCCAAGCAGAGTCTTGAATCGTGGGTCATGCCACTGGGGTGTGGACTCCTGCAGTTGTAGGAGGCGCTTCCCCTGCACAGCCATTGTAAGGGCAGGGTGTGTGTCCTGTGAAGCCACTGGCTGCTGAGGTCGGGCTTTGCCACAGTTGCAAACCCATGGTCTCTGACACTTTGAGGCGTAGGTACGGATATGAACGAGGGGCAGCTGATGGGAGACTTTGAGATCGACTCCAGACAGCTGGAGGCGGAGTCCTGGAGCCGGGTTGTTGACAGCAAGTTCCTGAAGCAGCAGAAGAAAGATGCAATCAAACGACAGGAAGTGATCTATGGTAAGACGCCGATGTGCGGTTGCATCGTCCAGTGTTTCTAAGCTGACAGCTTACTGCACTGAGAAAAGTTAGCTCTTTCACAAAAGACATGGGGAAATTTTCCTTTAAGAACTTGGGGTCGCAGGGTGTGAGCTTGAGAGTGTCCCTTTTTCCACTTCACCTCAGTATTTTCATTTTCCGAGCATTTGTGCGGCAGTTGACTCCCGTGGCTGTCTGCGAACCAGACAGGACACACGGTGTCCAGCAGCACAGTCTGCAGGGGTACTGAGTACAGTGGAGACTCATTTGAGATGGGTGGAGCCCAGGAAACCTGTCCTCAGAAGGCAGAGTTAGGTTATGAGCATACTCAGGGTTAGGGTGTGGTAGGAAGAAGCAGCTTCTGACCCCCGATGGAAGGTTCCAGTGGGGCTCTGGCTGCCTTGTGGTTGCCCGGGTGAGCCCCAGGAGGAGCCCTGGTCCCAGCCTTCCCGTGTCTCTGCCGTCCTCACAGAGCTAATGCAGACCGAATTCCACCACATCCGCACGCTCAAGATCATGGGCGACGTCTACGGCAGGGGCATGGTGACCGAGCTGCTGTTTGAGCAGCCGATGGTGGAAAAGCTGTTCCCCTGTCTGGACGAGCTCATCAGCATCCACAGCCAGTTCTTCCAGAAGATTCTGGAGCGGAAGAAGGAGTGTGCAGTGGATAAGAGTGATAACTTCCTCATCCGAAGGATAGGGGACGTGCTTGTCGGTCAGGTGAGGATGTTGGCACTGCTGCGGGCAGCTTGGCTCTGTGAGCCTCCGTGTGCTCTCCTGTCAGATGGAAAGCACAGTGGGTTTCTCCTAAAGCTGACGAGGAAGTTAGAGTGCGTTGTCTCCACAGAATCCCTCATTCGTATGTTAGCCGTCCTGCCTCCATCCAAAGCCCCGGGTGTGAGCCAAGGCGCCCTTGCTGGCAGCATGAGCTAACCCCTGTGCCTCACTGCTCAGCCAGCATCGTCAGCTTGGGCAGGAGCAGTGAGAACTGCCCTGACATACAGAGCGCCCCAGTAAGGCCGCCTCCCCGTGCGTGGGCACAGCTGGTTCTGACACACTCAACACTGCACAGCTTTCAAAATGCTCTTGTTGGGAAGGTTCATGCCTGCTCCCAGCACCTTGACAGGCAAAGGGTTGTGACTGGGATCGGGGACGTTTTCTGCTTCTGGGTGGAATTAAAGGCTACCTGCCAGTGATTGGACATTTGGCCTGTCGTCCTCTGCATGAACACAGTAGGACTTGCATTCTTTCTCTGGCTTCTGTCTGCAATGAAAAGAATGCAGAGTGCATGGCAGCATAATTCACAGCACACAGTGCTGTCAGAGGTCATCGCAACTGTAGGCTGTGTTACTCCGGGTGTGTGGGCATGCATGTTTATAGCTGTGTTACTCCGGGTGTGTGGCATGCGTGGTTTATAGCTGTGTTACTCTGGGTGTGTGGGCATGTGTGGTTTATAGCTGTGTTACTCGGGGTGTGTGGGCATGCGTGGTTTATAGCTGTGTTACTCTGGGTGTGTGGGCATGCGTGGTTTATAGCTGTGTTACTCGGGGTGTGTGGACATGCGTGGTTTATAGCTGTGTTACTCCGCGTGTGTGGACATGCATGGTTTATAGCTGTGTTACTCCGGGTGTGTGGCATGCATGTTTATAGCTGTGTTACTCTGGGTGTGTGGGCATGTGTGGTTTATAGCTGTGTTACTCGGGGTGTGTGGGCATGCATGTTTATAGCTGTGTTACTCTGGGTGTGTGGCATGCGTGGTTTATAGCTGTGTTACTCGGGGTGTGTGGGCATGCGTGTTTATAGCTGTGTTACTCTGGGTGTGTGGACATGCGTGTTTATAGCTGTGTTACTCGGGGTGTGTGGCATGCGTGGTTTATAGCTGTGTTACTCGGGGTGTGTGGGCATGCGTGGTTTATAGCTGTGTTACTCTGGGTGTGTGGCATGCGTGTTTATACATGTGTTACTCCAGGTGTGTGGGTATGCATGGTTTGTAGATATACTCACGCACTGGACATTTGGGAGATTTCCACTGCTGTGTACACCTGTGTGGGTGGACGTGTCTGGACGTGCTGGGCCCGCAGTGGTCGTGGAAGTTTGGAGGGACTGGGCGTCTGGTACAGGCTGCTGTGGCCTGTCGGGGCGTATTGCTGAACCGACACTCCAGGTTTGCAAAGTGCTCATTGGATGTTGCAACCTGGCTTGTGGAGTCAGTGCTGCTCTCTGTCCTGCAGTTTTCGGGTGAGAATGCAGAGCGTTTGAAGAAGATCTATGGCAAGTTCTGTGGGCAGCACAACCAGTCTGTGAACTACTTCAAGGACCTGTACACAAAGGACAAACGCTTTCAGGCCTTCGTGAAGGTACGGGGGTGGGCGATGCCAGTGCCCGTTAGCACCCCTGTCTCAGCTCGAGCCATCTGCCAGGAGCAGACCTCATAGTTCACCTGTTCTCTTGCAGAAGAAGATGAGCAGTCCCATCGTACGGAGGCTCGGGATCCCGGAGTGCATATTGCTGGTAACCCAGCGGATTACCAAGTACCCGGTCTTATTCCAGAGAATCTTGCAGTGCACCAAAGGTGAGTCTGCTTTTCCTCCCAAGCTGATTGGCCAGCTGTCTCCCCAGGCAGCAGCAACACCAGAGCGCCTGTGAGACGCTGCTTCCTGTTCACTGGGACTACAAGAGAACCAGCCCTGTGTTTGATCAAGAAAATGTTCTTCTTGAGTAAAAGCTTGGAATGTTCTAGTACCAGAGTAAGAGTGGGCTAACACCAGAGGGAAAGGAGCCACCTACTAGTTCCATCCAGACTCAAATGACTCACTCCTCCTCTGGGGGCTGCAGTGCTGCTGCTGCTGCTGCTGCTGCTGCTGAATCCACATCTCCTAACTGCTCCCTCCTCTCTCTCTCTCTCTCTCTCTCTCTCTCTCTCTCTCGCTCTCTCGCTCTCTCTCACTCTCTCTAGCTCTCTCCACCTCCTTCCCTCTCTCCCTCTCTTCCCCTTTCTCCCTCCCCTCCCTCTCCCCCTCTCTCTCCCTCCCTCTCTCTCTCTCTCTCTCTCTCTCTCTCTCTCTCGCCCTCCCTCTCTCTCCCTTTCCCCCCACCTCCCTCCCTCTCTCTTCCTCTCCCTCTGTCCCCCACTCCATCTCTCCTCCCTTCCTGCTTTCCCTCCCTCTTTTCTCCTCTCTCTCTTCCTCTCTTTTACTCTGTCCTTCCCCCTCTCTCACTACAACACCCTCCCTCTCTGTCTCTTTCATCCTATCTTGACTTATAGGCAGTTATATCAAAGATTTGGAAAGCAAAGACAAAGCCCCTACTTCTCTCCTCTGCCTCTTTCCCTCCCTGAATGCCTGTGGGGCCTTTGGAGTATAAACACGGCTCACACTCCCCATCTGTCCATGCCCTGGGCGTGTACACACGGCTCATACTCCCCTTCCGTCCATGTCTTAAGCATGTACACATGGCTCACACTCCCCATCTGTCCATGCCCTGGGCGTGTACACACGGCTCACACTCCCCATCTGTCCATGCCCTGGGCGTGTACACACGGCTCATACTCCCCTTCCGTCCATGTCTTAAGCATGTACACACGGCTCACACTCCCCATCTGTCCATGCCCTGGGCGTGTGCACACGGCTCACACTCCCCTTCCGTCCATGCCCTGGGCATGTACACACGGCTCACACTCCCCATCTGTCCATGCCCTGGGCATGTACACACAGCTCACACTCCCCATCTGTCCATGCCCTGGGCATGTACACACGGCTCACACTCCCCTTCTGTCCATGTCTTGCGTGTGTACACACGGCTCACACTCCCCATCTGTCCATGCCCTGGGCGTGTACACACGGCTCACACTCCCCATCTGTCCATGCCCTGGGCGTGTACACATGGCTCACACTCCCCATCTGTCCATGTCTTGCGTGTGTACACACAGCTCACACTCCCCATCTGTCCATGCCCTGGGCGTGTACACACGGCTCACACTCCCCATCTGTCCATGCCCTGGGCATGTACACACGGCTCACACTCCCCTTCTGTCCATGTCTTGGGCGTGTACACATGGCTCACACTCCCCTTCTGTCCATGTCTTGCGCGTGTACACACGGCTCACACTCCCCTTCTGTCCATGCCCTGGGTGTGTACACACGGCTCACACTCCCCTTCTGTCCATGTCCTGGGCATGTACACACGGCTCACACTCCCCATCTGTCCATGCCCTGGGCGTGTACACACGGCTCACACTCCCCATCTGTCCATGCCCTGGGCATGTACACACGGCTCACACTCCCCTTCTGTCCATGTCTTGGGCGTGTACACATGGCTCACACTCCCCTTCTGTCCATGTCTTGCGCGTGTACACACGGCTCACACTCCCCTTCTGTCCATGCCCTGGGTGTGTACACATGGCTCACACTCCCCTTCTGTCCATGTCCTGGGCATGTACACACGGCTCACACTCCCCATCTGTCCATGCCCTGGGTGTGTACACACGGCTCACACTCCCCATCTGTCCATGCCCTGGGCGTTTACACACAGCTCACACTCCCCATCTGTCCATGCCCTGGGCATGTACACGCAGTTCACACTCCCCTTCTGTCCATGCTCTGAGTGTGGGCTTTCTTTAGGCTTGCACTCAGGATAGCAGAAGTGCTAGGTACCTGGCCTCATGTTCAGTGCTTTTTCATGGTTTTGTGTGAGCGCAGAGGGAGTGGCAGGGAGCACAGGATGGGTGCTGGCTCTCCTGGGCCCTCTGCTGTGAGAGCTGCCCAGAACAGAGCTGTGCTTTTCTCCAAGACAATGAGGTGGAGCAGGAAGACCTCGCCCAGTGCCTGAGCCTTGTGAAGGATGTTATTGGGGCTGTGGACAGGAAAGTTGCGAGTTACGAGCGGAAAGCGCGTCTCCATGAGATTTACACCAGGACAGACAGCAAATCCATCATGCGCATGAAGAGCGGGCAGATGTTTGCCAAGGAGGATCTGAAGCGCAAGCAGCTGGTACGCGACGGGAGTGTGTTTCTCAAGAGCTCTACTGGCAGGCTGAAAGGTGAGGTGTCCTTGGGCCCCGGGGATTTGTGCTTCACCTGGCCGGACGCCACCTGGGAGCACCAGACCTTTCTTGGCTTCTAACCTGGCATTGAGGCAGACTGATTTGAAGTAGCAGCCAGAGTGATGGGAATGAGCTGACTTAGGCAGGCAGGGACAGTGGAGTTGAGGTAATGGAAAACCACAAAGGACAGCATGTTCTGGGCCGTGCCTGTGCCCAGGGGATGCCAGGGGATGCTAGGTTTGACAGTTGGTGTACTCAAGTCTTTTGTCCTCTATAAAGCAAAAAGCAAAAAAAAAAAGGCACTGCCTTCCGTTTGGTTTCCCTCAGACTGCCCACGTGGCTCGCCATATCCACCTAGAATACTAGGTCAGCTTTGTTCTCCGGTGTATCTCATTTTGGCCAGAGCAGTGGCTGCCCTCGAACATGCCAGCAGACTCTGTCATTACCACCTTGTGTGGGGAGATGGGCTCGGCATGGTGTGCCTGAGGCAGGGGCGCACGAGCAGGACAGCGGAGACACCCGTGAGTTTGGGCCAGCAGCGCTGCTCGGATGTGGACAGAAGGGCAGGAGATGTGCAGAGCAAAGGGCCTCCCTCCTGTCAGCACTGAGTGGGTGTTCACGATGCTGTGCAGAGTCCAGGTTCCCTCCCCTGACCCACGGACTCTGCTCTGTACAGGCCGTGTGCACTGCGCCCGGAGACCAACAGAGGCCCCACGCCTCTTGAGGGCCTCCGTGCTCAAGATATGCTGCAGCTTGGAGCCTGCGCTCTGCTCTTGCCTCTCCACAGCTTATTCCATCATTCCCAATAAAAACTGCTGGCCCCAGCTGTGGGGGTAAGGCTGTGGTCCAGCCGGGGGCTGGAACAGGAGGTGCTGTAGCCTGGAGTGCCTCTGCGGGAGACAGCAGTTGCTGTGGAGTCGTTTTCAAACCCAGGGGAACTCCAGGAGTAGCCAGACCTGTCAAGGCCCTGTGGTGAGGGACAGGGTGGATTTTCTTCAATCCCCTGGCACTGATCATACAGGTGTCAAGATCCAGGCAAGGCCAGTGGCCTCTCGGGGGCAGACCCCCTCACGTTGTCAGGGCTTTGCAGTGCGCTCCCCAGGAGAGGGGCTCCAGGAACCACAGGGTTGCAGGAAAGGCCAGTAGCGGCCCCGCCTCTGGGGGTGCTCCCTGACTCAGTCCTGCCCTTGCCCTCTGTCCTGTGCACTGGAGGGGAGTTCCTTCTGGACAGCCGGGGGCTCTGAGCAGATCCACTGACGGAAAACGTCATGACCTTCTATTGCCAAGCCAGCTCTCAGACTCAGAGGTGGTGGGCTCCTTTTATTTCATTTCTGTGTTCCTAGATCCAGCTAGAGATGTCTGTTTCCATGCAGAAAGCTGTTGTGTAGAGAGGGGCAGCATCAGGGCTGTGCACAGGCCGTCATCTTCTCCAGCGGGCGAGGCCCACATCTGGGGCTCCTTTGCCTTAGCTGTGTGCCTGCACCGCACCAAGGCAGCCTTCCTGTGCGATGTGTCCTCACAGGTTGCTGGTCACTTCATTTTGAAAAACTATTCTTAAAATATTGCCTTAAGGGATATGTCTTTCCAGGGCTGTGGTGACCTGCAGAGCCTGAAGACCCTGGCTGGGCCGGGCGGCCTGGGCTTTGCCCCAGGCGTGTTCTGCTGCCCGGGCTGTGGGGAAGCTGCTGAGTCCTCACTCTTCCCTCTTTGTTTCCACTTTGCAGAGGTTCAGGCGGTTCTACTCACTGATATTTTAGTTTTCTTGCAAGAGAAAGACCAGAAGTATGTCTTTGCCTCACTGGTAAGTGACACTGCTATGATCAGGCCGGGTGTGTTGCGGCGAGGCGGGCTGGACGGGTACGGCCTTGAAGCCCTGGCTGGCTGGAGAGCTTGTGAAAGAGTCCGCCCCATCACAGCATTGCCCTTGCTTTTGTCAAAGTGTCTGATCTTGCATTGCACCAAAGCCACCCTCCAGTGTTGTGTGGTGTGCAGTGGCCGTCTCTCTGCTCCTTGCAGGACCAGAAGTCCACAGTGATTTCTCTGAAGAAGCTCATTGTGAGGGAAGTGGCGCACGAGGAGAAGGGCCTGTTTCTCATTAGCATGGGGGTGAGGGACCCCGAGATGGTGGAGGTCCACGCCGGCTCCAAGGAGGAGAGGAACAGCTGGATGCAGACCATCCAGGACACCATCAGCACCCTGTGAGCACGCCCCCGGCCCAGGACCCCTGGCGCAGGCGGGCGGGAGCCTGGCAGCTGAGCAGCCTCTGCATTGTCTGTCTAGGAACAGAGATGAAGATGAAGGCATTCCGAGTGAGAATGAGGAGGAGAAGAAAATGTTGGACACCAAAGCTCGGGAGTTGAAAGGTCAGCTGGGTGGGCTGAGGGGTTTGGAGGCCGTCATGGGGCACAGGGGATACTGGTCGTCATGTCTGGGTGTCGGCAGCACAGCAGGGTCTTTGCCAAAATTCACAGTCAGTTGTCAAACTCGGACAAAAGGGAGAAAAGAACATGAGAATGGGAGATCTGGGGCATCTCTGTCACCTGCTGCCACCCCCTACTTTGTCGTTCACCTGTGTGTTCATCAGGGAGCAGGGGCCACCCGAGACTGACTTCCAGTTTGGACACTGGTTTTTGGGGCCTGCTGGCGTGGTGGCCTCGCTAGCATCCTGCTTTATAGAAGAGGACACGGAAGAGCAGTTCACAGCAGCAGGGCACGAGGCCTGGGCTCCCTGACATGCCAGCACCCCGCTGCAGGCCGCTCAGGGGAGCTGCGCGGGGAGAGCACTGCAGTGGGCTGCTGCAGGGAGCTGCCCGCGTCCTCCCAGCCTTGCTCTGGAGAAGGGGAGACAAGTCCGAGCCAGTCCACAGGTCGGGGGTTAGCCAGCCATCCACATGGGGTAGGCAGCAGCTGGCAGGGCACTGCATCTGCAGGGAGCTGACCACATGATAGGGTGGCACCAGGGCTGGAAAGGCAGAGCAGCCTTGATTTCTTTGGTTGACATCAACACAACTGGGAGGGTCGCCGAGGGCGTGGAGGGGCCGAAAGTGGGCAGGCCAGCAGGACGTCTGTGGAGCTGGGGAGAGGGACAGTGAGGTCGCCAAGCCTGGGGGAATTGCAGAAACTGCTCTGCTGTCACACAGATGCCAAGATCCAAGGAAGCAGAAACAGGACAGGCAGATGAACTGTTTAAACTTTAAAAAAATGAACTGTCTAAATAATCTAAACTTTAAACAACAAAATGAGTCATCCCTGGGGGCAGACCCCCTCGCGTTGTCGAAGGCTTCAGCACTCCCTGGGAGAGGGGCTCCAGGAACCACAGGGCTGCAGGAAAGGCCAGTAGCAGCCCCGCCTCCAGGGGGCGCTCCCTCAGTCCTGCCCTTGCTGGGCACACTCTCTGGGCAGCCCGGTAGCTCTGAGCTGAGCGGCAGTGCTGTGGCATAGTTAGTTGCTGCCTGCAGACCCTGCGTCTGCGTGGGCGTCAGTTCACCTTTTCACTGCTCCGCTTCTGCTCCAGCTCCCTGCTAACCTGTCTGGAAATCCAGTGGAAGATGCCTCCAGTCCTTGGGCCCCAGCCAGCCACCTGGGAGACCCAGATGAAGTCCCGAGCTCCTGACTGTAACAACCATTTGGGGAGTGAACCAGCAATTGGAAGATCACCGTGTGTCTGTCTGTCTCTGTCTCTCTCTGACTCTGCTTTTCAAATAAAATCAATCTTTTCAGAAGATTTCTAAAACATAATTTTTACAGATTAAAAAATAAAATAGGAGCTGGCATGGTAGGTTAAGCTTCTGCCTGCAGTGGCAGCATCCTGTATGAGTGTCAGCTCATGTCTTCACTGCTCTTCTGGTCCAGCTCCCCGCTGATGTGCCTGGGAAACCAGTGGACGGTGCCTCCAGAGCTTGGGCCCTGCCCAACCCATAGTAGCCGTTTGGGGAATTCACCGGGAATGCAAGACCTCTGTGCCTCTCTGCTTCTGCCTCTCTCTGGCTGCTTCTTGGATGGGGTGGAATAGGACAGGACAAGGGCAGGGTCAGAGCAGTGTTAAACAGCCTGTACATGGAAGGGGGGAGTGGTCCGTCTGGAGACGGCCTTTGCTAGTGGCACTCCCCATGGCAGGCAGTGTGAGGGTGCTCACCATCGTTGCCAGCCCACAGAGCGCCCCGTAAGGCAGGGACTGTCTGGGGTGGCTGGGGTGCTGCCCTGCAGAGAGCACAGCTGTGCAGAGAGGAGAGTGGAAGGGTCCTTGAAGGCACTGACTTGGGGTGAGTGGCTGCAGACTGCTGGCCATGACAGGAAGTGGGCAGTACAGCAGCAGGGGGCAAGAATGAGGTCCTGGCTCGCCAGGTTGGGCACTCCCATGTCAGCCGTGTTTGCTGAGAGCCGCTCTCCACGTCAGATAATTGTGGAGAAAACCGTGTGTCTCCCCCTTACCCACATGGCTAATTCTAGAAGCAAGGTGGTCTTGACAAATGTCCCAGAGAGGAAACTTGGTACTGGACACGGGCCCGTCCTGAGGACAGGGTTAGTGCTGTCCCTACTGCATGCTGCCACAAGGTGGCACTTGTGTCCTGGTCCTAACATGCCGCCCTGCCCCGTCTGCCCTACAGAGCAGCTCCAGCAGAAGGACCAGCAGATCCTGCTGCTCCTGGAGGAGAAGGAGGTGATTTTCCGGGACCTGACCGAGTGCAGCACGCCCTTACCCGAGGACTGCTCCTCAGCACACAGCCCGAGAGCTCTCTTCCGCTCCAGCACGCAGGAGGCCCTCAGAGGAGGCCCGCTGATGAAGAGCGCCATAAGCGAGGGTAAGTGGTGCTCGGCACACCCCGTGAGAGCTGCTGCTTTGTCCCGTGTCCAAGAGCCAGGGAGCTCCCGCCACTTTGATGGCTTCCAAATCCTGGAACTCAGGCCTCCTATGGGACCAGTGGGAGCCCCACCTCATGAGCCACCGGGGTGCTGGTGCCATCCCCGTTAGCGGAACACAGCCCCAGGCACTGCAGCATGGCATTGGAGGTCCCAAGCATTCGCCCAGTTTTTACTTTCCTTCTGAAGGACGGAGCTGTGACAGTGCCCTAGTTTAACACCCAGGCCTTGTGCGGTAGTGACTCACTGTCGGGGGGCCGGGGAGCAGGTGTGCACGCCCTGCTGGGGCCTGCTGCTGCTGCTTCTGCCACAGGCCAGTGCTGCCTCCGACCCCCTGCCCACCCCTGTCTCAGAGCCCCCTGTGCGCTGTGCTGGCAGTACTGCAGCACCCACTCTGAGAGCGGGTCCCTGGCTGCCTTCCTGGGTGGGTGGCATCTGCTCTCCTGCCCTGTGCTGTCCACCAGGCCAGGCAGGGGAGGGCCTCAGAGCTCAGTGGTCAGGTGTCCCAAGCAGTGCCATGGGACAGTGGGGACCATGGGCTTGCTCTGTGCATGAGGCCGTGTGTGCTGGGAAGTTGTTGGGTGGGCAAGGGGCCCGTGTTCCCTGTCCATGTCACCAGGTATACTGTAGCCTGGGCTGTCGCTAAGCAGACTCTGGCGAGGGTGGGTTCCCAAGACCCTGCTGCTTACCTGAGTCCCTGAGGCTGTCCCTAGGCGCAGGTGGCTGTGCCAGCATGGGCCTCGTTGCCTGGCATGGTGCGTCCCAGAAAAGCAGTATAGACCTGCTCTAGCTGGGGAGACCTGCCTGTCCCCAGGCCTGGGTCTGCACAGACAACAGTCACTCTGTCATCGGCATGTGTCTTCTTTTTCTTTTTCTTTTTTTTTAAGATTTATTATTTTTATTGGAAAGGCAGATTTACAGAGAGGAAAGACAGAAATATCACCCATCTGCTGCTTTACTCCCCAAGTGGCCACAATGGCCGAAACTGAGTGGATCTGGAGCCAGGAGCCTCCTCAAGGTCTCCCACGTGGGTGCAGGGTCCCAGGGAGCCAGATGGGAAGTGTAGCAGCGGGAACATGAGCCAGCGTGCATGTGGAATCCTGGCACTGCGGACAGGGTTAGCCTGTCCCCACACTGCCCTGGCCCTGCTGTGTGCATTTCTCATGTCCCCGTTTGGGTGTGCTTCCGCGTCCCCGCCTCCTTTGGCCGTTCTCTTCCTCTGGCTGCTTTAGCATGTAGATGCTGATTTGACCTCATTGGACCACCTGCTCTGCGTCCCTTCGCTCTTTGCCCACTCTGTCCCATAGGCCTGTCTTCCCGTGAGCTCTGTTCCCCAGGAGCTCAGGCGTCTGTCTGCTAACAAGGATTGGACTGGAGTGTTTTCACTTCTTCACTTTTATTTGCAATTAGCTTCTTACATTTTGAAATTCAGATAGCTTGCTCACTTGCCAGAACTTCCCCAGGTTGTTTCTGGGTTGTGTTCTTTCAGAGCCAGACAGCTGCTTTCCCGGGACTTGCTGGCCCTGGTCCCTGACCCCTGACACTTCTTTCCTAGTGTCTACTCTGCCTCAGCCTGGAGGATGGCTCCTGCCCTCATGTACCGTGGCAGAGTACTGGCCGGTCAGACGTGAAGTCATGTGCCCCTCGCTCCCACTCTGCGTGGAGGAGCCAGGAGCTGCCGTTTCCCTGGCTGTTCGAAGGCCAACCCCTCACTGGGACCAAGTGTCTTCGGGCTGCTTTGGGTGTGATCTGGCAGCCGTGTGTGCCCTGTCTGCTCGTCGTCCCTCCTCATGGTTTCCTGGGCCTCATGTAAATCAGCGTGGAGGTTTCACCTCTCAGGTTCTGGTAGAATCCCCCAGAGCCAGCGTGCACCTGAGCCCTCGTCTGAGCCCAGCGTCCTCGCATGACGTGCTCTGTGCAGCTGCGTCCCCTCATGTGCTGTTATCTCTTTCCCAGTGGAACTCCTGCAGGGCCTGGTGAGTGCAAGTCTGGGCGGCATGATGGGGCAAGTGGCCAGCAGCCCTGCCGAGCAGGAAGGCGCCGTGGGCCCTGTGTCCCTGCCGCGGCGAGCAGAGACCTTCGGCGGGTTTGACAGCCACCAGATGAACGCTGCGAAAGGTAGGGGCTTGGGCACACGCCTCCGACCCCCAGTTACACCCCCAGTTACAGCCACACTTACACCCACAGTTACACCCTCAGTTATACCCAGTTACACCCACACTTACACCCCCAGTTACACCTACAGTTACACCTACAGTTACACCTACAGTTATACCCCCAGTTACACCCCCAGTTACACCCCCAGTTACACCCTCAGTTACACCCACACTTACACCCACACTTACACCCGCAGTTACACCCACACTTACACCTACAGTTACACCCCCAGTTGCACCCTCAGTTACACCCAGTTACACCCACACGTACACCCTCAGTTACACCCCCAGTTACACCCACACTTACACCCGCAGTTACACCCACACTTACACCTACAGTTACACCCCCAGTTGCACCCTCAGTTACACCCACACTTACACCCTCAGTTACACCCCCAGTTACACCTACAGTTACACCCCCAGTTACACCCACAGTTACAGTTACACCCACAGTTACACCCGCAGTTACACCTACAGTTACACCCTCAGTTACACCCACAGTTACACCCCCAGTTACACCCTCAGTTACACCCACAGTTACACCTACAGTTACACCCAGTTACACCCACAATTACACCCTCAGTTACACCCACAGTTACACCCTCAGTTACACCCAGTTACACCCACACTTACACCTCAAGTTAATACCTAGTTACACCCACACTTACACTCACAGTTACACCCCCAGTTACACCCACACTTACACCTCCAGTTAATACCTAGTTACTTACACCCACAGTTACACCCAGTTATACCCACACTTACACCCACAGTTACACCCACCCTGCTCGGGCAGGATGGGCTCCGGAGGAGCTGCAGGGCAGCCAAGAAGCAGCAGCGTTTACCTTCCTCCTACTTCGTGGAGGCTGTCTCCACAGGGCACCTGGAGCGCTGTCTGCCTCAGGCCGGAGGCATGGCCCAACGCTCTGTGTGTCAGCCCCGAGGTGTGACCCCAATGCTGTGTGTGTCTTGTGTAGGAGGTGAGAAGGACGAGGGAGATGAAGGCCAGGACCTCAGGCGCACGGAGTCCGACAGTGGTCTAAAAAAGGTACCTGGTTCTCCATACCTGCTCAGCCCTCCCCTCGGGGCACAGCACCCTCGGAGCTTTTCTGTCTCCATCTTGGCTTAGAAGTCTCCCTTGGGCCTTCAAGAAAGTCCTGCATTGTTTCCAGGGTCACACCTTACTGCTGCTTGCCCTGCCTGGCCTGGCATTGTGCCTACCTGCACAGCAGGACCCTGCTAGGACTGGTGTCCCACACCGCGGGGCATCCGTCAGCTTCAGGAGCGCTGGCTATGCCCTCTCTGCCACCGGGGAGAGGCCGCACTGGCAGACTGAAGGCAGCCTTGCGCGGGAGGCTCACTTCTGAGGCATCTGTCTTGTTTTGTAGGGTGGGAATGCGAACTTGGTGTTCACACTGAAAAGGAACAGTGAGGTAAGGACCCTCCTCACCCCCCGCCGGGCTGGCGTTTCTGCCTGCTGCAAGGTGACTGTCCCCAACAAGGGGAGGCCCGGCTGCCCTCACTCTACAGATCGGGCCAGGGTCAGCTTCCTGTCCTCTTCTTGCTGCCCCACTCAGAGTGGCATCTTGGATTTGGCTTGTGGCCATGCCCTTGGCCTCTCAGTGCTGCTGTCCATCAGCCTTCTGTGAACATGGGCAGTGCACCCCCTCTGGAGTCCGAATGCATATGGCTTAGCCTTGTTCACACACCTGGATCTTGAAGCTTCAGGGCTCAGCCGCGGAGGCTTACTGGGAGTGATTGGCGGTGCCAGCTAGGCCTCTGTCCAGTGCCTGTGTACCTTCTGTGGGTGCTGCTTCTCAGGGCTGTGCCTGCCGAGGTACTGTGTGGGTCTACCTTCCATTCTGCTCCCCTTGGCTTATAAGGGCCCTGACGCAGCAGCAGTGCTGCTGGCCTTCACATGTGCCCTGGAGAGGCCTGGAGCCTGCTGCTAGGAGGGGCTGTGCCCTGGAGAGGCCTGGAGCCTGCTGCTAGGAGGGGCTGTGCCCTGGAGAGGCCTGGAGCCTGCTGCTAGGAGGGAAGAGTTAAGACTAGCCTTGCTCCTACTTCGAGGCCGTGCCACCCTTACTGCCTTAGGGCTCTGAGCTGCATTGGTTTGTTTATCTGAACGAGCTGGAGAGAAGGGGAGAGGTCTGTCTTGCATCTCCCTTACTGGCTGCAGAGGCCCGGAGTGGACCAGGCTGGAGCCACGAGTCAGCACCTTCCTCCGGCTTTCCCATGTGCGTGCAAGGGTCCTGGCACTTGGGTTGTTGTCCACTGCTTGCTCAGGCCAATAGCAGGGAGCTGGAAGGGAAGTGAAGCAGCTTGAGAGACAGATCTGTGCCCACAGGGGATGCCAGCCTTGCAGGTGATAAATTGACCCGCTGCGCCCTGCACCAGCCCTGAGCCTCACTGTTAACTGTGTCATCGTGGGGACAGGAGGCAGCTTTAAGGGAGGGGAGAGGGTGGAGAGAGCTTGGCGGGAGGGTGGTGGAGCGGCTTTGCATCTGGCACCTTGTGCTGTGAGCGATGAGGCAGGCTGTGTAGACCCAAGGGTGCTGATCCATGCCCCAGATGCTCAGCTGGACCTGCGGGCTGGGGGCCGAAAGACAAGGTGCGTGAGAGGATACGCGTGCTCTCCGGAGACCTGCGTGCTGTCATTAGCGTTGCATTCTGTTTGTCAGTGACGTTTTGGTATTATTCTGAAAATGCTGGTATCTCAGTAGTGCGCTTGACTCGCCAAACACAATCCCGCCCCAAGAGCTGCCTGCCCGGGGTGAGTGGGCTGTCTGCGAGTTACATGAGCGGCCCACTGCTTTCTCGCCTCACTGCAAGCATGGGGCTTCTTGCTGGTCTCCTCACAGCACTGGGCCAGGCTGCACCAAGCCCCGCTGCCTGCCTGGCCCAGTGGCTGTCAGCCAGGCCCCGCTAAGCGTCATTTTCCTCTCTTCTTGCAGCAAGTGGCAGAGAGCATCGTGCACCTCCACCAGCTCCTGAGCCGTCTGCAGGTAGGCGCCTTGCCCGCCCTCAGCCCTGCCCCACACAAGCATCCCTGGGGCCTTAAGGTTAGCTTGTTTTCCACTGGGGTCTCCCAGGTGCACCTGGGGATTTGCAGTGATCGCCTGGCGCCTGCTCGGGGTAGCCCACATCTGGGGCTGTCCACCCCAGCTTACTTCCTGTTCTGGAGCTGGACCTATCCCACTTGCACAGCACTACTGCCAGCTGCTCGGTGGCCGCTGCGGTCCTCACCCAGCTCTCCTCCCTTCTGCCTGCCCAGGGCGTGGTGCTCCAGCAGGACAGCTACATCGAGGACCAGAAGCTGGTGCTGAGTGAGAGGCTGGTGTCTCGGGGCCTGGCCCGTCCCAGTTCGCTCATCGAGCAGGAGAAGCAGCGCAGCCTGGAGAAGCAGCGTCAGGGCTTGGCCGACCTGCAGAAGCAGCAGGCCCAGCACGTGGAGGAACGGCGCAGGCGCGAGCGCGAGTGGGAAGCCCGTGAGCGGGAGCTGCAAGAGCGGGAGGCACGGCTGGCCGAGCGGGAGGAGCAGGTGCAGCAGGGGCGGCGCGAGCTGGAGAGGGAGCAGGAGGAGCTGCGGCAGAAGAAGGGAGCCTACCAGAGTGACCTGGAGCGGCTGCGTGCGGCCCAGAGGCAGCTGGAGAGAGAGCAGGAGCGGCTGCGGCAGGACACAGAGCGGCTGGGCCAGGGGCCTCTGGAGCGCGACCCCTGCCAGGTAACAGGCTCTGCAAAGCCAGGCCCAGGGGCAGCACCGGCAGCGGCCTTGCACTGAGAGGATGTGGGCCTGTCTCACGGAATCTCCTTTAGGCACACGCAGGGGCGGGACGGGGGTACTGCTGCTTCTGCTTTGGGCGTGTCCGAGAGACTGCAGTGACAGCAGTGTTGGACAGTGTGCCCAGGGACGGGAGGGCTGGGCTAACTCCCCGCCATCTTCAGCTCACGAGCAGCCCTCTCTTCTGTGCTGTGGTGGGTCCAGTGTTGTGCCCAGGATTAGCCCTGGCTGGCAGTGCCAGCACTAGGCTGGAGTGCCCGTTTGAGTCTCACCTGCTGTGCCCTTCATCCACCCTCTTTGCGCCCACAGGAGGTCCAGATGGCGGCCCAGGCTTCTGGCTTTGGCCTGGCCAGCCCTGGCTGTTGCTCGTATTTGGGGAGTAAACAAGTGAATGTGGAAGCAGTTGCTGCTTTTCCTCTCTGCCTTTCAAGCAAATAAAATAAGTAAATCTTAGAAAACGGGCGTATCTCCCACTTGAAGGCCTCAAAACTGGTGCTCTGGTGGGGAAAGCAAGGTTGCAGGAGGCCCGAGCCCGGGATGCCACGGTCAGGAAGTGGCCTGAGATGGCCGGGACCTCAGCCATCAGGCTCTGATAGAGCAGGTGGGTGGCAGCTGCCGGCCTGCCACACAGGTGCTGCCACAGGGTGCTCCTGGGAGGCCTTGGGAGGCCCACCTCTGTTCGCTGTGCTGGCTGCTCATGGGAGCGCCCAGGTGCTCAGCGCCCTGATTCTGTGTTGAAGTTGGTGCTGTCCCATGGTGATTCTAGCACGTGGGTATTCATGACAGGTGAAAAGCTGGGGTAGACACATGTCTGCCTGTCTTCAAACGCCCACCTGGTTGCCATGGTAGCCTTGAATGGTAAAAGACAAACGGGCATCTTCCAGAGGGGGTGGCCTTCATGCCCTGCACAGGTGCAGGATGCATGGCGAAGGGTTCCAGGTGGTTATGTGGCTTTGGCTGGGGCTACTCTCCCCCCAGGACAGCTGGCCTCCTACCACAGGGCACACCTGTGAGAGATCTCCTTTGTCTGGGCTGACCCCTCACTGGGAGCTTGGCCCTAGCAGGCATCTGAGCTCCTGGTGTGAACCAAGGCCCTCCATGCCTCAGCCTTGAGAATGGGGCTCTTGGTGTGTGTTGGTACAGGGCTCTGTGCTCCGGAATGCTGAACTCAGTGCAGGTGACACAGGTGCTGGTGGCCTCCACGTGCCATTGCTCAGGTGTTCCTGTCCTGAGCAGGGGCGGGGTGCAGCGGCCCTGAGGGCCACGGGGGAGTCTCCAGACAGCACAGTGGGTGACCTCAGTGGAGCTGGGAGCCGCCGGCAGCATGCTGACTCTCTTTGCTGTGCGCAGGTCTCCCGGCCGCATGGCAAGCTGATGAGGATCCCGTCCTTCCTTCCCAGCCCTGAGGAGCCGCCCCTGCCACCTGCACCATCCCTCGTCAAGTCTGGCTCCTTGGACTCGGAACTGTCCGTGTCCCCAAAAAGGAATAGCATGTCTCGGACCCAGAAAGACAAGGGGCCTTTTCACATGCTGACTTCAGCCAGCCAGACTCACAGGGGTCCAGAGGGGCCGGGCCTGCCCCCTGGCTGCTCCTCCTCCTCCTCCTCCACTTCCTCGTCCTCCTCCACAGCCTCCTCCCGCCTGTTTGGCTTAGCTAAGCCCAAGGAGAAGAAGGAGAAGAAGAAGAAGAACAGAGGTGGACGCGTCCAGCCAGGTGAGACGCCCTCCCCGTCTGTACTCAGCAAGAAATAACGTTTGCGCCGTGGAATTGTGAAAGCTGGGACAGCCCCACGGGCCCCTCCCCACACGGGAAGCGTGCCCTGACGACCAGGCCCCCTTCACCTGGAGGTGCTGGGCCTCGCAGGAGTGCTGGACAGCTGGGACTGTGATGCAGCCAGGAGGGGCCTCCGTGCCATCCTCCAGCAAGCCCTCTGGGCCCCCACATTAGGTGGGATGCTAAAAAGATGGCTGTGTTGGCAGCTGTTGTTCTTACATCCAAGTGTAGAGGGGTGTCGGGGTGAGGGAGGTCAGGGCAGCCTCCCACACTGAATCCCCCAGGAGATGCCATGTGCAGGAAGTGCAGCTGCCACGAGCCCCTTCCCTGTTGGGCTGGGAGGAGGTGAGAGAAGCTCCCTTCTGACCCTCCTCTTCCCTGCCTTCCATCTTGCAGAAGGCCCAGTGCCCGAAGCACCAGCCGAGGGGGAGGAGATCTTCTGCTGAGCCTCTGGCCCATGCTGAGGCAGCTGCTGCCCGCACTGCCTCCCGCTGTCCCGCCTGCATGCCCAAGTTCTTCGAGCACCAGACGCTTGTCCTCCCAGGCCGCCCCGGAGCAGCCTACCTCGCACTCAGGGCCTGGACTTTGCTCTGGCTGTCCCCTGTGAACACCCAGGCCTCCCAGGCAGGGCTCGCAGCAGCCAACTCCAGGGTGGGAATCCTGGCACGTCAGGGACCCTGAAGGCTGAGTGAGTGGCCGCTGAGCCTGAAGCTCCCTGCCTTTCATCTGAGGGAACAAGCAGAGGTGGGATTGTGTCTGTCCACTCGTAGGGACCAGCTGCAGCATGGTGCCGCAGCGTGAGCTGGGAGGCTGGCTCAGGGCATTCAGCTCCGCCCCAGAACCCTCAGGCTGCTTCCTCTCAGGGGAGAGCAGGCAGGGCACTGGAGCCGCCCGCCTGATCTCTGCGTTGGGCACTTAGGGAAATAAGATCTTGTTTTATCACCAAATCCAGAGGAGTATACTGGCTTTCCAAGGAGTCTGCCCTCCTGTTCTGGGGACAGATCAAAAGCCGCCTCACCAGCTCTCTGTGCAGTGTGACTTCCTGGCTGCCACTGAGCGGCCTCCCGCTAATGTCCTGAGGCTCTGGGGTGGCTGCTGGGGGTGCCTGGCAGACCACGCGTGGGGGGAACTGGGCCGGGAACTTCTCCATCTGCGTCAGGAGGCCATGGCCAAATTTGGTTTCCTGAAACATTGTTGGAGTCAGACGTGTCGGCGCGCAGCTGCCCAGGTACTGCCTGCTTTCTTTCTCTCCACTCCTGTTTGCGCTGTTGAGGTCTGTCTGCTGACTTCCCCATGGGCGTGTAGGGGACAGCTTTGTCACTGCTGCTTCCCCAGGGTCCCCGGAAGGGAGACCCTGGGCAGTTTAGTGCATCCCATGTGGCCTTTGACCCTGCGCTGTACCCTCAGTAGCACGGGGCCTGAGTGTACTCTGAGGAAATGCCAACGCCTGTGCCTTGGTGCTCGTTGGCGAGGTGCAAGCTGGCCTTGCAGCAGGGGTATTTATCTCAGCGTATTGAGAGATGAGGTGTTGATTGTGTAGCCTAGCCTTGTTTTATTTATTGTGTGTGCGTATGTGCGTGTGTGAGGGCGCGCTGCGCTGGCCGTGCGGGGCAGGAGGCAGCGTCTGGGCCACTCACACACGCGTCTTCCCGGGATCCTATGGGGACCTGGGGAAGCTCAGGCCCGGGCCTGCCCGCTGCAGCCTGGGCATTTGTCACAGTGTCGTCCTTGTCTGAGAAGCCCTGAGCAATCTCAGCTTGTTTGTAAGTCTGACGCCCTCTCGTTTTCCTGTTGGAGCCGTGAGGTCCCCTCTGAGATCATGAGTGGGAAGCTGTCCGGTGGCTTCACCCCAAACCCCAGCCAAGGCGTGCTGGTGTCCTGGCCTGTGACCAGGGGCCCCGTGGGCCTGAGTGGACACTGTCCACAGCCCGGATTCAACTTGCAGCTTCCCCTGCCCCCAGGCCGCGGTGTCAGGTCTGCTCTTGGGGTTTTGGTAGCCATGGTTTAGGTCTAGACCTCACCTCTGCCCACCCCACCAGTGTGAAGAGCTTGACAGGCCTGGGACCAGAGTCTCAGGTGTCCTGGAGTCCTTGTCAGGAGCATGTCCTGTGAGCCCAGTGCCCACTCAGCTGCCTAGGGTGGGGATGTCTCTGGCCCCTGCCCCCTGCCTTGCAGCTGGCCACAGGACATTGGTTGCTGCTGCGGCTGCTGGGCTTTGGCCGTGGCTTGAGAGTTTGGGTGTGCCCTGGATCAGGCGCCCGACCTGTCACTGTCCTGATGATGAACATTGTGTCCCCCAAAAGGTCCCCCCTTTGAACCAAGTGCCTGGTTGTGGGTGGCTTTGTGGAGGATGGGCTGTGGGTGACTGCCTTTGGTGGCCAGCTTCCTTCCACAGAGTCCCCCACGTGCCTGGCTCCTCTGGTGCCACCCCGGCCCCACGAGCTGTCTTCTGGAAAGGTACGAAGTCTGCCTTTGTCCTCATCCATGTCTCAGGGCGACAGCACCGGCCACCGTGCTGTCTTCTCCTCACCCGGGTCTCCCTGCGGCCCTGGGGCTGTGTCAGGTCCTTTGCACGTGGCTGGACTGACTGCACCCTTAGAGGGTAGCACCCTCACCCTTGGGGCTCTACTTGCAATTACTTCCTGTTCTTTGTCTCTGAAGCTCTTGCTCCTCAGCCAGTTCGTTCTTGCCCAGGATGCTGGATTTGCCCCGGAGCAGAGATGTACTCCAAGGACCTGTGGCCACTCGTGCTGCAGGACAGCCCGGCTTGTGGGTGGACTCTGTCCAGCATGGTGTCTGACCGTGTGCCCGGACACTGCCTGCCTTCAGTCAGCCCTGGCATTCCTGCCCACCCCGAGACTGAGGTCGGAGGGTCGCTTGCACTGGTTCTTGCCTTGGCTGTCGCGTGAGTTTGCTAAGTCCCCTTGAGCTTGGGTCGGCCACCTGCTGGCCAGGCTATAGAGTGGAGTGCGGTCACGCTGCCATGGCAGGGGGCAGGGGGCGATGGGAAGAGGCAGACACCTGCTTCTTCAGTTACTCTGACTTCCCCAGTAGTCAGCAGGCTCACGGGCTGGAGGGAATACTGCCCGCTACATGCCACTGTGCACAGGAGCCGGGTGGCCTGCCCTCCCCTCCCCTAGGGACCTCCAGGGCACTGAGGGGCCTGCCTCCTCCTTTACCTGTGGCTCAGGGTCAGCTGATGGTCTCCTGTGTGTCCCCCACTTGCGTGTTATGTGGGGGATAGCCGGCCGCCCAGCCCTGCTTTCTCTGTTCAGCTCCCAATGTCCCGCCAGCATTTCTGCGCTCAAACCATTGAGTGAGTCTGCTGGCACTGCGTGCTGTATATCGATCTGTAATTATGTACAGAGTGAGGCAGTTGTAAACTGCACCTTCTTCCTTCAGTGTGTTTTCTGGAATCTTGCCACAACATACTGGCTTTGTATTGTATTTATCTTCCTTCCGGAGTTACTGACTGCAGACTTGTAAAGTCCTCCCCTTCCCAAGCAATAAACTTCCTTTGAAGGAGTGATTGTCACCACTGACTCCAGGGGGAGGACCAGGGCCACCCCACGGTGCAGCCTGCTCTCTGCCCCAGCAGGGGAGCCTGTGGCATGAAGCCGCTGCTGCCACGTGACCCAAGGACCCCAGTCCTGACGTGAGCAAGATCCTCCGGTCCAGACACAGACACGGGGGAGTCAGAAAGACCTGGGGACAAATGGAGTGAAAACCAAGAATTGCAGACCCTTTCCCCACTGAACTGAGCATGCTGTGTCTGGCAGTCCCAGCGTACCATGCTGGCACAAGCCCTTACTGCTGGGAGGGGGACAGGGGACCCCTGAAGGCACAGAACCCCCGTGTGAGCGGGCACTGGGGCAAGGGGGCTGGGTCAGGGCCTCTGGAACGTGACCAGCAGCCGGCTCTTGAGTGGTCCCAGTCCACACACCTCGCAGGTTCCCTCAGAAGGCCTGCTGGTTTGCAGTTGCCCCAGGTGCCCGCGAGCAGGGTCCAGCAGAAGGCTGCCCAGAGTGGGTGCTGCTGTGGGCCTCTATTGGAGCCCAGGCCGCCCCGCCACACTTGGGGCCGCGTAGGCAGGGCTGGTCTGGCCCTTGCTCAGAGCTTCGCCCCTCCACTGCACGGCCTGGGGCTCCTTGCCATCCTGCCAGGCGCTGCTAGTCCTGCTCCCGTCTCGGCAGCAGCCGTGCTCTCAGAAGCCTCTTGTCACCGCCCGAGCCCGGGCATGCAGCCTGGAGCCCAGGATGGCAAGTGTGTTTCGGTGCCACAAGCCCCACCTGTAGCTCACCCAAGTACTTGCTTAGCGCACGTGTTCTGGACACAGCACTGAAGCCATCCCTGACTGGCTGCCAGCAGGACTCCCACAGGAGTCCCGTCGACTCTTCCCCCCCCCGAGGATGTTGGGGGGCTTTGCCTGGTAACGGCCAGCCCCTTGTGCTCCCCTCCATCCTTGGTGAGTCTCCTGGGCTTGGAGAACGCTGCCACTTGGGGAAGTGCCCAGCCTATGGGCAGCGCAGTCCCTCATGCTGGCACAAAGCCAGTTCCCGCCGGGGCCCACTGTCTTCCCTTTCCCAGGAGCAGGGCGCCCGCGGGCTTCCCAGGAGGCTCCCGTAGCCCTGGCAACAGGCTTCCCACACCCAGGTACTGGGTCCAGCTTAACTGTCACCATGGCTCCAGTGGTTCCCCCCCACCCACCCCCCCCCGCCGCCCACCAGGATGCCAGCAGCAGACTGTAATTCCCATGGCCTCCTGCTGGGCTACCAGCGGCTGGCACTGAGCCAGGGATGGGCTGCCCTGGGGAAACACATGCTGAGGTGACACCCCCACGAAGGCCATTTGCATGACAATGGAAGGTCCCTAGGTCACAGCAACACACTGCCCAGGCTTCAGAGATGGCCAGGAGGGGGCATGAGTGGGCACAGCTCCTGGCACATCGCTGGCAGGGCTCAGCCCTGGGGCCTGGCCACTGCTGCCCGAGGTCCAGCAGTCCCTCCCTCCCTCCCCCACTGCCAGCTGCAGAGCCTGCTGGCCAGTTGCCTAGACAACCATGGATTGTCCCCTGGTCCTTTGGGGGCCATTGGAGGGGAATGCTGCTCAGCTGAAGCAATGAAACAAGGGTCCTGTCCTGCCCAGCTGGGCCAGGCGAGGAGCTGATCCCACGCGGAGGTGGCGGGGCGGTCGGCAAGGTCAGGGCCATGGCCCTGCGCAGGGCGTGACCACTGGCTGCCACCCCGATGGACAGAGGTGACACGGGTATTCACACAGGGCTGGCACCTGGCATGCAGCATGGCAGCTGAGCTGTGGATTGGAGATCTGGGTGTGGCCGGGCAGTGCCTGGCACAGGAGTGCCTCCACATGCTGCTGGCTCTGCCTGGCCCCGCTGGCCCACACTGGCCATCTTACTTGGATGCTCAGGACCCTCCCTGCCTCCAGGTCTCCGCCTCTAGGAAGGCCCAGAGCCCTGTAGCTCTGCCTTCCCCCTGCCAGGCCACACTGCCCAGGCAGGACAGTGAGTCCCAGCCGGTCTCGCCCTGCCCCACTGAAAGCAATGTGGCATGTGTTGCGTCCTGAGGCGATATGCTCAACCCCCCAGCCTCAGAGTGCTGTGATGGACAGTCCTGGATTCATCGACACATCTGGCTGCTCCAAGTCCTGAGTCCTCTGGGGCTGGCACACACCGGGGTCCCCACAGGAACCCTGGCCACCAGCCTGGGGACCTGTGCTCAGCTCCAGGGCCGTAATGGGAGGCGTACATGAAGCTGCAGGGAAGCCGAGACTAAGAGCATGATGCCAGGTGGGCAGGTTTGTGTGTGCAGACCTGCGTCCCCAACCAGCCCCGTCCTTTCATGGAAAGCAGAAATGAGGCGCCGGGCGCACAGGGGACAACCACAGAAACTTCTTAGTGTTCTGCACATAAGGGATGCATGCAGTAACTTTTTTAAAAGATTCATTTATTTGAAACAAAGTTAGAGAAAGATATTCCAGGTGCTGACTCACTCCCAAAATGGTCACGTAACCGGAGCTGGGGCTGGGCTCCCACCTGGGGGGCTCCCAGAGGCTCCCCTAGGCAGTGGCAAGGTGCTGGGTGGGATGTGAAGTGGCTGGGACTTGAACCGATGCCCCAGGGGGATGCTGGTACGTGGACTAGAGTGCAGCCATTGTGCTGACTCACCCTGGTGCCACTTGTAAGCAAGGCTTTCCACTGCCACTGCTCACCTGGCTTCTTTGCACTGTTTATTGGAAAGGCAGAGACCTAGAGAGAGCAAGCGTCTATTGCCAGTTCAGTCTGCAGATGCCCACAGCCAAGCCAGGATCCAGGTCTGGGTCTCCGGTGTGGGTGCACGGACTGAGACACGGCCCTGCTGCCTCCCTCTTGGACATGCCGTGGGCCTAGGAAACAAAGCCTGTGGGACGAGGTGGCCTTGTCAGGACCCAGGACAGGTGGGCTCGCCCAGGCCACTGCAGGATCCTGTCTGGTGGGGCTCTGCCAGCTGGCCAGGGCAGGGCGTCCTCATGGGCTCTGGGCAGGTCTACTACATGCCTCTGTGGCTGGCGACAGGAAAGGAGACCCTCAGCTGAACCTGTCCCCAGGCTCCTACCCCTGCCCCACAGCAGCCCACTGGCACGCCTGGGTCTCAGCCCTTCAGGAGACACGCGAGGCCGCCCTGGCTGCCTGTCGGGGACCGTCCTCCACACGCATGCATGCTGGCTGCCAAGGCCAGAGCGGCTGCTGCCCACAGGCTCATCCCGGAATATACTAAGGCACTGTCACACGTTTGCTCACGAAGGGGGAGGAGCAGTGGGGTGCCTGTCCAGGAAAGCAGCCGTCACTGACAGGCAGTGGCCCCTCCAGGGCTAGCGAGGCTCTCTGGCAGAGCCTAGCACAGCGGGGGACAGCTCCTGGCAGGGCCCTGAGTAAGAAGTTCAGTACCAGAGGCACCCACACCTGCTGGGGATCCATGAGCAGCTGAGGCGCCTTCCAGAAAGGCAGTGTCCCTAGGGGGCCCACCTGGCAGGCTGTCAGCACTGGCCGTGGGCTCCAGGGAGCTCCCACTTCAGCAGTCTGTACCATGCCACGCTCCTGAAGCAGCCCAGATGTGACCTGTACCCCAAATCAGAAAAGCTGTGGGGCTGGGGGCGTGACAGGTGCAAGTGATGGCATTCTGCACAGCGGCCTCCTCGGGTCGTCCTTGCCCTCCCAGGCCATGGGACACAGTGACCCTCCTCTGCACAGTGGCTTCCTCAGGTCGTCCTTGGCCCTCCCAGGCCATGGGACACAGTGACCTCGCCTCCCTTCACGGGCGCAGGGCTAGGCGCTGTGCTCAGGCCCTGGCCAGCTCACCCCACATGCGATGCTGCAGCCTCCCACAGGGCATCCACCCCTGCCTTCCCTCCAGGCGAGGCCTCCGCTCCCTGCAGGACTGTCGTTGTATGGCCTGTATGTGGCTAATGCGCTGAAAGTCTGTGGCCTGGCTACCTCACAGGACCTGGGCCGGTCCGTCCAGGTGGCAGATGTACCCAGCCAGTCCACAAAGTGTGTGTGTGGTACAACCCTGGGGGTTGTCAGTGACTTCTGGCCACGAGTGCCACCGTGAACATGAGCTAGGCCCACAGCTCATGACAATGGATGGCAGGTCTCCTTGGCACCCACCCCCGAGCGAGGGTAGGGTAGGCGGCAAAGGTGATGCACGCCAGGGGGCACTGCCTCCCAGGGCCCAGCTCAGTTGCTGTGAGCACTGGGCCTGCAGGGCTGGAGGCCTGAAACACAGCCTCTGCCGCGTGCCCAAGACTGGCAGATAGTTCTCCACTCTTTATTAAGTCAGAGCACAGAGCAGCCCCGGAGCACCCCGCCCCTGGCACTGCTTCACCAACCGGCAAACTCAGGACCAACTCGTAGGGGCAGGGACGCTGCAGGCTGAATAAGTGCTGGCAACTTGGCCCAAAGTCCCCACAGTGGGGCAGCAGGCACAGTCCCTGCTCAAGCACCAGGAACCTGCCCATGGCTGCAGAGGCTGGGGAGAGAATCAGGCCTGCGCAGGCTAGCAGGATGAGGGCAGGCTCACGACGGGCAGCTCAGGCATGGGCAGCACCAGTGGCCCCCTCTCTGGGGGCTGAGCCCAGGTCCCTCAGCCGTGCTGAGTGAGTCCTGGCACCCCAGGCCAGGCCGGAATTGGGGGGAGGCCAGAGAGCACACGAGATCCCCCATGAGGCCCTGAAGCACTGCTGTTGACGTGGGTACAGGTGCCCGGCCGGCCAACTGCCAGAGCTGTATTCGGCGCCCCTCTGCGGGCCGCAGCTGTGCAGGGGTCTCCCCCAGCCCGAGGCTGCTGGCCTAGGGCAGCCAGCCTGGAGTCGCAGAGGCCACTGGGGCCTGCAGGACGCTTGTCATCTAAAGCTGGAGTCCCCGACGCTGTGGCTCTCCCGGCAGGTGGAGCTGGCTTCCGGCCACTCTGACAGGGCAGCTGTGGGAGGAGAGGTCAGTGCCTCTGGGCTGTGCCCAGGCAACAAGCAGCAGAGGCACAGGAGGGGAGCCCAGCCGGACACGGGCCCTCTGGGCTTGGGCCCCCCTTGCGCCCTAGCAACACTAGGAGAGGATAGACAGGACTGGCGTGCCCCAGCATGCATGTCCTGTTGGCAAAGGGGCCAAGGCCAGGGCTGCCCAAAGTTATACACCGGCACTCCCAGCTGAATTCTCACTGCTCAGCTACTGAGTGGGGTGCCTGGCGTGCCCAAGGCTCTGTGGTATCTGAAGCAGGGCAGGCACTGACCGTGGCTGAGAGGCTCCCAGTGCCCAGCAGCTCCAAGGGCTGTAGGTCCAGGGTGGCCAGGCAGCCCCGGGGGGAGGGGCAGCACCCACAAGCAAGTCCTGGGAGAGACGCGGCAACAGGGCAAGTCCAGCCTTGGTCTGGGAGGCTGAGGTGCAGTGCCAGCCACCGTGCCAGCCCCAGCTGCTGGTGTATGGTCCTACAGGGCAACCCCAACCTGCAGCCTTGCTGCCCTTGCTGTCCTAGTTGCTGGGAGTTGGATTCCTGACCACTGGTGTCCACAAAGCCACCAGCCACCCACACTGACCCATCGTTGTCCCGTGTGAGTGTGACCATGCGACCACCTGGCCAAGCCTCGACCCCCCGGCGTGCCAAGTGCATCCGTCAGGTCTCAGGTGTCCCAGACCAAGGGGAGGCCTGCTTGCTGGTGAAGCAGGCCTCTTCTCACCTCCCTACACTCATCCAGCAGCCATGGCCCCCACTGACACAGTCACAGGTTCTCTCCCTCTGAGGACCACACCCCTGCCTCCCAGGCGAATGGGGAGCTGGGCTGCTGCACAGCACAGGGCCTGCAGGGCCGTGTGCAGATGGGGACATGTGGAGGGCGGGGCCTGCAGGGCCGTGTGCAGATGGAGACACGTGGAGGGCGGGGCCTGGTAGGGCCGTGTGCAGATGGGGACACGTGGAGGGCGGGGCCTGCAGGGCCGTGTGCAGATGGGGACACGTGGAGGGCGGGGCCTGCAGGCCTGGGCAGGTGTTCATTGTCACAGTCGTCAGTCCCTATGCCCATGTCCTCCTGCCTAGAAGGGTGCTGGGACCCAGCCATCCAGCATGGGGTCCAGGCACACTCCCTATAGAGGCAATGCTGGGAAGCAGGTGGCAGTCAGCCTGTGGGTGGGCATGGCCAGGACAGCAGTGCACCTGTGCACGGGATGCAGTGGCCTTGCTGGCAGCCTAGGGCCCCCATGACATCATAGGTGGGTCCCACATCCCTGAATCTGCCCAGCGCCAAGCCACTCAGCCTGGTGACACTGGGCAGTGTTACCCCTCCCAAGGCTTGACCCAGCTCAGCCCTGGCAAACCCCCTGTCCAGAAGGAGGTGAGCAGAGCTGGCCCTGCTGAGTGCCCACTGTGCCCTCAGCCCCCAGCTAACAGGGCCACTGCCCACTGTGCCCTCAGCCCTGCAGAGTTAACAGGGCCACTGCCCTCAGACATGCACACACACACAGGGCAGCTGCTATCTTCAGACACCCACAGGGTGGCTGCTGCCCTCAGACACGCACAGGGTGGCCGCTCTGCACAGGGTGGCCACTGCCCTCAGACACGCACACGCACAGCATGGCCACTGCCTTCAGACACTCACACGGGGCTGCCCTCAGACACAGCAGGGAGTGGGGGCTGTTGCTGTGGGATGCAGGGCGGCTGGCTGGGCCTTGGGGCTCACCTGCAGGCGGGTGGCGAATCCTCAGGCAGGCAGGTGCCTCCAGGTGCTCACGAAGGCCGTGGGGATGAGCGAGTAGGGCACGGTGGTGACACAGCTCCACGTGTCCGAGGTCGGGTCATAGCAGTCCAGGGTCTTACAGCGCTGCGTCCCGAAGTAGCCACCCACCACATAGAGCTTGTTGCCCGCAGCCAGGGCGTGACAGGACATGCGCTTGGAGGTCATGTCACCCACACGTGTCCACTGGTTGGCTTCGCAGTCGAAGCGGTACGCGGAGGCGGCCGTGAATTCCGTGTCGCCGCCCATGATGAAGATCTGGCTGCCCAGCACGGCAGCGGCTGTGTAGCGCCAGGGCTGCGGGCACTCGGCCTGCACACTCCAGCGGTTCTCCGAGGGCTCATAGCACTGCACCTTGGGCACCATGGCCCGGTGGGTGCCCGTGCCCCCGAACACAAACAGCTTGAGCCTGGCACTCACCACGGCGGCGTTACTCACACCATCCCGCAGCGGAGCCACCATCACCCACTTGTTGGCCACGGGGTCGTACCGCTCCACCTGCTTGAGGGACACGGAGGGTGAGGCCGGGAAGACGCCCGCCAGTGATGTGTGGCCCCCCACCACATACAGGGCGTGCTCCAGCTCGGCCGAGCCGTGTCCAAAGCGGGCAACGAGCATGGGCGCTGCCTTGGACCACTCCTCGCGCACCGTGTCGTACACCCACACGTCCTTGGAGACCCCGTTCTCGGAGCCACGGCCCCCCGTTACGTACACCTTGCAGCCAATGGCCGAGGCGCTGAACTCCTTGCGGGGGCTGGGCAGGTCGGCCTTGGGGATGATCTCTTTGGCCTTGTGGTCCACCTGGTAGATCTTGTCGCACATGAAAGTCTGCCCACCCAGGATGAGCAGCGTGTGGCCGGCCTTGCGTGGCCGGGCGCAGGGGCTGCTGACCACACCGTCGTTCTGCAGGATGCGGGCCTTGCAGCACAGGGCCTCTCGCACCAGCCTCTGGCTGTGCTCGTCAGCCAGCAGCGGGGCCTCGGCGGCCATGGCCTGGCGCAGGCAGTCGGAGGGCAGCAGGGCCAGGCGCACGCCGCGCAGCAGCTCGGGCAGGTGTGCGCGGCGCTGCTCCGGGTCGTGCTTCACCCAGTGCAGCACCGCGTCCAGCACAGCTTGCTCATCCTCCGTCTCCAGCTCGTCGCTGGAGATGAGGCCCAGCAGTGCGTCCTTGGAGAGGCTGGCGAAGTCCTCGCCACGCCGCACGCTTTCGAAGTGCAGCAGGCACATACGCCAGGAGAACTCGTAGAGACGGCGGCACTGGTGGGCATCTGACAGCATCATCATGCCCAGGCAGTTGGAGGGCTGCAGCCGCTTCTCCAGGAACTCGGCCGCGGCATCCCGCACGTCGGGGAACTGCAGCATGTCGCCTGCCTCCAGCAGCGACTCCGCGTTCTCCTCGCTGATGACGATGCGTGACGAGTAGGCGAAGTCCAGCAGCAGCTCCAGCACCTCAGGGTGCAGACTGTCCCGGAAGTGCACTGTGTCGTCCCGGCTCTCGCGCAGCCCGTGGCTGAACATGGCCTCGAAGTAGCGGCTGGAAGCGGCCAGCACGGCCCGGTGGCAGGGGAAAGCGCGGTCGCCGGCCCAGAGCGTGACGTCAGTGAACATGTGGTGCTGGCGCAGCATGTTGAGGTGGGTGAGCACGCAGTCGGGGTGTGAGGCCTTGTGGAACAGGGTGGCACTCGAGGCACCGGTGCTGCCCCGTGACTTGCGGGTCTCATGCATACTCACTGACATGGTGCAGCAGCCTGGGGGAGGCAGGGGATACGGCATGGTGAGCTGCCCACAGGGACACGGGGGTGAAGGACCCCGCCCCGCTCAGCAAGCACGCTGGTGGAAGAGGGCCCAGCTCTGGGCACCATCGGCCAGGACACGGGCCCCATGTGGGCCTCCTGGAGCCAGCTGTGCTGGCCCAGGCTGGGGGAGCTCCGGGCTGTGACACCTGTCCTTGGCCCCGTGGCTACCTCTACCATCCTGGGGTACAGGGCCACATGGGGGACAGGGCCACGAGCACACGCAGCATGAGGGCCCCTCAGCTTGTCCCTGGGCCTCTGCAAAGGCTAGGGTCCCCGACCACCGGGAAGCTCCCCACACCAGGACAGGGCTCTGGCTCCTGCCCGGCCCACCTTCCCCAGGTAGCTAGGAGACTGGCAGGGCAGACTGTGGGTCTGCTGCCAGCAGGCTCCGACCCCAGGACACAGCTTTGTGGCCTGGCCTTGGCAAACATGGGCATAGCGGGCTCCTCGTGCCAGACACAGCTGCCCATGGGTCAGAAGCACAGCTCAACTCCCTCGGTACATGGCGTCCAGACCAGGGCCCCCAAGGTCACCTCAGGGCATAGCCTACACGCCTGGCACACCCTCAGCAACTCCTCCCTTGAGTTCTGTCTTAGCGCAGGGAGAGGGCTGTGCACGGCGTTGGTCCCCAGGAACTACTGATGGGGTCACAGTGCACCCCCAGGCAGGGGCACTCTCCCACAGGAGCTGATGGCACAGGAACACAGCTCAGGAGCCTGGGGTGAGCAAGGCACGGGTGCAGTGGGCACCTGCAGAAGGTCAGGCCCCATGGGGGAGCCAGGGACCAAGGCTTGCAAGATAAGGGAACTATCACGCAAGGAGCAAACAGCACCTTCATACCCGCAGCTTGCATAGGGTGGGGATGGCATGGAGGTGCTGCTCAGTGCCCACAGCTGCTGCCCCAGGCCCCAGGGCCAATCCTGTGCACTCAGCACGGCCAGCAGGCTCTCGTGCTCCGAGCTGGTCCTGGAGCCACCATGGCTCCCGGCTGTGTCCTCACCCACAGGACTGCCGGCTCTGCCCATGCAGGTGGAGCCGGCGAACAGGGCAGCCTGGATACCGGGTCCCTGAGCTGCCGCAGTGAGCTGTGCGGAAACCCAACAGGCCAATTTCAAAGCCATCCCGCACCAGAGGCTGGCGACACCACAGGCTGAGAACTAAGGGATGCAGGTCGTGGAGCCGGGCCCTGGGCTGCCCTGCCAGCCAAAGTGCCAGACCTGAGCATGGCACAGAGGTTTACATGGCAGCAGCAAAACTGCCTCCCCACGCACACATGCCAGCCATGTGCACACACACACACACCAGCTACAGACAGGCAGACCCACCTCAACACTGCTGCTCATGCAGATGGGCCCTTCAGACCAAAAGGCAGCGCCTGGCCAAGGCTCCTGCCACCCCAGGCCGACCCTGCCTGTCATTCCCATGTGGTACCCAGCAAGACGACTCTAGGGCAGCCCAGGCCCCAGCAGTGGTGTCCACAGGTCCTCCATATGAGCCTGAGGGGCTCCCTGGGCCTGAGGTTTGCCTCTTGATTATTACCAGCAAGGAGGATGGGGTGGCGGGGAGAGAAGACAGAGATCTTCCATCCACTGGTTCACTCACCTGGCCAAAGCCAGGAGCTTCTTCAGGGCCCCCCATGTGGGTGCAGGGCCCAGGCCTTGGGCCCTCTGCAGCTTTCCCAGGCCATTAGCAGGGAGCTGGATCAGACATGGGGCAGCTGGGACCCGAAGCAGCGCCCACATGGAATGCCTTCTGCGACTTGACCTGCTGGGCCCCAGCTCTAGGGAGTGGACCCTTTGCAGAGTGAGACTGACAACAAACTCCCAGCCACAGCCCAGACACACCTGTCAGCGCTGACGGACCCTGAGCGAAGGGCCGCCCACAGAGTGGACGCCCACCTCGGGGGACTTCCCACAACTATGTAACAGGTTCATGCAGCACACACTCAAGCCGCAGGCCAGCCAGAGCTAGACAACAGAGACAGCCACCCAGGTCTCTGTAGACACTCATCTCCTGTCCTTTCTTGTTCATTTGCAAGGGCCTGAGACAGAGCTCCCACACGCTAGTTCACCCGCAATGTGCACAACAGGCAGGGCCACCCGGCCGAGGGCACAGACCCAGCTCAGCCCGGGCCCCCCACTGGGGCAGGGAGATGTGTACCACAGCTGCCTGTGCAGGAAGCCCGTCCAGAAGTAGGAGAGCTGGGGACCTGGTACACCAGAGGTGAGGACCCCCATCTGATTCCATCCAACCCACGGGAGGACCTGAGTAAAAACGGCCAGCGGCGTCAGCATCACCGATGCACACTCGGCCTCGGGGCTCCCCTCGGGACAGGGCTTGGCAGTGATGCAGTGGATGAGCCACCATTGTGACACGGTACTCGTGGCTGAGGGGGCTCCTGTCCCAACTAACACTGGGGAAAGCAGCGAGGACAGCCTGACCCTGGTCACCAAGGCCACCTGTGACCCAGCAGCTCTATCCCAGCTTCCCCCTCTACCACTCTTTCAAATTAAAAACAAGCATATCTTAAAAATAAAAAGGGACCACCAAGGTGGGCTTCCTGCACACCAGCCACATGAGCTACATCAACAAAGCACAGGAAAGAAGCTTCTGGAAGAAACGGGCCCACCTGGTCCTATCCGCCCTGTGGATGCCTGGAGTGCACATTCAGGGTCCCAGGAATTACACACTCCTGTTCAGAGCAAACACATGGGCCCTGCTGTGCCTCTCTGCCTCCCATGGCCCAGCCCTCCTTGGCTCCTGCCTGACCTGGGTCCCAGCAGGCTTTCCTGGGTCCCATGGGGCTTTCCTAGCTTCCCCCCGCCACCAGGCCATGCACACCAGCCATGCTCCATCAGCACCCTCAGGATGGCCCGGGGCTGTGGCAGCACAGGACCCTGTGTGTGTGTGCTCTGTCCACATTCCCTCCAGCCCCTGGGTCTCGGAAGGCAGGCAGCACTGGCACTTCCTGAGCACCCCGGGCTCCTGCCCGGTTCTGAGGCAAGCATCCCAGTACCAGGAATGGGTGTGCAGGTGCCCCAGGCATCTGTTGTCTCCAGGCCCAGGTCCTGAGAGGCCGGCGAGGCCACGTGGCCAGCACCGGCAGCCTCCTGTCCCGTGACTGCACCTTTTGGTCAGGATGGTGGCTGCAGTGGGTCCGCTTGTGCCCCAAGGGCTGGGGGCACTGGCTCAGCAGCCCCCTTCCCCAGGGAAACCCCTGCCGCCCTTCTCACTGACCTCTGGATCCCTTCCATTCTGCGTCTGAGACTGGCACCATGCCCGTTACCCCCACAGGCATGTCAAGCTGCTGGCAGTGCCCCATGGCCATGTAGGGCTGAGGTTTTGGCATTTCTTGTTGCCTCCACCCGGGGATCCATTTTGTCTTTACCGCTGCAGGTGGGCAGGATGGCAGACCCTTCCCCCAGAGCCACCTCCACTCCTCACAGGCAGCCCCTGAACCCGGCCCTCTCCCAACCCTGCACGGCTCACTGGAAGGTTCCAGGCCCCAGACAGGCCTTTTCCGGCTGACAGCCACACCGTCCGCCAGCTGAGCTTGGCAGAACTTGCAGGAACACTCAGGAACGTTCCCTGCATAGCACACAGTGGCCGTGCAGGGCTTAGCAGGCCACCGGGAACAGGCAGGGCCAGCAGTCGCTGACCTAGGCTCTGGGGGAGGGGGTGGGAGCATCAGGAGTCAGGTCAGGGTGGCCAGTCCCAACCTCCTCCACTTCCGGAGATGGATGGAGATGGCATGGGGGGACCCCAGCCCCCCAGCAACAGGGGTCCAGGAGGAAGGGGCAGGCAGGGGGCTCAAAGGACCGGAGCCTCCACTCACAGAGGGCCTCTACCTGCTACCACTCCCCATCTCAGGCCCCCAGGAGCTGTGGGTGACTCCACTGTGCCCGAAGAGCCAGGGCTCACCGACCCTCCTGCCCCTCCCTCTGCAGCACTCACCGCCTCGGCCCCATGCACCTGCCAGGCACAGGGTCCTGCTTGGACTCCACTGATGAAGCCACAGCTGGCAGAGAAGGGAGGTGGGACCCCCCAGCAGCCACTTTCTGCTCTCCAATGGGGAAATAAAGGCAACTGCATGCCTAGGACTCGCGGCCACCCTGCCTGCCTGGCCTGTTCCTTCCCCTGTCTAGTCCGACTTAGGCTGTGCAGGACGGCATGCCTGCTGCGTACACTCCAGCCCCAGTCGGGAGCTGGATGCCCTGGCCATGGATGCCCACGCCTAGAAGAGGAGCCGCCCCATGGCCTGCCCAAAGTGGCTGGCCAAGCATGGCAGGAACTTCCCAGCAGAGCTTCACTTAATTAGGAAATTAATTGCCCTTTGCCTGGGTTGATCTGGGCCCTCTCTAGCCCAGAGCCGAAAGCCAAGCTTCTCTGTTGGCAATCTGCCCCCACTCCCACCCACAGGGTGCCACCCATGCCAGGAGGCCGAGGAAGGACAAGGAAGGACACCCACAGTGACCCTCGCAGAGGGAGCCAGGAGGCAGCCTGCCTTTCTCCTGCTCTGACTGCCCGGCCAGGGGTCCCTCCCAGGACCCCCTTGGTCCTCTGGCTCTCTGTCCACCATTTGGCTCGGTGCAGGGGTTCCCTCATGCCCTCTGTTGCGGGGCTCAGGGCTCCTACAGCCCTTGCTCAGGCCCTGGCCTGGGGAGCAGCTCTAGGGATGCAGCAGCCACATGCCACCCTCCATGCCCATCCTCACAGCCACCAAGTGCAGCTTCACGGGCCCCTGGCTCTGTGCAAGGCAGGGCGGGCCAGGGGAGGCAGCACTGGGGAAGGTGTCCACTCCCGGAGGACAGGAACACCAGGGCACAGCAGGGCCAGGTGCTCTGGCATGGCCAGCAGGTCATGGGCAGGGGTAGAGATTTCCTGGGCAGCGGTGGTCTCAGGAGGGCAAGCTAAGGCCCGAGAGCCCAGGACCTGCAGAGAGCTGTACAG